GGAAGATAAACTAGTCGTCGGGAGGTTAACATGAAATCGGCTGGCCAGATGCGCCGTTATCTGCGTGTCGGACTGCTGATGGGCTGGCAATGCTGGTAGAGAATGTTGCGTGTGTGCTCCTCCATTGCCAGCTGCTCCGATCGGCAGGCTCATGGCAAAGGGGCCTCAAATACTCAAATGGGCAATCACCTCCCACCTGAGAGCAATGAGTCCAAAAAACAGGCCCCTACCAATATCGCGGGGCAGCACTATGCTGTATAATCAACACGTAGCCGTATTGAAAAAGACAAGATGCAATTATCGGTCAAACACAACGTGGTATAACGAAACGAGGGATATTTTGAAAGAATGGTGTTGGAAGCGAGTGTGTTGACAACCGTAAAACGCCCAAGTGCACAATGGTTGATTACCTAGGTGGCTTCGCCTGGGGATGTTGTTTCCAAGTCAACTGCTGGTGGGAAAGGGGCCTACGGTGTTTTCTTGCTACCAGCCGCGTACCTGGAACCACGAACGCGGCGTAGCAGAGCTGACTTACAGTAGTGGCATTACGGCTGAGTCCGGCGGGCGCCACGGCGTAGTGGCGCAATGGTAACTGTACTTGTACACCTCCAAGGCCACCGCTGCGGTAGACGGCGGGTTGCATGCGAGCTCGAATTATTATTAGCATTCGTGAGCACAGCCTGCATGCCTGTCCTGCTGTGGACGCCGGGGTTCAGCGAGACGTGAAGGGGGTAGAGGGTAGGGGTTATGGATAGGGGGACGAGAATTGCACATCGAATCGATTTGGATACTGTCAATATACTTGCGAGAATCAGGAGCGCTGCCCAGCCCTCCTCTCCCCAGGTATAAGTTCTCGACTCACGCAGCTGATGTCATCTGTTGCGGCATTGTAAGAGTTGCAGTTTACTATTTATTTGTGCGTGTTTGTGAGAGTTGAGGTTTATGTACTGTTTGTTTCTCAGGTGAACAGGGAAACTTCAAGAAACAGGCGGCGATCTAGATGAAAGGCAGGGCCGACTTAATTGAACCCAAATCCATAATATCCTCCACGAGGCTGTAAGATAAAGATTTATATGGAGCAAGCAATGGACGCAAACGCGCGTTTGGAAAAGGCACCAGATTAAACAGCGAGGTACATGCATTGCATACATCGTGCTGTCTTACATGGTAACAAAGCATACATTCTTTGAGATGGCTCAGGCATGTGGACTGACGCAACTCATCTTTGTCAAACCGAGCCTTTCGTTGACGCGAATTTCTCCATCACTTTGATGGTGCATACAGCATTCACGTTGGTTCCACGCTCAGACCTTGCTTGTCTCTCAGCTCTCACATGAACAGAAACCATCATCCGGATCTGACGGAGCCGCATCAAGCCGCGCGGAGAGCGCAAAACCCAGGCGCTCTAGATTGTTACATCAGCATCCTCCAAAAGAAAAAAAAAAAGGAAAAAAAAAAGGTTTTCACGCCTAGAATCAGCTTACATGTGCTACGGGGACGCTATCACCTTCTTCGTGCCCCTTTTTCCCCTTTACCCGTTGCTATATTCAGGTAAAGTTCAAATTCAATTCAAGCAGTAGCTCGAGCCCTAAGATACTAAGCCAATACCTGCTAGCTTGAGCTAAAATGGCGGCCGAAGCGTCTCCATCGGCAGGCGTCCACTCATGTGTGCGCCGTAGTAAACAAGTAAATGTCCATGAAGGTAGAGTGAACAGTCGCTTGATAGATTGTACAGATAACGAAGGTATCGTTATGTCCAGATTATCAACGTGCGGTTTTATAGAGAGAGTAGACCCGCTCATATTACTACTAGGTTGGGAGGCTTGTAGCTCTAAGACTGAGACCTGTCTACCTTATTTATTAAGCAGTGTCTGCACCCATAATATAGACAAACGCAGCCCATTCTTTGAGAATGTTTGCTAATGTTTTGCGAATAATGAGGAAGCAGTGAGAGAATCTCCACGTGCTGCGATAAACAAGACACATGAAGAAGCGCAAACAGGCTGCGAGCTCCCGATTCCTACTTAGGTACCTTAGGTATCTTACAATCCAGATATCATTGGATAGACTGGTAGGTGGATGTAGTCTCTTGGTCTCGCCCGATGCACCCAACGCAGCTCAAAGTACCTCATGGCTACTTTGCCACTTCGAAGCGGGCCAGCGATCCGATCCATGCCAGGGTCCCTGGACGGCAAGACAACCGCCACCAGCTGCTAGCAGCACCTAGAGCTGCGGCCATGTACTCTGGCTCCACGCCCCATAAAAGGTACCTGCGAAAGGGAGTTTGCCCTCCGTGGCGGCGAGTTGGTCCATAATGAATACAGTCGGTGGCACAGCATAGTTTTTGCGTCTCTCCCAGCATCGGAGATCGAATTTTCTTTGCGGCCTCCTCCACACCTCGGCCTGCGAGACTGCACGCAGCTTCTCCCTTGTCTACCTATGCCTACCTGCAAAACTGCCCTGCTGCCGGTGAAAGCGGCCAGCTCCATTACCTCTAACATCGGCTGCTTACGTGCGCGGGCACTGATACACTGGAGAAGCCGGCGCAGCTGTCCATGCCTCGGGGAGAATTACTGCAGCATAAGACTGAGGCCACCTCGTACAACGCTTAGGTCCATTCTTATGCCCGAATCTGTTTTCCAACAACCATCAAGGAGAAAGGGGGCCATTTTCCCAAAAAAACTCAGTGTTGTGCTCATCCTGACAAAGCCGCCAAGAAAGCTTACCTGCTTGGTGGCATGACGGGCACAGCCTGAAACTAGCCCGGCGTTCTTTTTATAACCTCTTTAGCCAGATCTTGCCAGAACAAGATCCGATTGTCGTTGCAATACGGAGAGAAATTTTCGGAACACGAGGCGCTCTGTGTCATGCATCCAGGCGGCCATGTTTGCTTGGATGGATCGCGCTGATCACAAGTGGCCCAGCGTCAGGGCCCAGCGCCAACGATGATGCCTGTTGGTCGAACATGAGAGTTGATGCTACACCCGCCATGAATCTCGGGGAAGCTTCCGTGCATGACTGACTGCAACACCTTTGGCCCCTCCTGACACGAACACTCGCGCGATCCTATTTTGTTCTTTTCCTTCCTTTCTCTTCTTTCCTTTCAACCTATTCGCTACTCTTGGCGGGGCCAAATGTCCAGCACGATTGTCTTGGACATCACAGCACCACTTAGCCAGTATGGGACTCGCAGACTACTGCCTAACACAGAGGAGCATGGAGTAGTACGTATGGAGTATGGAGTATCACTGCAGGGATCATCGCGATCATCGCCAACAGTAGGAAAACGAAGTGCCATCGCCAAAAGGTTAACATGCGTTCTCCCTGCTGACGGACTATTGAGCTCATGTGTGGGTGGCGCCGATTCGAAGTTGTAGGGTATCAAGCTGCATGCCCAGCGGGCAACTTGGTGCCCGTGCTTGCACGTATTTCGTGGCTGCATAATCAATCATAGACTCTTCTCTGCGTGTCTCGTCTCTCTGATATCGCTTCCCCACGCATGGCTTTTTCTCTTAGCCAATCGGTTTCTGCAGATGGCCCAATGTTGGTTGAATGATCGAGGCTGCGCACTCCGGTAGTGCAAGCGGCTCTTAGCACAGCCGCCTCTCAGGAAGATTGATCCATTGAAAAGAAAAATACGAGCCCTACTCTAGCAGTACTCGGGCAGCGCCGTGGTTGGCCCCAAATAGAATCGTGCAAAGACGGGCTCGCAGGCCGTACGCAAGACACACAGTGGTCGCATTTCATGCGCTTGACCTCGTATCGGCCACCAACATACCCGCTGACGCTGGGTCTCCTGAGGAGCGTATTCTGGGAGCGCTCCGTACAGGTATAATGTCCGTATTAAGCCATGGATATCTTCCGGACGGAGGAAAGACCTGCCAAGTGATGAAATTTCGAATTCAGGTGTGGAATATTCTGCGCTCCATAATCATAAATTGCTTCGCTTTGCCCGGAGCGGTTGCAACAGACAGGGGACGTGGTACAACTGCGGTGCCCAGGCGGACGATACATACAGTGCGGAGTATCTCTGGCAACCCCCAGAAGATCCATGTCTGCTGTCCCGATCGCAGCTGAGTGCCAGAAATTGGCAGTAGTAGTATCAATAGCGCGCTGTCTATACGTGTACTGTAAGCATTGACATATGTGAATGTCTCCAAACGTAGTGTGTGTTGCTTGTTTTGATTCGCGCGGTGCAGTTATTACGAGCTTTACTGTCCTGACGCATTAAACTTTAATGCAGCCCATGAATTGGCAGCACGTCGTATCGCTAGCCCTTAAAGTTGGAGCCCCAGCGGGAACGGCTTCAGTGAGGCCAACCCGGCACAGCGGCGCCCGCTAGCGCCCAGCTGCAAGCGTGCTCCCTTACAGCGTGTTGTTTACCAGCTGTTTTCTTTGTCCTAGGTGCTGTAGCGCTGGTTACCCCGGGCTCGTACCGGCTGCGCCACCGCTCGCTGTCGCCCGCCGGACTTGGCTAAGTACACGCCCACTCCCCCTGGCCTAGCTGCTACCAGCTGCCTTTGCCTGCACGACGCTCTTGGAAATCCCATGGGCTCAAACTCCATCGTCTGTCGATTTATCCTGCAGACGCAGCCGCTGGGAGACTTTTCCTCTGCTGATTTCCCCCAACCTCCCCTGGTGTGACTGCCTCATTCGCTTTGGCAGCCCTCCTTTCAATCGTTAATCGCAGCATTTGTTTGTTCGCTCTGCATTGTCTTGTCGTCTGTTTATCCCGTTCTGCATCTCGCTTGCGGAGGAAGAAGAAAGGAGCTGGACTGGCAACCGCGTCTCTGCGTTTGCATCGTTTCTCGCTCAGCAGTGCATCGGCAGACTCTGGCTTTGTCTCTTGTTTTTCTTATACATCGTCGCATATTGCCTTTCCCCATAATATTGCTTGTTAGCATACCTTAGCGACTGCTTAATCAACACGCGCATCATATCCTACGCAGCATCGCAATAACAGCCGTCGATTCGAGGGCCTTTACGCCCACTCCTTCGTCATGGCGAACCGGCTGTCCATGTTCTCCATGGCCTCGGAGGCTCGAGCTGGCGGACCGCAGGCCACCCAGGTCACGACAACCACCTTGCTCAACGCCATCCACAACATCTATCTCTCATCACAGCCGCACCAGCTAGACGCCAGCACCAGCGCCGTTGTCAACACCTGGCTGACGGCCGCCCAAGGCGGTCCTGCTGTTGATGCTACTCTCGCGTCGCGGGCTTGGGAACATGCCAGGCGACGTGCCGAGGACGGCTGCATCATCTTGGGGTAAGAGATAGGCGCCTTCTTCGCGACCAAACAACCATCAGTTTGTCCAGTCCGTTTGCTAACGAGTGTTCCGTCTAGTTCTCTGCATCAATCGACCCCTTCCCTTCTCGTCCCTTTCTTGTCGTCGTTCCCGTTTGCGATTCCATCTAGCGTCTACAAGGCTCTGGAGGCCCTTCAGCCGCTTCTTCGATGTGTCACTCCGCAGAACCCGTCAGCCCCAAAGCAAGCTGGCCTCGGTGTGACTCTGGCCCTGAACCTCGCTGGCAACATTACTGGAGCTACACTAGCCCTCTCACAAGGCGGAATTGACACCTCTGCCGGCCTGCTCGACATTCCTGCTGAGGCGGGCTATCGCGCCTTTGATGTCTTCTACTACCTGTTAACCTCGGCCTCAACACCAGCTGAGAGGGAATTTTTGAGCCTCAAATCAGCATCTGCCTACACACTCCTTTCTCGTTCTGGCACATACGACCCGCCATCATATCTGCCCACTGCTGATGATTCTGCATCGGCTGATGACTTTCGCCAGGCCCTCAAAGACATTGGCATCAAAGGTTCAGCTCACCGGAATTTCATTTCCACTCTCGCCGGCCTGCTCAAGCTTGGCGATACCCTTGATTACAGCATTGAATCTGAGGCGTTGGAAGAGATTGGTGAGGATGTCGGCGGCCTGCTCGGAATCGATCCCGAGGTCGTCCTTCGTCACTGCAGCACAGAGGACCGCAAAACTTTGGTTGGCGGGCTATACGAATCCCTTGTTGACTGGGTCATCTCCAAGGCCAATGATGCCATTGCCGCACAGCTGACCCGCATCAAGGATGGTGACGAGTCTCTGGACGGTCATGGTGTCCGTACTCCCACTTCAAACGAAGATAATGGAGATACTGTCTCCATTACCGTTCTTGAGGTGCCAGACCCAGCTCTTGGCAGGGCACTCTGCATGCGTTCCGTCTTCGATGATACGCAAGGCATCAATGCCGAAATGATTGGCGATGGCTTCGAGATTCCTTCAGCCGGTTCATCTATTCTGAGAGAAGTCCAACAGGCTGTATCTGAAGTAGCACCGGACTTGGGAGTTATGAATGGCCCACAAGGACGTGAGCGACAGCATGAGCTGGAGAAGAGGGAAGTTATCCTGGAGAAGGCTGCTTATGGCGCAGACGAGGGTAGTTTTCTGAAGAAGCTGCTCTTCCCCGTCGAAGGCCAAGGCATCAACCTGGGCAGAGCTGGCCGTATTGATCTCCCCACAATGCTTAGCTCCAACCGCATGTGGTATCATCTCTGCTTGCACCCAACCGATGATTCCCCTGCCAGCCTAGCCGCGCTACCCTCCATTACGTCTGCTTGGTCGGCCGGCACTGTCTCTCGACAGCTTCGCTCCTGGAGGCTGCCAGAATGGGCCAACCGCCGGCATAGAAATCTCGACTTTACTGCCGACTTTGACGTTGATGAGTTCGTGCACCGCTATGCTCCTCTGGGCTGCAGGGATGGGCGAGAAGGCATCGAGACATGGATGCTGGAGCGTGGTTGGAGCAACGGTGAAGTCTTCATCGGCAAGGAACGGGTCTGGATTCGCGAAAATGCATGGTGGGAGGCCGAGAGCATGCTTGATGTCAAGCCAGGCGATGAACTGCATCCCATCCACAGCAACCCCTTCAATAGTGGCTTTGATACTGGCTATTCGGGGACTGGCAGCGGCTACTTCCCACCGACCGGCCTGGACAATGGAGTCGGCTCCAGCCGTGACGCACTGGCTCACAACCGCGGCATGAGCCAAAGCAACATGAGCCAATTCACGCTCGGTCACAACCAGGCGCCGCATGCCGCGCCATCCATCCACCCATCCATTGCACCTACTATGCGCAATGGTGACTATGGTCTGGGTAACAAGGGAGACCTGTATAGGAATGACGGTTTCTATAACGCAGAGGCCGCTGCCCTCGATCCCGAGCTAGCTGAAAACAAACAGATTGAGACAAAGGAGGTCGACAACGCCCGTCGAGCCTGGGTCTGGTTCTGCTGGGCCATGACATGGTGGATTCCTTCCTTCTTGCTCCGCTGGCCTGGTGGCATGAAACGCCCCGATGTCCGCATGGCCTGGCGCGAAAAGTTCACGCTGTGCATGTTGATTGTCCTCGTCAACGGTATCATCGTTTTTTGGATTGTCGGATTCGGACGTGTTCTTTGCCCTAACATGGACAAGGCTTGGAACCGTAAGCAGGTTGGCTTCCACCAAGGCGAAAACGATTACTATGTCAGTATCCATGGAAGCGTCTATGATCTCACCAAATTTTGGAAGCAACAGCACAGTGACACCGCCATCAAGACCACTTCTGACGTCATGTTGCCCTTGGCTGGTCTCGATTTGGACGATTACTTCATTCCTCCCTTGAACGTAGCCTGCCCAGGTCTTGGTATTTCAGATGCCTTTCAGCTATCCCTCAACAACACCGTCCTATACCCAACAGCTGTGCATACTTCAGGCCACTTCCAACCTGATCCTACTACTAAGCTGCACGACGAGAATTGGTACTTTAACGTCTTTGAGCCAGCTATCGAGGAATACTACAAGGGAGAATTGGTTTACACCAAAAATGATGTTGCGAAAGAAGGCAATAACGAGCAAAGGATGTGGGCCATGTATGGCAACAAAATCTACGATCTGACCAACTATTTCTCGACCCTCGCTGTTTATGATAACAGTAAACAGTCCGTGTTCCTCAACAAGGACATCACCGATCTATGGGCCAACAATCCTGGAACCGATATCCAGAGCAAACTCGACATTCTCCTCAACGATCCCAACAACAACAGCACCGTACACGCCAATCTTGAAAACAGCTGGTTTTGCATACAACGGCTTTTCTTGAAAGGCTACACTGATTTCCGCGTAACCCCCCGATGCACAGTGAACAACTGGATTCTTCTCTCCTTTACCATTGTTCTGTGTGTTGTCATTGGGCTCAAGTTCGTGTCCGCCCTCCAATTTGGCGGCAAGCGACGCCCTTCTCCTCAAGACAAATTTGTCATCTGCCAAGTCCCTGCCTACACAGAAGGTGAAGACTCGTTGCGAAAAGCACTCGACTCGTTGACGGCCTTGCAATACGATAATAAGCGCAAGCTCATCTGCATCATCTGTGACGGCATGGTTGTCGGAGGAGGTAATGATCGGCCTACGCCCAAGATTGTTTTGGACATCCTGGGTGTCGACCCCAAAGTTGACCCTCCGGCTCTTCCATTCAAAGCTGTGGGTGCTGGCGGTGATCAGCTTAACTACGGGAAAGTCTATTCTGGCCTTTACGAGTACGAAGGCAATGTTGTTCCATATCTGGTCGTTATCAAAGTCGGTCGAGAGGCAGAACAAAGGAAGTCAAAGCCCGGTAACCGTGGAAAACGTGATTCCCAGATTCTTCTTATGAGCTTCCTTAACCGTGTACACCATCGCTCTCCCATGAACCCGCTCGAGCTGGAAATGTTCAATCAGATCAACAATGTCATTGGCGTGGACCCTGAGCTGTACGAATACCTGCTCATGGTTGATGCCGATACGTGTGTCCAGGAAGACTCCTTGAACAGATTGGTTGCAGCTTGCGCTCATAACGCAAAGATTGCCGGTATATGCGGTGAGACCAGTCTCGAGAATGACCAAAAGTCCTGGTGGACAATGATTCAGGTCTATGAATACTATATCTCTCATCATATGGCGAAGGCTTTCGAGTCTTTGTTTGGTAGCGTTACTTGTTTGCCCGGATGGTAAGTGAAGAAACAATCAAGTGTTCCCCAGCCTAAGATCTCACAACATTTTTCGCTTTCCTCTCTTTCGTTGTTTAATTGTTGACCTCTTCTGAACGTAACTGACCCAAATGTGTGCATAGTTTCACCATGTATCGTCTTAGAACAGCAGAAAAGGGCAAGCCTCTAATCATTTCTGATGCTGTCATCCGGGATTATAGTGTTTGCGACGTCGATACACTTCACCAGAAGAATCTTCTCTCTCTGGGTGAGGATCGATTCTTGACAACGTTGATGACAAAGCACTTTCCTTCTATGCAATATAAGTTCTTGCCGCATGCTCAGTGCAAGACGGCTGCTCCAGAATCGTGGAGCGTTCTCTTGTCCCAGCGTCGTCGATGGATCAACTCCACCATCCACAACTTGGTTGAGCTTATGCGATTGAAGGATATGTGTGGCTTCTGTTTCTTCGGCATGCGCTTCATTGTCTTCATGGATCTCTTCGGTACCATCATTCTTCCTGCGACGTGCGCTTACCTTGGCTACATGATCTACAGCGTGGCGACACACCCGACCTCGTTCCCACTGTGGTCCATTGTCATCTTGGCTGCCGTTTATGGTCTTCAGGCGCTCATCTTCCTCTTAAAGAGGCAATGGCAGCACATTGGATGGATGATTATCTATATCCTCGCATACCCCATTTACTCGTTTGCCCTTCCGGTGTACTCCTTCTGGAACCAAGACAATTTCTCCTGGGGTAACACTCGTGTCGTTATTGGAGAGAAGGGCAACAAGCAAGTGATTGCTGTAGATGACGAAGGCTTTAATCCGGCGACTGTCCCTCTACAGCTCTGGGATGAATATGCTCTGACCAACAATCTTCCAGGCCGCCGTGGCAACTACAATTATCAGGAGAAGCAAGACTTTGGCTACAATGAGCAGTACGAGATGGACGAAATGAAATCCGTCTACTCTGCCGGTCCTCAAGGCTCGGTCCTCACTGGTATGCACGGACGCAACACATACATGCCTCCCCAGTCTCCTGCACCTTTCGCCGCCAGCCATATCGGCGATCCATCATATATGCACCGCCAGTCAATGATGTCCATGGGCACTGCGGTTCAGGATCGCAGCCAGTCACCGTATTCTGACTTCCCCCAGCGTACTAGCGTGATGCATACCCGAGGTCCGTCCAACCTGACTCCATCGCCAGGCTTGTCTCCAGGCTTGTCCCCAGGCTTCGGTGGCATGAACCGCTCGTCTTCTGCCATGAGCTTTGGTCGAGGCCATGAGGCCACGCGGTCAACAACTTCGTTTGATTTCCACGGTGCAGCCGGCGGCATCATGTCATCAGATGCTGCCATCGTCGAGGCTATCCAAAGCGTTCTGCAAGGCGTTGACCTGGACACCGTGACTAAGAAGCAGGTTCGTGCCCTTGTTGAACAGCGCCTGCAAACGGAGCTTGTTGGCGAGCGTCGCACGTTTGTAGACAAGCAAATCGACCGTGAGTTGGAGAATATGTAACGATGCATATGGGCGTGGAATGAATGAGGAGGAAATGCAAAGCGTATTGGCGAATTTAGAATATGGGTGTCTTTTTTAATATTTATCCTCGTACTAATCATTCCTTTTCTTCATTTTCCGGGACTGTTTTGCTCCCTCGTACGATAGTCAACCACCACGAATTTTGATCGGCTGAAATGCCGTACTCTACGAAGCCACAGAAATGACTGCTCCAAAGAAGAAGAAGAAAGAAGAGAGAAAACCGTTTATTGCATCAGCAAAGCATTTGATATATGGCAGACAAGCGGCGTTTTTATGGGTGTTAATTTTTTTTCCCTCTAGGAAGAGAGAAGTTTACAGTCTTTTGTTTAAGCTACCATTTGATAAAAAGAGTTATTGCGTTGTGAAATGGAATAATGTGCTTTACCGTAAAATGATTGTTATAGGAGCAGCCTGAGCGGTAGTCTTTTCAAGCGGACTTTTGGAGCGGGCACGTTTCTCTTTATAGCGACTGTTAATAATACATAATTCATTTGAATTTGATACTTCTCATATCTAGAATTATCAAGCATTATTATTAGATGCTTGTTATAGTTTGTAATAACAGAGATCACGAGCTATTGCTTTCAAACTAATCTCAGGATAGATTTTGCAATGTTTAATGATGACGAAAACGCCTCGATTTCTAAGACGAAATGGAATAGTACATAAAAGAAAGATATCTAACAGGTGAAATTATACAAACGCTATGGATCCAAAAGTTCCTCTTGCTTCGCTTTAGCCAACTGTGTGCCTTCTTACAAGAAGGAAAAGCTATCTATGCATACAGGTGCCGCTCCCAGCTCAACTATTTTCTTACTACTACAGCGACAACAACAAGAGCAGTTTATTTTTGGTCTACTTTTCCAACGCCCTTAAGACGGAGATAGACGTCAGTTCCCCATCCGTACAAGCTCTGGACAGCAATACCGCCGCCAAAGTACTCTGCGTAAGCGCGGCTCAGCGGCAGGCCGTATCCCAGGCCCGCAATCGAGCTCCCCCCGGTGCTGGCAGTGGCAATAGCACTGAGCCCGTCGTTCCCACTGGATCCTGGGATATCTTGATCTTCGGAAAAGGTAGTAAACGAGTAAGACCAGATATTAGGAAGAACCTCTGGGGGAATGCCGCCTCCTCGGTCTCGGATGCGAATTGTTACACCTGGGGCGTTGTCGTCCAGAGGCTTGATGGCGTCGTATTTGAAGGGCCCCATTTCCTCAGCCGGGGGCTTGATATCAGGGAGATGACCCTCTTGTTGTTTTAATGGTGGTTCGGGGGCGATGGTGACCACGATAGGTTCGGATGTTTTGCTCTCGATGGATGCGCGGAACGCATTCTTAAGAAGCTCAGTGACAATGTATTCCAGATGCATCGGCAGAAAGGCAAACGTCGTTTCCGGCTCGCCGTCGATGATGAGCTTTGGACGCACGCCATATCGGAGCTCGCATATATCAGCCACGAAGCCGGCGCAAGAGTCAATCGTGAGCGAAGGCTTCAAGGCAGTGTCAATAACACCGATATATGTGGGATGCTCAGGGCATGGCGTAGGACTGGCTCCGGGGTCGAAATGAGGCTGACTGCTAAAGTGCAGCGCGATGTGCTGCTCCGAAATGAGGCGAGTGCCAATGCGGGCGCGCAGATGCTCGTCCAAGAAGCGCGTCACCTCGGCTGGGGAGATGTATCGCCGACACTCGAGGAAACCTTTAGCTAGGATGGGGATTGTGTCGGTATGAGTGGCGACCAGCTCGGCGAGGACATTGGTGAACTTGATTTCATCGTCGAGGGTGGTGATGGCTCGGCCTTCAGAGGCAGCCTGCCAGTAGGGCAGCAGGATGGATAGAGAGTGCAGGTAGTTGTTGTATATTTGAGAAATGTTGGGGTTAGAGACGACAATGTACGGGAGGTTCTGGAGCGCTTGGAGGCGGTGGGCGAGACGAATCGGAGCCAGGGAGAGAGTGAAGTTGGCCGAGGACAGGAGCGACCTTTCGGATAGAGGCGGCCTACCGTGTCTATGTATGAAAAGAGAGGTTGTTAGCCAATTGATATCACCCAGAGCTTAATTGCAGCATGCAGTGTATAAGTAGGAAGGGGAAGAGGGAAGATGGATAGTCTAAGAGGAGAGGACTCGCGCCGCCTACCTTACGAGATCCGCAAGACGCAGAGGATGCTGAGGCAGGTTGGCCAATTTGGAGATGTCGGCGTCAGAAACATCGTACGCACGGTCAGAGGTGAAGCGCCGGCGCTGGGCCTGCAGCAGGACCGGAGCTCGAGTTCCAAGTGGCCGCAGCAGCCTCGTGGACTTGATCAGGGCTGTCATTGCAGCATTGGGGGTCGGTTATGGGTTCTTGGAGACCGAGAACTGGAAGATGTAGCCAGCGAGACGCCCCGCTGATGCACGCCGCGGCCTTGTCTGTGATGTGCATGCAAAGGAAAGCAAAGCAAAACGAAGCGATGCCAACAGAGCAGCCTCGTTGTTTACAGGACGATAGAAAGAGTTGCGTTCGGTGAGCGGCTCAGCGATCTTCGGCGCATGCCACTAGCACATGCTCTGGGAGTGCTAGAACAGATTTAGCAGGCCATCTAATGCTGTTAACTGTACTGTACTACAGAGTTAGCGGTCACGTAGTTTTGTAGTGTAGGTCGATCATTGGTGGCAGCGGCACTAGGTCGAAGCTTTTCTTGAACCTTGGCTTGCCCAGTTGTGAGATAGAAGGCGGTTGTGCTGTGCGCCGTAATCAGCCGGTCAGCCGATAAGGCTAGTGACGGCACAGAGCCCACCAAGCCGGATGGGTGTTGCACGGCAAAACTGAACAAAGTATAGGCCAAATTGTTGACATCAAACCGCTGGAGACTGTATGTATATATCTCATTAACAGTCTCTTGGATCAGCCATACTAATAAAGTGTTTCATTAATCATTCAATCACGCGACGATAAGGAAACTGCTGCTGCTACCTCTGTACTCTTTAGTCCCTTACCCCACCCTTATCGACTTACGTCACGTCATCAGAAGGAAGCTAGAGGAGGGGGAACATGGCGGGGCAGCGTCTATACGGGCAGCTTTTGTTTACTTGGGGCATCACTGTCACTATCACTATCATGCAACCCAACTGTAATTCTGTTCGGTGTATGGAGTAGAAGATATTCTATCTGTATTTCCCTTCTAGTGTAGGCAAAGCATTATAGGCGTCATAAACAGCGTCGTCGTAAAGATGCATCTACTGCGTTCGCATCTCAGAGTCCTTCTCGACGGCCTTAACCGACGGATCCTGGTCGAGAGTCGAGACAGTGCCTTCGGGGTATTCAACGCTGGGTGCAGCAAATCCAATGTTAGTTAAAGCGGAACTATAAGGAGGAGAGAAAAGAATCGTAGACTCACGCGAAGCCCTTGATCAAGCTGTATTCCTGGGTGATCTTGCCACCAGCGTCAGTGGCCTTCTTCTTGGCTCTGGCCTTGTGTCAGCGATACAGCGTTTCGTATCCGCAAGAGGATGAGCGTCGGCTACTCACGCAGCAATCTGCGCATCCGAGGCATCGTCGTGAAGGGTAACCTATCCGATAACGAGCGACATCAGTAAATGAATTGAGAGACAGAAGTCGATAGACTTTGTCATTTTGACTCACAATGTAAGCGGGCATCTTGGGCGAGTTGGTAGTTGATATTACGTGTTGTGATGGAGTTGTGGCTTTGTTTGATGCAGAGGGGAAATTGAGGATATTAGTATGGGCGCCTGGCTGCCAATATCGATACGTCACCTCCCGCTGGCCAGCCACACTCCTTAGCCTCCTCCAACCGCAGCCGAGTATCATGTAAGCAGATGGGCATTGACACGCATATGCGCACGCAAGTGCTGTGCGTGGATGATTACTGAATCAAGGCCTGCTTCGTTTGTTTACTAGTAAATTGTAGGATGAGACAGCCTTGCTAAGATGACGACGTCTCTGGCGGACGGTAGACCAGCAGTTAGGCTAGATCTAGGCTGTGCTACGAGGTGCTTGGTTGCGCAGGGAAGCATACCACGACGTCGGTGGCTTTAATGACGTATCTTTGCTCTCAGAACTGGGAGGTTTGCTGCTACTGGTTCTTTTGGCTGTCAGCTGCTCGGCTTGCTTTACGCAGGGCTGTACACATCTTGGGTTTCGGTATGATGTGATGCCGAGGTAGGCTTCAAGCTGGCCTGAGGCTGGATCTGCTCGGTTTGTGTGCCTATCCTTCCCAATTTCGCTGCTGTTCAGACATGTAATCTTTTCCAAATTCATTATCGGCTAAGCTGCAGTTATTGATGCGCTCGTGATATTGGATGTCAAGATGCTGATTCAGAGGTGGATGAAAAGGCGTTGTATTAGTAGAGCATCGATCTGCCACGATCAGTCTTCTTCCCACAAAGAGATATATGACTAACAAGCTAGTAGTAATATTAGCAATAATTCAAAGTTTACGGTTTCAATTCAATCAAAACCATTAAGCTGCTCGTACAGCAGGAAAGTAATCACAAAAGCTTCCTTCGTCGCTTACCCTGGAGAAGTCGGGCACTTGATTAGGTAATCATCACCATGCTTCGTATTAGAGGTGAACCTCACCGCGGCTGTTAGAAACTCGTCTATGCCCAACGATACCCCAGCAACACGAACAAGTAGCAGCCCCAGAGATAACATGCACATAGCAGCTGACTTACACAGAGGAGTTATAGGTGCACTATGACGCTATTACCAGCCGCATACAAATAAACAATTGGCTCCATGGGATAGATAGTGCCGAAGATGTTGGTGTACGAGAGACACGGACAACTCCCCCAAACCCCCAAAACAATAAGAAGGGAACTAGAGTACGGATTTCTAAGTCCCATATATGACCCTGATCATAATTCCCTACCGGGGAGATCCGGAAAAGAAGCCTGAGCAAGGGGCGGCTGTGCTCCAACTTGCTTGATCGGGCGGTTAGGCTACCGAAGCACTGGGAGTACTTTTTCACAAGGAGGCTATTACCACTTCTGACCAATGCCTCTATGGCGGCGATCTAGCGGGTTACAGAATGTTATGTATCATAGCGAATCAAGCCAATTGTGGCATAGCAGTTGCTAGAAGCAGCATTGTTTCATAATGGGCACAATACCTAGAGGGAGAAGTTATCCAGCACCCCAATTCTATTATCCAACACCCCAGCTGTAGCTCAACAAGGCAGCCTGTCTATATATGAGAATACACAACTGGTAAACAAACTCAAACATAGCAGCAGCAGCAGCAATAGCCCTCCTGCAATAAGTACGTATATCTAGGGTGCTGAATAACAGAAATGGGGTGCAGGATAACTTTTCCTACCTAAAACCTACTTCCCTACGTGTCACTGGAGCTATGAGGACCCTGTCTCCCGCGCTGCTCATGATCCATGGCTGGCGACATTGCCTCCAGACGGTTCGGGCTCGGGCTCGGGCTGGCCAATATCCGAGCACACAATCGCAGCGCGCAGCTTGAAATCCTTGTCAATACTATTGGCCCCCAAAGAACAAAGAAGCCAAAATATGTCCCAAGGCTAGGCCAGGGGAATGAATATTGCGGAGCAAAAAGCAGCCAAAAGTGGAACGAGCTCGCAAAAGGCTTATTCGTATTCGCGTTAAAGTTGTTTAGCGCGGTCGAATTGGTGAAAGATGATTGGCTGCGCGCTCTGAGCGACGACCCAACAAATTCTTCTTTCGACGGTAGGTTGCCTTTTGCGGCGCGCGCTGCAAGGGATGTCTGGCCGTCCGCCAATAGCAGCCGTCGCTGTGCCGCACAAAATGAGATGAACGAATTCGAATGCGCTGATGCCGATGCTAGCGGATCTGCCATTTGCTCTGCTCGTGTGAGGAGTATCTTTCGTACTACAGCGCGCACAGAGCGTAGCAGTCTGACACGTTGTCTCAATGGAGGATACTTGCCGGTACTTGCACAGGGTGCAGGCCCCTTTTTCTTACTTAGTAGGTTGCCGTTGACAAGCAGACAATTACAGGCACCGGTACAGTATCAGCGATACAATTATCACTTGTATGAGCGCGATGGCTTCGCATGGAGTTGAACGCGGGAGATCGCTTCCCGCAGGCACCATCGTACGAGTTCTCTTACAGTAAGAGCGCGAGACCAAGTCGATCAGCGTACCCGAGTAAATGGAATTGGCCTCCAAGATTAGCAATTACCCTTTCAGGGCCTCAATGGAGCAATGCAAGCAGTACTCTACTGCCTGCTTGGGGTACCTGGCAAGATGCTGCCCGTAAAATCAGAGGCTCAACTGCGTCATTCAGCCAGCCCTCTGGTGCCTTTCCGGAGCCTGCGGAGAGATCCCCAGCAGCAATAAAAGCCCCCCTGTGTTATTGACAGAGCCATGGCAAGGCTCGCACGTTTGGCAATTGTATCGTAGCTGAGCTGGGACCTGTAATTTGCACTAGTAGTATTTCCGAACTAGGGACCCGTTGACGGATACGCGATTTACACGCTTGATAGGCGAGTGAAAATGTGGGCTGTTTAATGAATGGGTATTGTTCTCTTGGAGCGACGTCAGGCCCAAAGCCGAAGGCGCCGCCGCTGAGCATCCATTACGGCGGCTAGGCCAGGAGAACTCCTCCCAAAAGCAATACAAACAATAGAACCAGAATTGGCGTGATTGATGAGAAGCAAGATAGAAAAGATATGAGCTCTCTGACAGGTGTAGAGTATTGATAGGTACTTGCCTACTTACGCCCGTCGACCCACGGCAAGCCATCTTTGTCTTTTTTTCGACGCTAAATCGATAAGCAAAAAAAAAAAAGTGAAAGACAAGATTAAAATTGGCAAGGAACCAGTGCAATCAAGCGCACAGGGGATTAGCTGCATCTTCCGAGTCGTGGAGCACGGCCGTGGGTCCTCTCTAATCCAATCTTTGAACTACCAAGAAGAAAAAAACTCTCTTTGACGACCAGGATTCACCCCCGTCAGCCTCTCTCGCTCATGCGCGGTGGGATCTGCTTGTCAATGCCACACACACGCGCAGCAAACCAGACCAATTGACGGCAGCCTTTCGGACCCTGGAGCGGAGTTTCTGCTGGTGATTGCTTGATTGCTTGTAAGTACCTCGAGGTACTTCTAAAATCGACCTCGAGCACACCGTCCTCCTCGTGGGTCAGGGCCAATTACTAAAGCGACTCGGAGTTTAGTACTAATTCAGAGCTGCTAGTCGCACGAAATACTTCCCTGGCCTCTTCTGAACCCCAGACGGCTTTGGACCAACGGCTGCTGCCCCCCCCCTGTCGGCCCTCTATTCTTTTATATCCCCATCGCCGTCACTCGCTTGCCCCCGTCTGCTCTCTCTTTTTTGAAGGTAGCCGCAGTGCGATAGTATCGCGTCCGATCGAGAGCCTGTGACCCATCACACGAAGAACAGCTTGGAACAGCTTCTTCCGCCTTTAGCCCATCATGGAGGCCGTCAATGCCACCGGGGCATCCTCAGTCTTTACGTCTGTTCTCGCCAATTCGAAATATGTCAGCGCCAACATTCCTCCCCAGCTGGACTATGTGATCGAGACCATCTCTACCGCGGGGCCATGGACTTGGCTCTTCACCATCATCGCCCTCTGCGTCGCCTATGACCAAAGTATGTTGTTCGCCTTTTTCATAGCCCACGATGGCTCGACAAAAAGTTGAATCCCGACTAACGAGCGCTTGCTATCCAACAGTCAGCTATCTTCTCAACAAGGGCTCTATTGTCGGTCCGGCATTCAAGACGCCTTTCATTGGGCCTTTCCTACAGTCCATGGACCCCAAATTTGAAGAGTACTATGCCAAGTGGCTGAGCGGCCCCTTGAGCTGCGTCTCTGTTTTCCACAAGTAAGATTGGTTCTGCCCCGGATTTGATATGCTTTAGAGTCGGTGAGATGACCAGGACTGACGTTGGCTGCTCGGTAGATTTGTCGTTATTGCGTCCACTCGTGATATGGCTCGCAAGGTTCTCAACTCCCCAATGTACGTGAAGCCTTGTGTCGTCGACGTTGCCCACAAGCTCCTCGGAAAGGACAACTGGGTTTTCCTTGACGGCAAGCTCCACGTGGATTTCCGCAAGGGTCTCAACGGTCTTTTCACCCGCAAGGCTCTTGCAGACTACCTTCCCGGCCAGGAGGAGGTGTACAAGGCGTATTTCAAGCGATTCCTCGACATCACCAAGGAGAATGGCGGCAAGCCCGTTCCCTTCATGCCCGAGTTCCGTGAACTCATGTGCGCCGTCTCTTGCCGCACCTTTGTCGGCCACTACATCTCCGACGAGGCCATCAAGAAGATTGCTGATGATTATTATCTCATCACCGCAGCTCTTGAGCTTGTCAACTTCCCCATCATTCTTCCTTACACTAAGACCTGGTATGGAAAGAAGGCTGCCGACATGGTTCTCGCTGAATTCGCCAAGTGTGCTGCCAAGGCAAAGGTCCGCATGGCTGCTGGAGGAGAAGTCACCTGTATCATGGATGCTTGGATTCTGGTCATGATCCAGTCAGAGCGTTGGCGCGAGGCTGAGGCCAAGGGCCTACCCACCGAGGATTTGGTGAAGCCGTCACCCATGGTGCGCATGTTTGGAGATTACGAGATCTCCCAGACCGTCTTCACCTTCCTCTTTGCCTCTCAGGATGCCACCAGCAGTGCCGCCACCTGGCTCTTCCAGGTTACCGCTCAACGACCCGATGTTCTCGACCGTATCCGAGAGGAAAACCTCAAGGTCCGCAACGGCGATATCAATGCTGACCTCAACATGGATCAACTCGAGTCTCTGACTTACACCCGTGCCGCCGTTCGAGAACTCCTCCGATACCGCCCACCGGTCCTCATGGTTCCGTATCTGGTCAAGAAGCCGTTCCCCATCACCGACACCTACACTGTTCCCAAGGGTGAGTCTCAATTCTTAACCTGATCCGTTGAGATTGCACGCTTCAAATACTAACATCTTATCCGATAGGCTCTATGCTGATTCCTACGACGTACATGGCTCTGCATGATCCCGAAGTCTACCCCAACCCTGACTATTACGACCCCGAGAGATACTTTTCGGGCGATGCCGAAGTCAAGGGTGCCAAGAACTACCTGGTGTTCGGAACCGGCCCTCACTACTGCCTTGGTCAGCTATATGCCCAGCTTAACCTGGCTCTGATGATCGGAAAGGCCTCTGTGCAAATGAACTGGACTCATCACGCCACCCCTCTCTCAGAAGAGATCAAGGTGTTTGCAACCATCTTCCCCAAGGTAAGAGTTGAACCAAACGAAGAACCGGAAATAGTTGGACAGCTGGCTAACAACAACGTAGGATGACTGCCCTCTTACTTTTGAAGCGAGAAACTAAACCGAAAACACACGACGGCATGAATTTCACAAAAAAAAAAAAAAAAAAAAAATGAAGACTGCACAACTGCAGTCAGCGACGCATTATACAAACGTATACGGCCTTGCGATATCGAAGTGATATATAATCGTCTGGTTGGCGAATGTCATCCATGGCTATAGACGGCGTTTTGTCTGCACATGGCACCTGTTAAGCACTGAGCTGCAGTGAAGGAAGCTTTTAATATAATAGGGAGGAGTTTGGGATTGGTCTTGCGAAAGGACAGGGAAAGGCAAGGCTCAAAAGGGGGGGAAGGTACATAATTTTAATACCCAATCATCAGTGTACATATATTTATTAGTTTGTCCCAGCCGCGGCATAATTCCCCTCTGCGGCTGGGCGTATGAAGAGCATCAAGTTTAGCTGATGGAATGAAATTCAATAGAAGATGCATATCATTGAGCTGTCTGCTGTTTTGGGAGAAAAGCGAGGTAAGAGAGGTAGATAAACGAAGTGATGTATGAGATGCAAATCCTGTGGCAATGTTTCGTGATGTTTCGTGTAGCAAGTATTTTGCTTCAAAAACAACGAATTATGGAACCGCCGGCCGGCCACAGACGAGGAGGTTGTTGATCCTTTATATAGAGCAGCTGATATGCGTCCAAGTGGCTTAGGCTGGCATGGGATTGCACGAAATCCTCCGTACTAGGTATTAGACTAGTAGCTTCAGGCGTGGCTTCCACGAGCGAACGAAGCTTGAAGCCTTTAGGCTGACAGGTAGCTGCACATGACATGACGTTCGCGGGGCGATTTCCGCTTGTAATTGGGCAAGCTTAATCAATTCTCGAGGTCGCCATTCCCACGCCAGTGATCCTTTTCTCATGTACTTAGTAGGAGGGCATTCTATCATTGGTCTGCGCGCTACATACTGGTTTAGAAAAGAAGGAAGAGGAAAAAGAAGGCTGATTGTAGCTGTATGGAACTCAGGTTGAACTTGGCCTTTATTCGTGGCAAAGCTTCCCGAGGCTGGGCTATGTCGGATCCATGGCTTAGCTAGCTAGTGGCTTGATAGCGGAATTTTGGAAATACCTACAACGCCAGACGGCATTTTGCACGTGCAAAACTTGGAAAAGGCAAGCAAAGCAATTGGGATTCTCGAAAAAAAAAAGGCCTATTTGAAACCTAACAGATCAGGTTTACAAGGCTTTAGAGCGGCACCGAAAAGAAGGAGGCAAAGCGCAATCATGGCAACTCGGCAAGCTTGTCAGCGGCTTGCGCTGCGGCGCATCACATCGCAGATGACTGCTGCTGCTGCTGCTCCAGTGACAGTCGCTGCTGCGAGGACGGCGATGGGCTCTGCAATGCTTCGACCAGTGCCTACTTTGAGGCCAAGGGATCAAAGCAGGAGTATTGGTGCTATGCGGTGGTATTCTGCTGAGAACCAGGTGCCGAATAGTCGCATCTGGGGCTTTGACGAGATCAAGACGCTGGTCGAGAAGGATCCCAAGGAAAAGGTCATCCTCGTCGGTATGTCCGAAAACGTTATGATATGATGCCATATCTCAGTCACTGACCATGTGCTCTTTGTAAATCACAAAGACGTCCGCGAACCCTACGAGCTCCTCGACACCGGCAAGATCCCCGGCGCCATCAACATCCCCATCACCTCTGCCGTCCAGAGCTTCCACATCTCCGACGAGGACTTTGAAGACTTGTACGGCTACGCCCGCCCGCCCAAGGATGCCTCGCTGGTGTTCTACTGCAAGGCTGGCGTGCGGGCCAAGGCGGCTGCGGGCTTGGCGCAACATGCTGGATGGGACAGCGTTGGCGAGTATCCGGGTAGCTGGCTCGACTGGGATAAGAATAAGGGGCCGGTCGAGGTGGTTAAGCAGGGGAAGAAGGACAATTGAATTATTGAACCAGCGGTTGTGTTGTATCGGAACAGTGATGATTCTTGGTGTTGATGTCACAGCTGTATATAAACTGATGGCGCGGGATCAGGAGGAAAGATTAAAGTCGTTCATACCAAGAAGCGTGAGGTTGGAAATAAAGAACAAAAATAATTCAAAATCTGTGAATAATCTACATTCATGTTCCATCATTCAAATTGAGGCATAGCTAACTGTGCTGTCTGTAGCGTACAATGCTCTGGCCAAATTTCTGGTCTTCTCATGCAAATCTGCATCTCAGGACAAGTCTTTTCTTCTTTTAACTCTGAAACACTCCCCCTTATCCATCAACAACTTCCAAAGCAGCCATTACTGCGGCTTATCAGAGCCACCATCGGTAGGAGTTCGCGCAACCGGACTTCCATGAGCAAAGAAGAGGATCTTGATAGTCAATGAAAGGCCGGCGTGCAGCAGGATGACGACAACAAGTAGGATCTTGCTGATTTGTTGATCGGTCGCACTCAATACTGGATATAGGTTTCGTACTAAGAACACTACAGACAGGCCGAATCCAACACCCACAAATACCCAGTTAAGGATGGAGATTGGTGACCACGAAATCAGAGCAACGGGTATCCATATCAGATTCGCGTATCCGTACAGAGCCCAGCTTTCAAGGAGGTTCGCCGATTCGCTTCCAAAGTATCGAAGAGCAAGATACAGGGCCACCGGGATGACCAGGGTATAGCCGTAGATCAGGCCCGCCGCGCCTATACGTAGAGACCCCTTCTTGTTAGCTACCTAGTGATGAAGGAAGGGAATGACATCTGGGAGGATATAGCCATACCGCTGAGTAGCCTAAAATCATACGCAAACGCGGACTTGCCCGTCGTCGAGAGATATTGGCTGATTGTGCCGCCGAGGAAGAGAATCAGGACGACGGTCGTTGCGATCCAAAACGGCCCGTACAAATCGGGATTTCCCTCTAATACGTCGAGGAAGTTTGCCCGCGGGAACAAGGCCGCCCAGCAGCGCGATAGAACAGCGGATGTATCGACGTCGAAGAACTGCGCATAGAAGGACATGCTCCAGAGATAGCGCTTTGAGGAGGAGGAGGAGGAAGATGTCGCTGGTGGTGGGAGCCCCGGTGCTGGTGCCTTGCGGCCGCCTCGTGAGGAAGAGGGCTCATTGAAGTTGGAGCTGTGGAATTCGAGATCTTCTTGGAGATCGGTATCTCCGAGGTCGCCCTAAGAGAGGTCAGCCAGGGTGAAGCAATGGATTTGGCCAGCATGCTGAGAGTGATGTATAGGGTGCAGTGTATAGCTTCCTCGGAGCGCAACGCACCTCATCGTCCACGTCTACCACCGCATCATATCCGGAGCCGGACATTGCTGGCCTATTCCTTGTTGAGTTGTCAACGGATACGTAGTTTAATTGCTCTTCTAAATGCGCTTCCTGAAATGCCTTCCTGTAATTGGTGCTGGGGAGCAATTAGTTTCGATGGTTTAATAGCTGTCTGTCCCTCCCCAGGACCTGTTGGCTGGCTGCGATAGCTTGTCAACGTGTATGGACTACCGTATCACGTGATAGCTCCCGCTTGAGCCGCTAAGGCATGCGGATCGTCACAGCTTGCTTTCGACTCGGTGAAGCAAGCCGCGACTTGACAACTAAGAATTCACGATCAAACACTAATAGTTAGCCTAGAAATATATTTCTTGGGATTTCATCTTCATATCCGTAACAGATGTAATTGCTGCATTGGCGAAATTTGAAGAGAACATTCTTTGATCAAATACGGTCTATTACCATAATCCAGCAATCATAGGCATTTGCTATACCAGGGATGAGCACATGTACGCAGCGTTTGTAAATCTGCAAAGGGAACAGGTTACTATCTTTTTTTCGCTGTACTCAGCTTCTTGATCGCTACAACTATCGGACACTTTCAGTTTTCTGAGATTTGCCATCTTCTCTTCAAGGCCCATTATCACAGACCCGGCATTCGGAAAGTATAAATCGGTCCTGCCATGGTACTACCGGATCACTCCAGTCATTCCTCAAAGGATGGATGAATTTGAACAAGTTGCCATCAGATATCATCTAGATTGTTGTATTCGCCTCTACCATGATACTAATGTAGAAACAAATCCGGAATAAAGCAGTAGCACCTCTGTCCTTGCCAACCCCAGAATGCCAGAAACCAGACGCCGCATCTTTGGTGAAATGATTTATTTGAGCTTCTTCTTGGGACGAAGCTGGTTGGTGTGTCCGCACTTTCGCTTACGGCAGTTGGTAGCACGGGGAGGGAGACGGGCCTATGAATGCGACAGTTAGCACCTAGAGGAGAAAACAAAAAATAGCTTGTCCGAAAGGAAGTGAAAAGGTGTACGTACGTAGCACTTGCGGCAAATCATCTTGTCGCAGTTGAACTTGGAGGCCAGAGCCTTCAGGGAGGGCTCAATGATACCACCACGCAGACGGAGAACCAGGTGGAGGGTAGACTCCTGTATATTCGAATTAGCATCCCGTTTCTCTCTTTTTTCCCTATTCTCAAATCTCTGTTCTTCTCGCCAAGTTTTCGCACGGCGGTTCGGAAGTCCAGTTCCTCAGCGACGCACCTTCTGGATGTTGTAGTCAGAAAGGGTTCGGCCATCCTCGAGCTGCTTGCCAGCGAAGATCAATCGCTGCTGATCCGGGGGAATTCCCTCCTTGTCCTGGATCTTGGACTTGACATTGTCGATCGTGTCGGAGGACTCGACCTCAAGGGTGATGGTCTTGCCCGTCAGGGTCTTCACGAAACTTTTCGCATTTGTTAGTACGGGTTGCCGGATTTCGATATCGGGAATTTATTTCTGCTGGGCTTACATCTGCACTACATTACGGTTAGTATTTCATTTTTCATCACGGATTCTGCAGCTGGCCTGCGTATGGCGACAGTACTCACTCTTGGACGATTTTGGTGATGCTTGACGATGTGAAGGTTCAATCGCTGATTCTGCGCGCAAATTTGGTGGGGCGGAACTTCAAATCATAGAAAACCCTAGGTCAGTAGCCGATGCACGTGACTTTCAACTGGAATAATTCCTCAATATGGGGCATTTGAGAGGGCTTGCCCAAATGCTGCTAGTGCGAGACCTCATGCCGACCCACTTGCCTTAAAGCCCATTATCTTTAGCGTCTTTGATGCCGTAAACAGATGCTACATTGTATAAGAAAGTGATTGCACATTTAAGTTGCGGCTCGTTTTGTATACGGTAATTATCAATTACAAATACAATTGCCAAGAGCTACTATTGGGAAGTGCTCGCGTGGTTGATGCGTGGGTATGCATACGTGCCACGTCTAATGCTCGCCTTCGTGACCGTTCTTGGTCTGCCAGACAACCATAGCCCGTTCGACCCTGTATATTGCGTCTGTCATGGTTTCAAGAGACGCTCCCACCACGGTACCTTTATGTAGATGTATATTTTAGCTCCTGTATCGCAGATTGATATGAGTGCTCTTAGTGTGTAAACATACCTGCTGCTTTGTACAGATCGAAGGCTGTCTGATTGAGATGGTCAACATTACGGAAGGCTTCATATCTCGAGATAGGCATCGTCGTGCTTTTGGCTGTCTCGATCGAGCTGAATGAATCGTATTTAATAGTCTGTGATAGAAGATTTTTGACTGCATCGTCCAGCTCCATGGTGGAAATATCATCGACTTGATTGATGCTTGTTGGTAAGTCTTCTACGGGGAAGAACTTCGTTATCGGGTTATCGCCTGTACTCTGCATGTCAGAACTTGAGCCACCTCGGGAACCTTGTCACCAATGGCACCCACTAGTGACATCGATGAGACTAGAGACGTGAGCAAAGTACGCGTCGAGCTCCTCATCGTCCATAGAGACTATTTGGCTGGGTGTGACCTTGTTGAAGTCATACCTGCCAGTCTTTGTCTCTTGCTGTGTTGGTAGACCATGTTTCCCCTGTCTCCATCTCTCCCAGTCAAGTTTAGGCATCTCGACAGAGTCGAAATTGGCAGGCTGGGATATTGAAGTATCCTCAGAAAAAGGAAAAGAGAGCTTGGTAGCAACAATGAGCAAGGCTATCAGCCGTATCTCTGGATAATCCAATCGAGTATTCGACAGCCTCTCGATTGGGAATTGGAACTGATACCCCAGGATAGATGCCAGTTTACGAGCCATAATGATGGAGTCAACTATAATTCGATTAGAGCAAGATACTGTGACCGAGGTTCGTGGCTCTCCACTTACTGGGTAGCGCAAGCTCCTTTGCGAACTGTATCAATTCTGGAACATGATTGATCTCTGGGAAGATTAGATTGTAATTGAAATGGTATGAGAGCACAAAGTCCATAACGACCTTGTGCAGCCCATCACCTTCCACAGGGGAGCGAAATGGCAGCTTCAGGAGCTTGATATAGGGAGCGGGCAACCTATCGCGCATTTCTTGGGGCAGCGAGTGGTACTATTTTCTGGTCGTTAGCATCGGGAAAAAATATATACAATCCACTTTTCTTACGCATTTTTTATATAAAAGACTGCCATTATTAGCCCATCGAATGATTTCACCAAGGTGCGTAGGTATTCTCAAGAGGACGCAGCCCAGATAGCAGATGGCGAGCGTATCGGGCACACGCGGCAACGGCCACCGCGAGCCCAATTCAGGATCCCAGCTTTGCTTTCTGGATTGTCGCTGCCAGTTTGCCAAGGCCGAGCCCTGGGGAGGCTCAGAGCTGAAAATCTCCAATTCCTCTTCTTCGTGGGTGTCATCTCCCAAGCCAGAATTGGATCCTCTAATTCGCAAGTCCCATAAGTCGCGAACGACAGTCTCAAGCTCTTCTCTATGCCCCTTCTCGTTGATGAGCCATGCTAATTGGCTTCTGATAATCAATTGAAGGGATTCAAGATAAAGATCTCTGCCAGCCTGGCCAGTAAGCGGCGCCCTTCTTCGTTGATCTCTAGGGGCTTTTTCACGCCGAGACACGGCTCCCATTTTACCAGAGTCTTCAATATCACCCAGATCAAATTGGACAAAGCCCTACAGCTGATCAGCCAAAAAAATTTACAACATGCCCTTCTTTCAATACTGTCTCTATAAAGAGAGACACTCACTTCGACTTGATGGCCTCGGGCGCAAAATCTCAGCCCGTCCTGCAGATACCATTTCTGGCTACCACATTCAGGGCATCTCTCCCCTCGGGGCATCCTACGAAGACCTCCTGGTGCTTCCATCGTGGGCTTCCTCGCTGAGTGTTGTTTGAGTGGCTGGAAAACTTGAATAGCCGGGCTGCATCTAGTTTGGGGACGCGCGAGTAGATTTCACGGCTTAGGCGGGACGGTTTCGACAGCAATTAAGAAGCTTGCCCTCATGTTGTATCGTAATATTCAGTAAAGAGAGATGAGAGACAAGAAAAATTAAACAGAAAGCAAATGTGACCAGAGCTGTAGGACTGCGCGACGAAGCTCTAGATTAAGTCATGACTTTGCAAGCTGAGGCTGCATTGCTACTGAAAAGCACATGCAAGCTAGCGCATCTTAGATCCAAGATGGCCGTTTTGCGTAGTACCGACAGCCCACCTTTCCGCGAGTAGGTATTTTTAGCCTTCGCTGTTAAGACAAAGTTTCACACATCCGGGCTCTGAAGTTAAAATATAACAAAATGCAAGAATGAAATCGTCAGTCTTTTACGGTTATGCAAATCACTACTTGTATTGATTGATAGACTGTACAGCAAGCCAATATGCACATTCATTTTTTTTTATCTTCATTTTCTATCATTAATCCCAGCTACGCAGACTTCCATCTGGGTAGCTTTGGCCATGACTCGTGAAGGACAAAGGAAACTGTATTGGCCCTTTGGAAGGGTATTTGAAGTGCCAAGTATTGAAACTAGCTGAAAAAAATCCGACCCATCAACCTTCGAGCGGAACGACCCATACATCAACCCAAGGATATTCGATGTTACGACGGCCGCAGTAAACGCCAAGAGGTGGAGGGAAACGAGGGGCTATAAACAAATCCTAAATCTTCATTTTACTCAATTGGCGGAGGAAAGTAGAATTGTTAATTTAAGACTGCTTAGGAGCCTCCTTGGCCTCGATGGCGGCCTCTTCTCCCATGGAGGTGAGAACGACAACGTCTAGATGTAAAGGTTAGGATCCGTTGTTAAGTGGTCGCTCGTAATTTCAGTAGAGAGCAACTTACTGGTGTCCTTCTCGTCAACCTTGAAGAGCTTGTTGATCTTCTCACCAATCTCACCGTCGGGCATGCGGACATCGTCCTTGGTGTCACCGTCGTCGTTCATGAGGGAGAGGAAGCCATCGTCAGAGATGTCGAGCTACAAAGAATGGGTCAGTACTTGTCAAGCTATATTTTCGCCCCCCGTTTCTCTCAAACTTTCATTTCAAGACCAGGGTCGACTTACAAGCTGGTACTCACGACGGGTGACGTTGGGGACATCCATGTTGTGAGTGGAAGGAGAAAGATCTTCGTACTTCTTGCCAGTGAAGATGTCAAGGGCGACAAGGTGGACCTTGGCGTGACCGTGCTTGCCAGTCTTGGAGGTGGACATGTCGACAATCTTGCAGGGGCGGCCCTTGATCACGACGAAGCCGTTCTTGCGCAGAGCAGAGCACTGCATGGGGTAGGTGAGAGACGCGCCGGCGTCGGCGGACTCGAAGGTAACATCATGCTGTAGACGGACAAAATGGTTAGCATCTGTAGTCCACGAAGAAGCAAATTTGGGCGAATTGTAATTTTGGCGAAGAGCTTGGAGTCGATCTTGCAAAAAGAGACATCATGGCGGCGCAGAGGCTCATCTGGCAAAATCTACAAAGAAAAAAAAAAAAAATTGTAAAATATTGTGATGTGGGGTGCCGCTCAGTCGAGGGGCAGCCAAGACGATTGCGGGGTGGTTTTTCCTCCTGTGAAGGCAGCGCAAAGAAGCTCGAGAGAGATGGACGACTTACCTCGTCAGCCATGGTGATGGATTGCGCAAAAATCGAACTTGTCGTGAAGCAAGAGAAAGAAGACGAAGAGTGAAAGAGAGTCTGCGCGGCAGACAGACAGTGGATAGTGCTGGGAGTTATGTGGAGAGGAGAAATTGAGAGGTGAGAGGAGAGGAGCAAAAGGTGGACGGAGGGGGTAGAAAAGGTGCGTTACCTGAATTTTTTTTCGCCGGCGTGATTGGCCCTGGCGTCAATTTTGCCTGGGCGGTGGGACACAGCTTTGCCTCTTGGGAAGCGGATTTAGTACCTTTTGGACCCGTAAGGTTTGGTACTTTTTTTTTCCCTCGTCTTTTCCCCTTCTTTTCTTAGATACCTAGTAGTCAAGCAGCTTTGGACTAGCTTTTCTAAGGGGAAAAAAATTATTCATAGAAGATTTCGAGGTTTGTTGTGGCTGCGCTGTCCAGCTATGGATGGCTTAGAGTCTCGTAGGCGAGAGCTGTTAGATTGAGGTGGACAGCAAGCGGTACTGTCAACGCCATACAATCCACAGTACCTATAAGTCGGAAAACTGCCCACACATTGCATCTGTCTGGTTTCTTGGTACTGAATTAGCACTGTATCTTCCCAAGGTGTAGGTACCGAGGTGCCTCCGCATCTAGACTCTGCAGCTGCGGTGCGTTGCCGTCAAAGTATGTATCCCAATTCTGATGTCGGGAGCGGGGAGGCTGCATGAGCTCACTCTTGTGTAGAAAAGGGTAAGATGATCACACACACGCACAACTCCGCATCTGGAGTCTGCAAAATCTACTGGTGGCACTCATGCATGATGTGAGAGCATGATTTGTGAGACGATGCTATTGATTCAGGGCGTATCTCCTACCTACTTACAGGTACCTTATCTTGGTCAAACTACTAAGGTGCTATACGCTTCATTGGAATAAAACATGGAAACATCAATGATATAAGCGAATGTGAAGTGGCTGCTAGGCACTTGATAGTCTGAGCTCTTCTTCCGTGGCCGGAAAGAGGAACAGCCACGATCCCTAGCAAAGCTTAATTGCGAGCTGGCAGAAAAGCTGTCGGCATGCTGCGATTTGCTAGGTACGAGATTGCTGCACTGTATCTGCTATTAGTCGCGTGCTATGCGTTGGTGATCAATCTGCAACAGAGCTGAAGCTTCTGCAGCAGGATGCATGCATACGCGGGCTACCTTTTTCGACACCTTTGACTCAAAACGCCGTCAATGGGCCTTGAGACGATGGCTGCTGCTTTGCTTTTGAGCTCCAGAACAATCATCTGACAGTAGGAATTGGATGAATAGGCACTGAGGCCTGCAAATAGCATTGACTGCTTGCTTACCTTTTAAGTGCCCGTACATAGCACTAGAGGATTCAATTGGCGCGCCGAGATCCCTATTGTAGCACGCCCCATGGCCAGACACGGCGCTAATCGATAGCCCCAAGCTCGGCTCCACTGTCGCATCGGCATAGCCTCGCTGCTGCAACTGAACTGGCCGGTCGTCTCACTGAGCCCTCCGTATTGGACAGCCAACAGCACCTGAGGTATGCTCGACATATATTGGAGCAACGTGACGACTACCAATTGTCTAGACGTAGCGACCGCTCGGCACTCGAATATTTTCCTCCAAGCGATGAGACGGTCATGATTGCGAGGCTCCCTCTTTTCCTCCACCGATAACCCCCAACTCCAGCTCCCGGCCTCTCTCGCACCATGTGGCTCGACCGGCTCTCAGGGAGTCAAGCCAGCGCGTCCGGGCCCTCAACTCCTCAGCTCACCAGCCGGCACAACTCGCCGCTTCCGCGAAAGCCACAGGCCAATCTCAGTCCCTACGTAACCTCTCAGCGGCAAGGGCCCTCTCCGCGGGGGTCGTCTCTGTCATTAGTATCCAGCGACTCTACAACCTCGCTATTGGCATCATCACGCAAGCCCAATGGCTCAGAAGTGATACAATCAGCCGCGCCTCAGGTTCCGGACTCGGTAAACATCTTGGAGAAGCTATTGGCGGCAGATTCGGAGATTGTAGGCAAGCCTCAGGGCAAGGCAAGCTTTATCACGGAGGAGGACCTGGGGCTTGATGTTGATTTTGGAGGATTGTCTCTCAAGGAGCTGGCTGCTGGGAGCTTCCATGCCGATGCCACAAGCTTCCGCCGGCCTCAGAATGCGAGCGAGTGTACGTTGCCATCTCAACTCGCCGTCCCAAGCGACTGTATCCCACGTGCTAATCTGTCTTTAATAGATGAGAACGACAAGGCCCGATTCGACGCCCTGCATCGATCCATTGTTGCGTGCGACGAAATCTTGAACTCGGTCGAAATCAATCTTGCGGATTTTCGCAATGATCTTTCCACTGTTTCCGCTGATATCGAAACTTTGCAAACCCGTTCCAGCATATTGAGCCGAAGGTTGGAAAATCGAAAACGAATAGAAAAGGCGCTTGGCCCACTGGTAGAAGAGCTGAGCGTGTCCCCCGAAACAATTTCCAGGATAACGACAAGCCATATTGATGAAGCATGGGCAAAAACTTTGAATGAATTAGACAAGAGAGCCTCAGCCGTTCAGAAGCTATCAGGAACACAGCAGGGCAAAGCTAGTGAAGAGCTTGGTCCAATATTGGAGAAACTAATATTAAAGGTACCGTCTATCAGCTCAATTTTGATAACAGGTGGCCTTGGACTCGACTAACAGGCGGTACTGCAGGCTGTCGAACGGATTCGCGACTTTCTTGTGGCCCAGATAAAGGCCCTTCGGTCGCCCCATATCAATGCGCAAATCATACAGCAACAAAACTTTTTAAAATTCAAAGACCTCTACACATTCCTCCATAAACATCATGCGACGCTCGCAGACGAAATTTCGCAGGCGTATATGAACACGATGCGATGGTATTACCTCAATCAGTTCACGCGCTACGAGAGAGCTTTGGCCAAGCTCAAACTCCATATTCTGGACAAGAATGACGTTCTGGGACAGGAAGACGCGACAAGAAAAACAGCCGTCTTATCCAGTAGTCGTGCTCCTGGCCCACCGCATGATGCATTCAATCTTGGACGTCGGATTGATATGCTCCGGACGAAGAGCACCTCGGCCATCTCGTCATACCTGGCAGAGGAGGACCAATCAACTCACTACTTGGAGGTTCCCTTTCGAAATTTCAACTTGGCTCTCATCGATAATGCCACAGCCGAATATACCTTCTTGGCATCCTTTTTCGCTCCCGCCTTGTCGTATTCACAAATATCAAAAAATTTCAACTATATATTTGAGCCAACGTTTGAGGTTGGTAGAGTGCTTTCAAGAACCCTCGTAAGCGAGACATTTGATGCGCTGGGCCTCCTACTCTGCATTCGACTTAACCAACACTTTGCTTTTGACCTTCAAAGGCGAAAGGTCCCTGCTGTGGATGGCTATGTCAACGGTACGAATATGCTATTGTGGCCACGGCTGCAGGTTATCATGGACCGCCATTGCGAATCCGTTCGACTACTGACGAATGCTGCGCCCGCGAAAATCGCCAAGGCCGACCAGTTGAAGCTGTCCGCCGCACCGCACATGGTGACCCAGCGGTTTGGGCAGCTGCTCCAAAGCTTCCTGGCCCTCTCCACGGAAGCTGGCGACGATGAGCCCGTCGTCGCCAGTCTCCGCCGTTTGCGGTCCGAAATCGAAGCTTTCTTGACTCGACACAGTCAAACGCATGGCGATACGAGAAAAAGCGAGCGATTTTTATACAACAATTATTCTTTGATTCTTACCATTATCGGCGATGAAAATGGCAAGTTAGCGCAGGAGCAACAGGAGCACTTTGAGGAATTAAAGCAAAAATACCAGGGCGAATCATAGAAGTACATATATACACTTGAAGCAAAAGTACCCACGTAATTATAATAACGTATGCATTAAGACTTTACATCTAAGCATTGATGTGGAACTAGGGTTGGATTCCAATTTCTACTGTATGGCGTCTGGAGACACAGCATGTTTATGGCAGAAAGTTGAACATTAGATAGAGCAATCTATAAAGGGATTACGCACGAAAGTTCTATAGTTGGGCTCTTCATCTTTTCCCTTCTTCTTCCCCCGTCCATACATGATAATCTCATTGCTGGCCTGGGAAAAGGGACCATATATACTGCAGAAGAGTAGGGTTCCGCCGGAGGTAGAATGCCACGACTCCAACCATGATAGCTGTTCCAATGAGCCGGGCAGGCCGCCTGTATAGCCAGATTTTTCTCCTGACGCCCATTCTTAGCTCCTCCCACTGTATCTCCTTGACTTGTTTCTCGAAGTAGTGATGGCCATCCTCTATAGTCTGCCGCGCACTTTCATCCACATCCCTGGAGGTTTTGAGGACGCTGGACGGAGAAATCTGCTGCCATGATCTTAGGCTCTCGGGGGGGTTCTGGGTAAAAAGATAGACAGATCTCTTGATGAGAGCATCCAAGTCTAAATCCAGAGGGACTCTGCCGAGAATGACTTGAAGCATATCGGGCTCGTCAATTTCAAGGATCTCTTCGCGGCGATCTATGACAATCTGGGCAAACAGATATAGGGAAAAGGTAGGCTCGCGCGCCAAGATGACGTCAAACAGCCGAGCTATGTCCTTGTACCGCTCAATATTGTGAGCATACATGGTAAGGGTACCGGCGAGGGCGTAAAAGGGTTCTATACTGGAGAGATGCCGGCGAAGTTCCATGTCTGCACGGGCTAGGATGTCGGGGAGGAGCCTTAGTTGTGCGGTTGTGGCGCTGAGGCTGGGCAGCATGAAGTCGCGGATCCTGAGAACGGAGAGCCGCGACACCAGCGGTGCTCTTGCCGCTGGCTCTAGGACCAGGAGGAATACCTGGCAGATATCATGGTACCCTTGAAAGTAGCAGAGATATGGGTGTCGGCGGAGAACCTCTACAATGAGGTTTGATAACTCATGTTTTCGTTCTTGCAACTGTGCTTCGGACTCATCTAAAGATGGAAGATGTTGATTCTTGTTAGTCCTACTATGGGTCTATCTAGAGCTTCCTTGGTGGTGTGATGGATCTAATTGTTGAGAGACATACCATTAGGATAATGGACAAAAGATCGATTCACATCGAGTTGAACTTGATCTTCGTCTTGATGGCGTGGAAGCTCTTTCCAGTCATCGTCTAGGGGAGCAGCATCAGGGTCTACCGAGTGTGTGACTTCGCTTTCTTTCTCGTCGGTTGGGGGAGGCAGGCCAAGCAATATGGGCCCTGGTTGGAAAAAACAAGTTAGCATAAGACATTTTGGGTGACAGGGAACAAATGAAATGAGAGAGATCAAATAAAAGGCCAGTCACGAGCACATACATGCTACCTGACGTAGTGTATCGGCGAGAAGGCCGCCCTCAGACTCGGCCAGAGCTCTCAGCCGTGTAGCATCTCTCCAGGTGCAGGCGGCGAGGATCTCGCTGGTCTTGAGGGCCACGGCTGGACTGTGGCCAAGCTCGTCTACGGGGCCCTCTGGTTCGGGTTCGGCAAAGTCGACATCATCGCGTGGGAGGCCAGCGGTATCGACCAGCTCTTTTTCCAGGCTCATGTGCGGGATCGGTGCTGTGGTGTCGCGACTAGCATGGCACTGCGTTATTGCAGGAGTAAGTAAGCGTCGGGCTGCATCTGCTATCCCCTGGAGCTTAGTGTACTCGGTGGGGTTCGCGCTACGAGCAGCCGTCTGGGGTCAGCAGATGGTGCATACAGACTTCAAGGCGATCACATGCTCAAACTTGGAAACTGTTTTCTATATCTGAGATCAAATCCACACAGTAGTTTTATCCATGATAAAGTTTGCATAGTATTGTTTCTTTCGTACCTAGCACTAGTAAACCTTGCTCTTTTCACAAATAGTTTGGTAGACTTTGCTGGTAAATAAGTTAGTAGCAGTAGTTACACCAGCTCGGGAGTCTCCAATTGCGTAATGACTGTCTATATATATATATATATATACAATCTGCTTTTCGGGGAATATCTGACATCGGCTCAAAAATTTTATTACAGTGAATATTTTGGGGCTTCACAAATTCGACAGCAACTTGTGTAACCTGTAGGTATCACCAAACGCAACACCTATCCTGCAACTTGCCTCCTGACGCGGCAGACATTGATTCGGCGCACGCAGGACTAGTTGTACATGTGAGGCTCGATTGGATTCAATCTGTCTACAAGGGCCCACAAGTGGAGAAATCTGGTTGGCCAGATTCCTCATCCTTCAAGCATCCAATCCTGGTCTCAACTCTCACCGAGTGGATACAGTCGGGGGAGGCTGCAGCAAATAGTCAACGGCAGTGTCTCCATAACGAAAAAGGAAGAATTCTGCTATTGGTGGCTCATCATCCTCCTCATCCTCCTCAGAAGAAAACCCCCCAAGCGCCGCCACTGCTTGATCAGCCGATACTGAGTGTGAGTGGTACGAAATATATCGGAAGGCTGCCATACTACATGTATGAAGATGCATGTCGTGCAATCCAAGCTGGCAACCAGCCTTATCGGTTGCAGGGCCCTCCGCACGGAGGGTGCTTACAAGCATGAAAAATCTAGGTGCTTCGTAAAAAGAGCCGTAGGGTTTTTATCCCTTTGGATAATGGCTCGGCGCCTGACATCCTGAGTTACACTAATACGTGTATAAGCTGCCCATATTCTTCGTATTTGCACGTGGGAAGTGTAGCATATACGTACGCAGGTCTAACAAATAGATTGTGAGAACGGGGCTGTTTAGAGTTCTTCCTAAAGTCACTATATTTATGACCCAATTTAGAGTATGTGACGCAAGTTTCGAGTTATTTGACAAAGGATTTGGAAGTAGAGAAGTGCTGAAATGGGTCCTACATGGATACCCGAGGTCTTCCAATGTGTCGTTACATGTACTACGTACCTACCTATGTTATGGGTCGAATCAACGAGCCTACATTAGTATTGGAAACAGTATCGACTGATACTCACTTGTTAATAAGGATACTCCAGAGGTACCAATCTTCTTTTTGAGGACTGACACGGTGTTATTCTGCTTGTACCCCTCATCTCATACCTATATGTCAGAGGTGAGGGCCATACGGCATTTGCATACGTACGATATCCACCTTTCGATTAGAGAGTCGAGAGAAGAGGTCGCTCATCGTCCATTGGCTGTAAATTGAGACTAACCATTTGATCTTATTAGCAAAAGGATATCTGAATTGTAAATTGAGTGGTGGGAATATGGATGTGGGCCAAATACGTGTAGAATTATATCCCGCGCCTCGCTTGTCGTCGGCCACTCTAACGCTGAGGATTCATAGAGAACTCCAGGTGCCTGTCTTGCCCGGTCTCACTCACTGGTAATTAAAGGCAGAATCTTAATGGTGTATATATTTATATAGGTGAAAAAGTCATCTTGAGCTTGGAGACCTGAAAAGCAGAGCTGAGCATCCAGATGGGGGCCAGGAGAGTAGGCAGAAGCATCAATGGATCCTTTCGTTGAACCCCGATGAAATGTCTACGATGCATGCATAAACGAGCAGTAGCAGCAGTGCTGGATGTCCGGCATAAGTGGACAAATCCTTCCCCACAGCCACAGAACTGGCGTGGTGGTTATGGGGGAGGCCGAACTGCATGTACTATCTGGATATCTCTCTCGCAGGCACGCTATTGGAAAATTGCTCTGACGCTTGTTACCTACTACCATGTAGGTAGGTAGTTGCATGTACCTACGCACAGGGGGAAAACACAACCATGGAGGGTAGCAATAGTAGGTAATACTAGTAGGTATTGTCAATATATAGGTACGCTTGTGGAGACATACAAGATGAGATATGACACGGGCGGCTGAATGTGCGTGAGGGTATTAACACAGCATGCATGGGGGCGTATCGCTACATGTACATATAAGTAAAGAGGTACTAGTAGTACTGGGTGAGGCAGCTTCTGACACTTGACTCTCGTGCCTGGGCTGGCTGCTTGGCCTGGAGTAATTCCCCCGGCCGGTCAGCTCCACGGCCAACATGCGTTGGATCTATCTTCAACGAACACAAAATGGCGCTTGGCAGCCAACATTGTCAAGCATCAGAACAGCTTCGCGCATGTGCTGGGAGTGCTGTTGGTTCACTCCACGCAGCGTGGGCAGTGGTGGATACAGAACATTGAAGCCTGCACCCAACCACAGCTCCAGAGCCCCACTCCACAGCTCCTGCAAGCAGAGGTGCTACTGGCTGCTAATAAACGACAAACAGCTTCCTCCTCATTTTGGCCCTTGATTGTGCCTTTGGAGCCTGTGCTTGACATACGCCTCTAAAGGGTCGGTGCCGCGCATTGTGAGGCTTGGAGCGGGTTTGGTACCGGACGAGTACTCCAGTTGTCCACAGCAGGCGCCGCCATCGCCAGGTACATGTGCGCCGAGCGGCATGATAGCGAGCTGCTTAGCAGGTATCTACATATACAGTACCTACATCAACCAAGACGCCTAATCTCCTTTTCCAACGTTACCCAAGCCAGCCGCCCGCGAGCTACGTCCCATTCCCGAGCGTTTATCCTCTGAGCAGCCTGCAAATTGATTGGTTGCCCTGATTTGAAGATTTCCCGGTCTCACTGCTCTCTCTCAGAGCACCAGCGCCTGACCACCCTCTTCCGTCAACAGGCGTGAGAAGCCTGCACGTTCCAACATCAGCGTCATCAAAAGGTGCCTAAGCATATATCGGCCTCGTGCTGGCTTCACCTTGGGCCCTTGACTTTCCTCACGTCTCTTTGGCTGCCATCATTCAGATGTTGTTCTAATCCCAGGCGTCAAGTGAAATGCTCTTCTGAACGCACGTTTCTCTACGCCCCCCCGTCTGGCTTCTGCAAGCAATATTCGAGCTCGATACTCCAGCTGTCTTTGATACTGAGTCAATTCTCCGCCTATACAACACCATCTTCACACCGTCCTGAGACAGTGTTACGAGAACAGCGGAATGGCCTTCCAAACTAGAGTTTTGAGGGACGGCGAGTGGGTTACTGAAACCGTCAACCTGCAAGCCGCCCTGAGGGCATCTGCCGCTCCACAACTGGCTTCTGAGCCTCTGCCGAAGTCCCCAGTCTGTGGGATTTTATCCCAGACTCTTGTCGAGAGCCCTGTTGTTCGATGGGTGCTCCCGGCTCGGCTGCGCTCTAGCACTCACAATGACATTGCTTTCGTTGGCGTAAGTACCCGTTCATCATGACAAGCGATTCCACGAGAGTCCGAGTTACACAATATCCGATACCGCCTTTCGATTTCTCAACTTCTTCTTGGCTGACATGGCCTCATCAGGATCACTTTGTTCAAATCAGCGAGCTTGGTAGAGATGGTCAGGTCCATGATGTTATTCGCAAGTCCGACTTTGGACACCGAATTCGAAATGCCGTCGTTCTTGGCGGTAGCTTAGAGCATGGGTTGGACGACGACCCAGTCGATATGGTTGTCAAACAAGAGCCATCGCCTTCTCCATCCTCTCCGGGCGAAGATGGAATATCCGACGGCCTTCGAGTTCGCGTTCTCCCTCCACAGATGCTCGTATTAGTACTAGAATCTTGTCAGATGGTATTTCTCTTTGTGAGAGAAAAGCCTGATGGGGGATTAGAGTTTGCCACGAGCATATATGAAAATCCTAAGCTATTACCCTACGTGGGCTACCACCTTGCTGTGGATCCGTCTTCTCGATACATGGCAGCAGCAACTCCGGAAGGCATGTTCATCGTATACGAATTAGAGGCCTTACCAGAGCTCAATCGACAGTACGCAAATCGAGAATACGTCCATCCTATCAAATCTTTTCGCATCAGGGCTGTCAGCGGAGTTGTTCAAAAAATGGAATTTCTGTTTCCTCGCCCAGAGGACCATCATCACATTATCCTAATATTAATCATTGTTCGAAGAGAGCGTGTCAATTCACCTCCCGTCTCTCGTATGGCAACGTATGAATGGGAGTTGGGTGACAATCTTCAACTCATCCTTGCTGAAGAAAGGGTCGGCAATCGACTTCCTAAAGAGTATAAAATGCCTCTGCTGCTCATCCCGCTCAGATTCAAAACGGCTTTTTTCGCCGTCTCCGAGTTCTACATCGGCATTGTAAAGTATGCGCTGTCGGGTGCGCCAGAGTTCGAAATGTTGCCGGCGGAACCGCCCGCGCCTACGCCGCTGTATCATGGGAATGGCGATCCGCTCTGGGTCGCCTGGGCGCGGCCTTTTCGCAATAAGAAGTATCTTGAAAAAACAGACATTATTTACTTGGCACGTGAAGATGGCGCAATCATACACATTGAAATAGATGCGGCTGAATTGCTTCCTTCTGTGACCAATGTCGGATGCTTGGAGGCCAATATCGATACGGCATTCACTTCGGCTTATGACATCTTTGCCGACGTTCTCATGATTGGCGGAGATTCTGGCCCGGGAGGCATTTGGAAGGTAAGCATCCGTCAAACAATAGTCCTTGTATTGTGACCCGTGTTTAATGATGGCCCCTCCTTTTGGTCTTTAGCTCGCTCCCCGTGAGGACATCCAGCAGGTTAGCATCCTCTCCAACTGGTCTCCCGTTATTGATATGACAACTACGAATGAGTTTTCGACATGGAGTGCAAACAACACGGATCTCCAAATCGGTCAACTCCAGCCAACGACCGTGCAGCAGAACAGGGTGCGCAAACAAGACAGCATATTCAGTGCTTCTTGCCGTGGCCTAAAAGGTAGCGTGGTGCAATGGAGATGGGGAATACAAGCTAGAATTGGGCTGGACATTGAAACCGGCGAGCCCATTAGGCAGGCATGGACATTCACTACACGCCACGGCAGTGAAACAGTATTGTATGGCCTTTTGGCGCTCCCACATTCATCAACTGTTCTCCGATTCTCAGAAAGTCTCGACCAAGTCGACATGGTTCCAGCCGAGGATACACCTTTTGATCTGGTATCAAGAACCCTTCATGTTGTTCAAGTGTCCGATATTATAGTTCAGGTCTCTGAAACTTCCATCAATGTGGCTACTCCTAGAGGAAGGTATGACGTCCCATTGGGCTGTCTGGGCTATCTTAACTTTACTTTGGCATCAAAATACTGATTATCCAATAGTTCACGATGCTCGATTGCGGAAGCCCTGGGTATAGCTAATGTAACAGCGGAGAGTGCTTTTTGCATTGGCCATATTGTAGTATTCTCCACGCATACCAATTCAGTTTCTCGGCTTCACGTTATGAGAGCCCAGGAAATTGAATTCAGCTTGATAAGCAGCTGGGATGCCCAGGGCGAAGTGACTTGCGTGTCTATATTTACAGTCTCAAGCGGCACCTTCGTTGTGGCTACATCTATGAATGATGGAGTTCCATGGCTATCCATCTATTCAACGACTGGGGAGCACATTGTTGCAAAAGCGATTACAGCTAGTTCCAGTATGTTTGTCATTCGTGCTCTTGTATCATTTTGATTGTTTTGATTGCTTCTGCCGAGCTATGACTGACACATAATAGCGGAACAAGGGGCTCGTACCGAGCTCGAGGCTCTGACGAGCATCTCCGTCGCAGATCAGGGCACTGACGAGATTCATCTTGTCCTAGGTACTCGCTGCGGGAGTCTCATTACCGCTCGAGTATCTGACCATGCTCCGGACGATATAAATTGGAGTACCGAGATTATCGGAGTGGCACGAGTCGACGTGTTTCCCTCCTCGATCCCTTTCGAAGAAGAGTCGCCCACATTTGCTTGCTGCGACAATAGATTACTCCTTCTCAGCGAATTTTCCCAAAAGAATCGCAGATTCACCAAAAAGCAATTTGTTTGGCTAACAGATTCGAACGAGCCATCAATGCCATCGCCCCCGATTCACTCAATTCACAGAATCTCTCAGAGTCTGTCTGGGCAAAATGGGCATACATCATTGCTGGTACTCGCAGGCTCAAGATTGCTCTTGGCTGACTTCGGCCCTCAAGTTGGGAATGTGCCACGGTCTATCCCCATCCAAGGCACTCCAACAAGGATTATATACTCACAGATGCTGAGTTGCCTGGTAGTTGCCATGATTACTGACAATAAGCCCACCCTAGTGTTTATTGATCCGGATACCGGGGCAATCATCTCTGTCCCCACTGATAAAGATAAGAATCGTACTGAATACATCTCTGGTCTGGGCCACTCCGATGATAAAATACATGGGCTTCACGAATGGCTTTACAAAAAGGATGGCAAAGTGTTTCCTTTTATCATCGTGACAACACATCGTGGAAGACTCATAATTGTCTCCACAGAAAAGCTGGATACTCACTCGCGTGAAGGAGAGAACAGACAACTGAGGTATTGGACACGATATAAGAAATGGCTTCAAGGCTCGATATACTCAATAGTGGGGAATGAGGAAGGATTGCTGTACTGTGTTGACCAGACACTTCATTGGGAGATCCTCGACTTGGCAGAAAAGAAGTTGAAACCTGTCAAGCAGTTTCAACTAGATTCCTCAGCGACCCAACTACGCATATTCAAAGGCAAGCTTTTTGCTCTCACAGCCTCGCATTCGTTGGAAGTTATAGACTATCAGTCAGACGAAGGCACTATGGAACTCATACACTGCGACCAAGTCTCCAGAAAAACCATCCATATGGTAGATGTGGGCATTCCGGCCGAAGGCTATGGCCAATGGCCAATAACACTTGTATCGGATCAAGCTGGCTCCATAGCAGGCCTCTGGGTGCCTCTGGGACAGCGAGATCGGGAGTTTGAGGTTGTATTCGAAGCCATGCTAGCGTCATCTGTGAGGAGATTCATACGGGCGCGCAGTCGGCCTTTATGGCTTGTGAATAATACTCAGCGGCGTTACGGAACATTACCGACTGCGCATGATGGTTCGGATATCATTGGCGTTTCATTAGACGGTTCTATGAAGCAGTTTTCGCTGCTTGGTCTTGAGTTGTGGCGATTCTTACTCTTGGTTCAGACATTGGCACATCAAAACTACGGCATGGCTTTGTTCGACAAGTCTGCGATAAATGACAAAGTGGACATTATGAGCCTAGACTTGCAGCCAAGCCCCAGGATCATGCACGTCGACGGAGATTTGCTGAAGCGCTGCATAAAGCTACGTTCGTTGGAAAAGACTATGGCATCTGATGACGCCTTCGCCTTATTTTGCCACCATCTCGATGCGCTGGAAGGAGGGAGCCTCACTACAGGATTTAAACACGAAGGTGAATTGAATCGGCGAAACAAATATTTCGAGCTCGCCTACGAGATTCTCGAGTTTCTTGTAGCGCCAGCGCTGTAATGGCAGTGTACCAGACATGGAGCGTTTACCGTTTTCGTTGAATGAATTTTATGATTATGAGTCTGCGCATTTAATAATTGCGTTTCCATACTTGCTTAAAGTAAAAAAAGAATAAGAGAAATGGGTATAAGGGTCAAGTAATAAAGATTCGACGTAGTTACAGACATGGAATGTCAAAAAGCAGGGGGCGAAGTGTAAAGACAGGCAATATATACGAGTAGTAGTTGCTTCTTGTAGTCCGCGAACAACGGAATAAAGCACGTGTTCAAGTGTCGCATTTGATGGGCCATTTACCACCTCAAACACGATGACTCACCTCTAAATCATCTGCCAACAAGCCAATGGCATTTTTCAACCTGGGCCAGGCAGTCAGAGTCTAAAGCTGGCTAGCTAAACGAAAAGTCATTGCCCCGCAAGACAAAGCCCAGTGGCTAACCCACCGGCTCCATAACACACGCTCTTGGTACAAGTATAACCACCACAAACAATTAATGGGCCTTTAGTGCGGGACAAGCTCAGGTATTATCTCCGGAACTTTTTTTTCTTGGTTGGTTTTTCTTCTCTGCATTGTCCTCCATTGCGTCGTTGGGAGATCGATCGTCGCCTATTTTTCTCTTCTCTTCAACATTGCGGGGCTAAATCTGAATTATTAGATTTTCGCTACCCCTCCTCTTTTTTTTTTTTTTTGTTGTGGTCGATAACATTGCTGATTCGCCCCTCCATCAAGTATCATCAGGAATACCTACACCAAGATGGCGCCGAAGAAGAAGGGTAACAAGAAGGGCCAGGACGACTGGGAGGCTGAATTGGGAGAATCCATCGCCCCGGCCAATGAAGCGCCCGCGGCCAACGAGGAGAATGGCGAGGACGAAGAGGCTGGTGGTGGCGGCCTGATGGCCATCATGCGCAAGAACAAGGAGAAGCGCAAGAAGAAGGGCATTGTGGACGAGGAGCCTGCCCCAGAACCAGCGGTGGAGGAGGACCTGTCCGCCAAAGCGCCCGTCGAAGCATCTCTAGACGATGACGAGTTCGCCCTACCGCAAAAGAAGGGCAAGGGTGGCAAGGGCAAGCCTGCCCCAACAGCGGCTAAGAAGGACGATGACGACCTTGAAGAGCCTGGCAGGATCCTCACCAAGGCTGAGAAGGAAAAGCTGAAGAAGGAACGCGAGAAGCAGCGTAAGAAGGAACAGGTTTGAACCCTCCCATCGCATTGGCCCTTGGAAGCATACCGATTTCTAATGTGGGCATAACCAGGCTGCGAAGAAGAAGCCGACTACAGCCGCGAAAGCCCCGGAGCCCGCAAAGGCAGCTCCCGCCAAAGAGGAAGCCGCCCCTGAAGAGTCTGCCGCCCCTGCTCCTGCTGAGACAGGAGGCAAGAAGAAGAAGGTTCCGGCGCATCTGGCTCTGATTCAGAAGCAACAAGAGGAGCTTCGTCGTAGACAGGAGGAGATTGCCCGCTTGGATGCTGAAGCCAGGGCCAAGGCTGAAGAGCAAGAAAAGCAATTGGCTGAAGAAGCCAAGCGTAAGGAAGAGCAGAAGGCCATCAAGAAGCAGCGTGAGAAGGAGCGTATTGATCAGCTGAAGAAGGAGGGCAAGTTCCTCACCAAGGCACAGAAAGAAGAGAAAGCTCGAAATGAGTTGAAGCTCCAGCAGATGCTTGCAGCTGGAATTAAGATTGGACCTCAGGAGGAAGAGGGCGCACCTAAGAAGAAGGTGGTATATGATAGCAAGAAGAAGAGAGGAAAGAACGATAAGGTAATGAGTGCACCGGTCCCCTCCATTTACCTTCTGTTTTCATTGATGGGCCTTACTAATGTTGTATTTTTACCTCCTTTTTAGAAAGATGAAGAGGCTGCTCTAGCTGAGGCTGCGGAACGAGCACGACTTCAGGCCGAGAAAGCCGCGAAAGAAGCAGAGGAGAAGGCGGCAAAGGAAAAGGCTGATGCTGAGGCCAAAGCTCAGGCTGCAAAGGCGGCTCAAGAGAGCGACATTGAAGATGACTGGGAAGCCGCTGCAAATAGTGGAGGAGAGGACGACGTCAAAGACAGCTGGGATGCCGATTCCGACGAAGAAGCCGAGAAGAAATCAGCCGCCAAAAAGGACGAGGACGGTGAAGAAGAGGAGGAGGATCAAAGCGACGAGAGCGACGAGAGCGAGTCTGAAGATGAAGCCGTATCAAAGGCCAAGCAAGCCGAGGCTCAGCGCAAGAAGGAAGCTGCGGAGCGGAGAGAAAAGGCCCACCAAGCCGCCTTGGCTGCTCGATCCAAGGACGATTTGCGCTCTCCCATCTGCTGTATTCTGGGACACGTCGATACTGGAAAGACGAAGCTTCTTGACAAGATCCGACAGACCAACGTTCAAGAGGGCGAAGCTGGAGGTATTACCCAGCAGATTGGTGCTACGTACTTCCCGGTTGAGGCCATCAAAGCGAAGACGGCCGTCGTTAACAAGAACAATGAGTTTGAGTTCAAGGTCCCCGGTCTCTTGGTCATTGACACCCCTGGCCACGAGTCTTTCTCTAACCTCCGTTCCCGCGGTTCATCATTGTGTAACATTGCTATTCTGGTTGTGGATATTATGCATGGTCTTGAACCACAGACTCTGGAGTCAATGCGCCTGCTTCGCGACAGAAAAACGCCATTTATCGTGGCTCTCAACAAGATTGACAGACTTTACGGATGGAAGAAGGTGGACAACAATGGCTTCCAAGACAGTCTGGCGCTTCAGAGCAAGGCGGTTCAAAACGAATTCAAGAACCGCTTGGAGGCCACTAAGCTGGCCTTTTCAGAGCAAGGTTTCAACTCCGAGCTCTTCTACCAGAACAAGTCTATGGCTAAATTCGTCTCGCTTGTACCCACATCAGCACACACCGGAGAAGGTATTCCGGATATGTTGAAACTTATCCTCCAGCTCACCCAGGAGCGTATGGTCGGCTCGCTCATGTATCTGTCCGAGGTCCAAGCAACAGTCCTGGAAGTCAAGGCTATTGAGGGTTTTGGTATGACTATTGATGTCATCCTGTCCAACGGAATCTTGAGAGAGGGTGATCGAATAGTCTTGTGTGGCACTGAAGGAGCGATTGTGACAAATATCAGAGCTCTACTCACTCCGGCGCCGCTGCGCGAGCTACGTCTCAAGTCAGCGTACGTTCACAACAAGGAGGTCAAGGCTGCTTTGGGTGTCAAGATCAGCGCCCCTGGTCTTGAAGGCGCCATTGCAGGTTCGAGACTGATGGTGGTTGGACCAGACGATGATGAAGAGGATATCTGCGACGAGGTCGAGTCGGATCTGGCCAACCTTCTCAGCAGAGTCGAAACCTCTGGTCGTGGTGTCAGCGTGCAGGCTTCCACCCTTGGTTCACTGGAGGCTCTGCTCGATTTCTTGAAAGACTGCAAGATTCCCGTGGCCAATGTTGGTATCGGCCCAGTTTACAAGCGTGATGTCATGCAATGTGGTGTTATGCTGGAAAAAGCGCCCGACTATGCTGTGATGCTTTGTTTCGATGTCAAGGTCGATAAAGAAGCTATGGCATATGCAGAAGACCAAGGTATCAAGATCTTCCAAGCTGACATCATCTATCATCTGTTTGATAACTTTACCAAGCATATGGATGAGATGTTGGAGAAGAAGAAGGAAGAGTCTAAGATGTTGGCTGTCTTCCCTTGTGTCTTAAAGCCAGTTGCTGTCTTCAACAAGACAGGCCCCATCGTTATTGGAGTTGACGTGACGGAAGGTCAGCTTAAAATCAATACGCCAATTGCAGCTGTAAAGACCAACCCAGTGACCAACACCAAGGAGATTATTGGCCTTGGTAGAGTGTAAGTTTCCATCCTTCCACCTTACTTCTCAGTATTCGTGTCACCCAATTAATACTTCCTCTGAGCTTGTATGCTGATTCGATATACTTTTAGCACCTCGATTGAGCGAGACCACAAGCAAATCCCTGTCTGCAAAAAGGGCCAACCCTCTGTCGCCATCAAGATCGAGATGGGAGGCCACCAGCCCATATACGGACGACACCTAGAAGAGGCCGATCTGCTCTACAGCCAAATATCTCGAGCTAGTATTGACACTCTGAAGGAGTTTTACCGCAAAGACGTGACCAACGATGAATGGCAGCTGATTATCAAGCTGAAGCCCCTGTTTGACATTTGAAGTAGTTGATTGGAAAAGAACAGGAAGAAACAAACAACTGCTGCCTCTTGTTGTGACTAACCAGTCAGTCATTTTGGCCACTCGACTTCCTACATAAGTGACCGCTATTCTTGACATATCTTATCCCTTATATTCTTTCCTCGTACTATAAAAGCATTTTGACTTCATACCTCTCTTTCTCTTTTTTCTTCCCTTCTTTTTCTTTCCTATTTTTGCTTGGAACTTGGAACACGTTTCAATCTGTGTTTCTTGGCTTCTCTTGCCTCACATGCATATTCGGTAGCGAAAACAAAGAACCTGGTCTGGGAGAGCCCATGGGGAGGTTCCGGCTTACAATTGTCACGGGAAATGGCAATCGTGTGTATCGAGTAGAAGAATGTAGCGGCTAAAAGAAGAACGGGAGGAAAAAATATCAAGTCTGTAAAACGCAGTTATGTGGCATCAAAACAAGAGATAGATTTTGAAATGATTTCCAAGCCCTTCATAAGAAATTAAATCGCGTCAGTTGTAAAAGGTATGGGAAAAGCCAGAGAATAGGACATGCATCAGGCTCAGCCAGGCGAAAAGCCGTGGGCCGAAATAAGAGATGGGAAAGTAGAAAAGGGGAAAGGTTCCAATAAGAATGATCTTTACAAGCATAGACGAGTCACCTATTGCTGTCAAGTTTTAACGACATGTAACGGCCAATAGACCAAAATCTAGAATAATTTCCTTCAAATATATGAAAAATCGTAGCTACTTGGGACGTATGATATAAAATGGATCTAGAATGCGTAGACAAGTTTTCCTCTTCATGATAATACCTCCCTTTGTGTGTCTTTGACGAAGGTCAATTTTTTATGCTGTATACCTCTTTTCTCTGTTTTGTTTTCATCTCTCGCCAATTTTATCTTTTCCGTGGCGTTTTTTATTTAGGGTCGCCAGTCTCCTCAGATTCGGTCTGGGGAGCATCAGCATCCTTCATTTCCTGGTCTGATCCGCTCTGGGCTGCCTTCTCGGCCTCAGCAGCCTTGCGAGTCTCTTCCTCAGCGGCTCTTTTGGCAGCCTGCTCAGCCTCGACTCGCTCCTGGACGGCACGGCGCTCAGCCTCGACTTTCTCCTGGTATCTGTTGATGATGGGCAGAGCGAGAGCACGAATCTCCTCAATCTTGGAGACGTAGACGCCCTTTGAAGCATCATCGCCTTCGTCGTAAAGCCAGTCCTATATCAAACGTTAGCTGAACCATTCACGAACAATTCAAGCGTCTATAGAGTAAATGCCCATAACATACCTCTGTTGACTCAAGCTTGGCTTTGATCTCGGACTTCTCCTCTTCACTACCATGCTCGGCGTACTGCTCGTCAAGCTTGGCTCGGAGATCGTAGATGAAGGCCTCAAGCTCATTCTTCTTCTCTTCTGTATCGGCAACTAGCTTATCCTCCATGACCATGGCAGATTCCTTCTCGGTCAGGGCAGTCTTTGAGCTGGCATCAAGCGATGAAGTGCCACTGGCGATAGGCAAGTCACCCTTTCGAACCTGCTTCTTCACCTTGCGAGTCTTGCCGTCGGTGTCCATAGCCTGTTACGGTATGTTAGTAAAGTCTGTAATTCCACGCGCATCAGTTGTATTGGATACTTACATCGGCATCCTTCTTGTCGCCATCCTCCTTCTTGTCATCGTCCTTGACCTCTTCCTCGACTTCCTGGTCCTCGACGTAGTAACCGTTCTCCACATTCAACACGCCGTGAATGTTGACTCGGGCCTTGAGCTTGCAAATCATGAAGTCTTCCTTGCCATCAGCCTTAACGCCCTTCACAGAAAAGCGGCCGATCCAAGGGTTCGTCTTTCCAGGAAGATCTTCAGTGTTTGCATAGCGAGCTTCCAGGTCAAACGGCTGTTTTCGATAGAATGTGAGGATCTTGGTCGAAGGCAGAACTCCACCCTTGTTGAACACAGTCAAGCTGGTGTCCTCATCGGGAATATCAGGGGCCTTCTCCCAGCCGAACTCGATAGGGTAGCTGATGATGTCTTGGACGGTGAAGTCACGAACTCGGAAAGCAGGAGACAAGATGGCACAGCTGAAAGCACAGCCTCGAGCAACAGCCTCATCGGCGTTCATGGTGTAGGACAGAGGCTTCTCGAAGAATGCCTGGATGCGGTCCTTGAGCGCGGGCACTCGGGAACCACCACCGACAATCTCGATGACGTCAATGTCATCTTTGGTGAGCTTGGCCTGGGCAAGGGCCTGCTCAAGGGGCACGTGAATACGGGCGAGCAAAGGCTCAACCATGGCCTCAAATTCTTGTCGAGTGACCATGGCTGAAGCATCCACATCGTTCATCAAGGACTCAATGTTGACGGGAGCCTGCTGGTTAGCAGAGAGAATCTTCTTGGTCTTCTCAGCGGCAGCAATGGTACGAGCCATAGCCCTGCCATGGGTATAGATGTCAACCTTGTATTTGCCCTTGAACTCCTTCGCCAAGTGGTCCACAAGAGCCTTGTCGAAGTCTCGGCCACCAAAGTTGCGTTCCCAGGCAGTAGCCTTGACGGCCAGCTCGCCCTTTTTGAACTCAACGATGGAGCAGGTGTAGTTGCTGTGACCAATGTCAATGAAGCACACCCGTCGAGGTGCCTCTTCCGCAGCAGGGAGATCCAGCTTGGTGATACCCCAGCCAAGAGCAGCGGCAGTGGTGTCGTTCATGAGTCGGAGAACCTTGAGGCCAGCAATCTCGGCAGCATCCAGCAGCGCTCTACGCTGAGAGTCTGTGAACCAAGCGGGGACGCTCAGGCAGATATCGTTGACGGGAAGCTTCATCTCGCTGGCGGTAGTCTGCTTGATCTTGCTCAAGTACATGGCAACAAGCTGTGTTGCGGTGAACTTCTCGCTGTTGCCGAGATAGTTGACCTCAGCGCCGACCTGGCCGTTGATGTCCACAAGGGGTGCGGTAACATATTGCTGCTCGATCTGGATATCGGGGTCGCTGAAGGAGCGGCCGGCAAGACGCTTGAGGCAGTTGACAGTGTTTTTCAGGTTGGAAATCTCCTGGGTCTTGGCGGCCTCACCGAGGTAGCGTGATTTGGGGCCGAATCCTACTAGAGATCTGTATTGCAGCACTCTGGTTAGCAATAGCGTTTACATGTGATTGAAGGTGGGAAGGGAGAAATGTCGCTGATAAGGCTATTGGGTAGGACGTACGGGGTTGCTCGGTTGGACACTTCATTGGTGATCTAGAAGTAATCAAGGTTTTCTGTCAGCGATGGTCCAGCTTTGGTGAGTACCGACGATGGTTGTTGGTCCATGACATTCACATACCACATCGACGCCGCGATTTCTCGCGACAGCAATCACCGTCTTGAGTGTTCCGAAATCGACACCTGCGACGCAGGGGGGAAGATGGTCAGCATGAGAGCGATTCTTTTTTCCAATCTGTAGCAAAGAGGGACGCAGTATAGAAATAAGCATAAGAATGAACGTGCGGCTGCGGGGAACATACCGACGACGGAAGTCATGATGTCTCTTTGGTGTTTTGCTATTGATCCCTGTCCTCGGAGAGTCTCGATAGGTATACAGTCGCACTTGCGTGGTCGACTGAGGGGCCCGAGCTAGAGGGAGTTAAAAAAAAAAAAAAAAAAAAGAAGTTTGTTGCTCAAAGGGCGTAGAGGCGTAAAGGCAGGATATACTCGATCAAGCCTGATGGGTGAAGGGTGAGGATAAGGTGAAGACTATAGAAAGAAAGAAAAAAGGAAGGGGGGAAAAAAGATCTGAGTAGAGGGGCCGTTCAGATAAGTGGCGGTTGCGATACAAAGTGGGATGCCAAATAGTCCTGGAGGCCTGGCTCTTGCGGGTGGTGGGCGGTGAGATCAGGTACTAATGCGAACCTGAAGAAAAAATTCAGTACGTGCCGCAGCCTGCTGAAAAGTGCCCATCGGGGTACCTGTCATTGGAGCTGGGCGCTGCTGCAACGAGTACCCGTGCCGGCAAACGGCAGGCCAAAGGGTACTCGCAGCAGCTGCCCCGCCGCCACCGAGGGAGGTACCCCATGGAAGGTTGCAGAATTTTCCAGACTCCACGAGAAAGCTGAGCGCCTGGGAGCCTGACCAGCGAGCCAGGAAGGAGTCAAGCAGGGCCTCTGGGTTTCCAGGGCTGTTGTTTGGTACCTAATCAGATGGCCAATAGAACGGCCAAGCCGCGGCAAGACACAATCTACAGGGAGTGTAAGGTGCCAGCCAAGTCTACGCCATTACCAGTAGTGCATTATCATTATCATATAATTACATGTATATTATACTTTCTTGTTTTCCTCTTGGTAATTGTCTCGATTCTTGTTCCCCTTGGCAGCCGTCTTGCTTCTCTTTCCTTCTTTCCTTCGTCCTCTCTGTTTTTAGACTCATTGGTCTTGCTTTTTCCTCTAGATATCTGGTTAGACAAGCGGAATGGACAATTACGAATATTCCCTTTTGCACATACACATGCACATACACATATTCCTTAGGTCAGTGGCTTGCAACGCAACGTGTTTCTTCGTTGACAGCCACGATAACAGTCAAGCCATAAAAACTACCCCGCCAAACTGCTTTAATGCCCCTCCTTGAAATGCCCCGCCATGCCTGGCTTTTAAACCTAGTTCAGTTCAGCTTGACAACGCGCCCAGAAACGTAAATTTCAGCATTCATAATGACGTGAACGCTAAGCAGCTCTCCCTGTTGATACATGACTCTCTCAATAACAGAAATAACTTAACTTAATCTAAATCTACCTGAAGCATATACTCATGGCGGAGCCTTCATGTTCCCTCAAATAATATTTGACCAACTTGTAAAGTCATTACTAGAACACCCTTCAAAATCTCGCTGGCTTCTCGTATAAAACAAGATGAATACCTCTTCTATGCATAAATGTATCTGCGGTAACATGATGCCTAACTAGTAAACCAATGTATCACGATGTTGACGATATCGAAAACCAAAATGCCTGTATTCCCCCCCCCCCCCCCCCCTCCCCCTTGAAATACATTCGTGTGTACAAACACATCTATGTTTGTAAGAGATGCAGATACCAGCATGTAAGCAGGTAGCATGGCCAGACAGCGCCACTATCTTACGACTCCGACGAGAGATCAATGAGCTCAACATCCGGAGACTCCTTGCTTGATGCGGCATCAACCCTAGTGCTTCGTTGGAACTGTGCCCGCTGGGCTATGGCATACTTTATCCTGTCTTCCTCTCCCATAAACTGGTCCATTGTAACGGCTCCCGTTCCGTTGAGCTGGAAACCCTCGAGAGAGTTTCTTTGCAGTGCGTCCCATGAGGAAGACGGGTTAGTGGACAATGCAATCGGTGTTCCAAGACCGATATCTGATTCGTCGAGATGTGTATAAAGTCCGGCTGGTGTCTTCTGTCTAGCAGAAAACATGCCGTCGATGCCATCAGGAGGCCTAACCACGCTTCCCTTATGCTCAAGCCGAGTGTTGGGGTGACCCTTTGTGCTTGCTGCCCTTCTTGCCTCGAGAGCGGGCAGAAATGTCTCTGGAACCACGTTAAGTTCGTCCCCTTGCTTTTCAGCCTTTTCGACTGCCTCTCGTGCGGTGGTATTGCCGTCGGCAACGGCAGCATCAGCTCTCGGGCCTCCCCAAGTCCTTTGCCCAGCAGTGAATATGCCATATACCATGTAATACCAGTTGAAGAAAGGGTTCAGGACAAACATGAGTGGATAGAGCCATATTTTGAAACGTCGAAGCTTTGCACCAAAATAGAGCATCAAGAGCCAATTTAGACCGAGGGAGACACCGATAAATCCCACAGGCAAATCTTTGACTTTTGCAACGGTCGATATCAGTGCAAGTACCATGATGAAAAAGAGAAGTGCTGTCGTGCGGATGGTATTTTGCATGAAGCGGACAATCACCAAGAGAGGGTACCGTTTCCATAGACGCCAATCCGTCAGCATGCATACTTCGTTGGTGATGAAGCCCAAAAACCATCGCCTCCGCTGCTTAATAAGGGAGCGGTAGGTCTGTACGGCTTCCGTTTTGCAAAACGCCGACGTGCACATCTGTATCTGGTACCGTTCTTTGGCGCCGATCATGAAGAGGTGGGTGAGCCAACGATCCTCTCCCAAGTGGCATTTTGCGAAGTCGAACAGGTCTTCGCACTGCTCAGCTTTATCTGTGAAATAATATTTGGCCATCTTCCTAAACGCGGAGAAGCGAAGCATGGTCAGGGCACCGGGAAGGCAAGTCACGGATCCGCAGCCTGACTCTACCGTGCGCTCGAAAAGTTGGCCATGTATATATTCAATATCTTGAAGCAGCGTGATGATGCTGTGCTTTTTCGTCGTCGATGTAATGACGCCAGTCATGGCCAGCATGTTTCTAGAATTGCCGGGACTGAGCTCCATGTCATAAACAAAGTTCTGTAGACAGACTTTGTCCAGTATGCAGTCTGAATCGATGAACAAGATGAATAGATTGTCATTCATCTTAAGGTATTGTTCGTATACTCTATCGATAAGTTTAAATGTCGATTTCTGGCAGTGCCTTTTGCCACCATGAGGGAACCGAGAGATGGTGATGCGTGCCTCTTTGTATTGGACATCGATGCTCTTCGGGTATGATTCCATTGTTAAAGGTACTCCCAGTTTTTCTATCGTGTTGAGATAGAGCTCATCTTCTTGATCACCGTCAAAAGAGAGGAATACATGGATACAGGCAGCGGGATAGTCGCAGTCAACAACAGAGTTAATAGCTGTGATAAGCACATCAGGCTCTTCCTTGTAGCATGGCATCACAATCACAACTTTTGGGGCGGTAACGTCATCAAGTACTTGCTTGATACGCTTTGTGCGCCCAAGTTGGTTGGTGACAAGTTGATAAACGCAAAACAGCCAGGGCACCGTAAGTAGAATGGAAAAGCTCCAGAATGCAAACCATTGGAGAACTGAGACGACGCCTTCTGGCCAGTATTTGGAAACTTGGCTTGGTAGCGGCAGAGTCACTATCATAATCGGGAGAAAGATGCATCTGAATGGAAGTGAGTGTCAGCGGCTCCCGGTTTGTACACAATTGATACGCACCAAGGGGCAGACCAACCTGAATGCTACAAATAAGATGCCAACAACGATGCAGAGTACGTTGATGGACCAATGTTCAGCCTTCCGAAAAGCTTTGTATAAGCAGTAGACGAATGCTGCCAACCAAAGAAACCACTCCAGCAGCGCCATTATCATCACCACGCCAATTATGGCGGTATAGACGATCTATCCATTATTAAATCAGTCTTATATTAGCCTTTCGCCGATTGCCGCGGATATCAATGGGTGCCATCAACACACGTCCACTTACATCTTTGACGGGCCATTCTGACCCAGTCGAACCAACCGCCATGATGCTTCACTACCGCAAGTAAAACCCAAAATTGCCCGTTTGAATTTTTTGATGACAAGTACACGATGACTTCAACCATACAAGTCTGGGCGAACAGCAAAAAGTGAAAAGTGCCAACCAGCCGTTACTCCTCTGATGTTCGGAAACCACAGGCGTAGGTGCATGCACGTATCCACACACAGCTATCTTGTTTCAAGACAGAGCAGAACGACGTCGAATAGAGATGGCTCACGGATGTGCCATAGATTGATGCTTGCATGCTAACCCCAGTCAAGATTGCCCCAAGATTTCGCAGCAGAGGAGGCTGCTGAACAGCGATCGTCGTGACACTTAGTGGCAAGCCGGCAGTGAGACAGCAGCAGATGGCCCAAAGACGCAGCGCAGCGGGATTGCGGCAAATGCTGGCCTGCAGCGCACCACCGTCCCTGCTCTGTACGAGTCTATAGCGGCCAAGCGACTGAGAAGCGAGAAACAGCAGATACGGCAAAAACCGAGGGTGAAGCGTAGCAAAAGTTACAGCAGGCTGAATGAAGCAGAGGCAAAAAAGAAGAAAAGAAACGTATCAATCGCTGAGAGGAGCGGCAAGTGATGTGCGCCACCACCTGCTGGATTTGGTTGTACGGGAAGTGTTCAGTTCACTCGTGCCTAGAGTTGGAACAAGTAAGACCCAGGCCAGGAATAGGTCGATGGGCAGCTGCAGGCGTCATCACAGCCCAATATGGAACCACGGCCTAATTGAGACAGTATCCTGTGAGAGGGACAGAAAATGAGAAGAAGAGGAAGAAGGGGAAGAATAGGAGTGAAGACGAGGGTTTAAAGAAGAATAGAAATTGCAATTGAGCTATTCAGCTCCGAAACAACAACTCAGACGGCACACTGCACGTACCTACATGCATACATAGGTAGGTAGGTAGGCACACACAGTTACACACTCACTGCCTTGTTGGTGCTTTGGACCTTCTAGGAGCAGTTTAGCATGCAGCGCTTGGACTCTTAAAATAGCAACGGCCACTTAAGATACGAGAGCCAGCATGAGTCCATTGCTCGCGTCTGCCAGTGAGCTTTCAGAAAATCGCTCTGACGCATACATCCATACTAAATTTATTATAAAGACATATATACGTACATCATACCCCAGGTACCTGGTGCCCGCTTGGCGGCAGGGAATAAATCGCCGCAAACCCCACCAAGGCGGAGGGAGGCTCAAGAGATGCCCTGTGAACTCCTTCACTCTAGTCTATGCAGGTTCTGTTTAGCCTCGCCCTCGCACACGGATAACAAGATACTGGTTCTGGTAAGAGGTACTCATAGCAGTATTGGTAGATGGTGAATATAAGAATGGCGACACCCTCATACAAGGGTTCGAAGCTCAGGTCCCTTGCATCCTCCCTCGCTCGCCCCTCCCTTCTGTTGCGGGGTTCAGTAACGTCAGAGAAGACCGCGAGAAGTCCTCCATCGAAAACCTCACGCTTTGCAGTCAATCTGAGAAGTCGCTGCTCTCCATCACACCCATCCATCCTGGCACGAGCTTACCCCAAACAATAGCAAAACAGTATGAGCCCTGCTATTGTCATATGTGCTCTGCCACCACGACCGAATGTCCGGACAAAGAGAGCCCCGTTGACCAATAACTCTCAAATGGTGTTGTGAAATGCGGCCAGGCAGATGCTGCAAAATCAGTTAAGTGATCTCTTAGCTTTCTTACACGGCAGCATGAGTATGACGGAGATGAGCCATATCTTCATCTTCCTCTCCGTCTCATATCGTGGTGACCACAACAAATTTATGCCCCGATGATGCTCCTCAAGTTTTATAACCGCTTGGTGCCCAAGTTCACAGTGCGGAGTAGCTGTATCGTGCGTCGCCATAGTGATTGGCTGTCACTGTAACGCCTTACCAGTCTACATCGCTCAACTGAAGCTTCCGAACGCGTTGGCCCCGATCTTTACTCGGTTTTTCTACCCGGTTATGATAGAACATTGTTGGCCGCTCATTACCTAATTCATATGAGTCCATGTCAAACTAGATAGAACACGCAAGATAGAGACACTTACCCTCTGGATCATCACTTTGTTGGAGATCGTAATTTAGCACAAGGTTCTTTATCCGTTGCTGCTCCTCTCTTTCTGCCTGTTGCTGTGTCTTCATAGCAATTGCAAACGTCGAGTCCGAAGGGAGTTCAACGGTGCGAGTCTTGTGTGTGCATATTAGCATAAGCGATTGATCAAGCCGGATGGATGAACATACCTGTTGTCGATTGCCTCTCTTAGTCATCAGGGAAAAGGCCATGGTGCCGCTCTGTCCCGTCTCTCCAGAGCCAGTTGACATCGATGGCTCACGATTTCTAGATCGCACAGGAAGTGGCACATCAAATAATTGTTTGCGTTCGAACTTGCGGGATTCGAGGCTTTCCGCCATCATTTTCGCATATTCTCGCTCAAATTCGGCCTCGTCTTCGGGATCTACAACTTCCTCTTGCCTGGTGACAATTATCGCCTCGTCATACTCGCTTTCATGAGTTGAGCCATTATCACCATCCTGACAAGGATGTTGTTAGTGAACTGATCATATGACGCTTGTTCTTCATGTGAAACTGCGGGGGCTGTATCTCACCTCTGCTTCTTCTTCTTCCTCGGAGGCGCTTTCATCGTCACCATCGCCATCCGCTTCCACGTCGTCCATGTCCCCATTTTCATCCTCAGAAGATGGGCCGCTTGTAGCGTCGTCTGCTTCAACAACCTTGTCAACACCTGCAGTTTTCTGGTCTTGGGAGATGGCAAGCTGAAAAGCTTTAGTCGCTTCCTCAATATCCTCCACAAATTTCCACTGGGGTCGAGTTAATGCAAAAGTATCAAGCACAAGAAACTCGATATCTAGGGGCAGGGGATATTTCGTGTGGACATAATACTTGTAGAAACGCATTAGATTAGCTACATCCCACTCGTCAAATCAATAGGCTTGTCTTACCTGAAAGAATGATAGGAAGTAGTCAAGCTTTTTGCCTGCAGCACCCCGATTGAAAAACATCCCACAGGTTTCTAACATTATAGATATGAGGCGGATCCGAAAATGATCATCCACGAGGTCAAAAGGATTGTATTTGCCAATCACCGGTGGCCCGTCTGGCAGATAGGTTAGTTCACTTGCCAGAGAAGCCAAGGCTTACCAAGAAGGGGAAAAACAAGCAACTTACTATATCCAAAGAGGACGATTTTGTACATGGTGTCAAAAATAACTGGATGTTCCAGCATGCGATAGTTGTAGAGCTCGCCGAGATACTTGACTTCAGCAACACGGCGCTGGGAAAACCTAAAGTCATTCTGTTCAAGTCCGAAACTAATAGACTCTAGGACATTATCAATGACTTTAACCACAAAATGCGGATGATGCCGGTAAAGGGCGCTCAACAGTATGGCAAGAAGATGAATATTCCCATATTTCACTTTTCCAGGTTTAGAAAATACTTTTTCTAGAATGGCAACAACCTGTATTTGGATTTAAAAAAAAGAATTAGCGACGTCAAGTACCATAGGATAAATACAGCCATTTGACGGAGAGGAGGAGAATAATATAGAGTAGGGGTTAACAGTCTCACCTCTGTCTCCTCCCAATGGAGTCTGCGAATCTGCTTCAAGATCTTGCTGTAATTCCGTTTAGTCATGTCTCCATAGATCAACTTTCGGATAAAGAGCTCCATTGGAGTTCGCTCCTTTTGCTCAATAGCAGGTCGCTCTGGGGGATCGACGTGATACACCGCATTATCAATGAGCATCCGCTCTGGCTGGCCAATATGCTGTACAGACTTCTTCCTCTGCAGCGTCTCAAGGAAACTTGCCATCCTCGGCGCGGTTTCAGGGTTCCTGAGGAGATACCGGCCGCAATTTTCAATTAAATTGCACAAGATCTCAATGTTCATCCGAGAAAAGTCATCAAGGCTGACCTTGAGGCAGTGGAAAACCACATGCTCAGGGACTACTCCAAATTTTGTAAGCTCAGCCAAATACCGAATATTGCTCAACCGAACTTGGCCCAAAAAGTCCTTTTCTTTGCGTCGCTGTAGACTACGAAACTCCGCATCCAGATAATCGACCAACCCTTTGGGCACGTCTGGCATATACCTACCCAAGGTAGCAACCAGACGAGCCCAGGATGGCAGCAAATCGCTTCTCCCTTTGGGAACCTCCGTCAGAGCCTTGACGAGTCGGTTGCGCGACGCTTTGGAGTTGAGAAAACAGAAATCAATGGCCGTCTGGTCAATGATTTCTTTATTTGTAAGGTCTGGCAAACGAGCCAAGATGGCATCTACCTGTGCTCCAATGGTCTTATTAGCAATTGCCATTGATTGATCATCAATGGGTTCCGGAGCCTTTGTAGGTTCCGAACTTTCGGCAGAGTCTGGCTTCTTGACAGGCTGCTCTTCAGTCTCTGTCTTCTTCTTTTTGCCATCTTCCAAAAGAATAGCCGGAATCTTTCCCTTGAGGTCCACTAAATTTTCGTAGAACCGGCGTTCATCTTCATCTTCCCAAATGCCAGCGCCATCTGCCATAGATCGCAGGTAGTCGCCAGTCTTGACCAAGCCTATAGAGTTGTTTGAAGCTGCAAGAGGATCATTGGAGTCCTTGAGGTTGGGCATTTCTGCGCCAATGGCGTCTGCTATTACTTGGGCATTCGCGACCAGCCTATCTTGAGCTTTGACTTGTTTCTCGTAGTTAGCTTGCCTATCTTCAAAGACCTCTCCAGACTTGACATAGGCCTCCGCGTTGCGCCGTGCTTGGAGATGGATGGATTTTTGGTCGCGGACAATATGATTTGCAACATCGTCGAAGTACTTTTTCAAGATTTCTTTGAACTTGTCCGCTAGTTCGGGAGGAGTAAACGGCTGGCCTTCGGCGGAAGGGTCCCTTGGATCTTCAGCGACTGGTAGACTGTCCTCATCTCCAGGCTTGCGGCTTTCAGGCGTAGTGGTTCGGATCCCCAGAATGTCCCAGCTAAATGCTTTGACGAAGATGACAAGCAGCGGCAAATTAGCGTGCTCCCTATCATAACCGAGCAAGTCTTTCAAGACTTCGAGGGGGAACGGGTCCGCAGAGCCACCAACTTTGGAGCTACTCCGGGTCTTCAGCTCTGGAGCTTTACCAATAGCGCCTTTAGTAGCATCATCCGGTTTGCTTGCATCGTCAAGCGTCCTTAGCACACCAACAAGCCAGAGTTCCGTAATCACCCTGAGAAGAGCACGCTGTCGGATAATGCGCTCCTTCTCCTCTTTCTCGCGCGCCTCTGCCGGCAAACTTTTGAGAATGCTCTTATCAGGCGTGGCCATGCCCTTGCCAAGTAGCCAGGTAAGGTATTCGGTGAACTCGGTAGGGCCAAACCGTTGATGGAGCGCGCTCACAATCTCGACCGCTGCCTCGATCTCTCCTGGAGCTTTAAGTCTACAGAGTCCTTCATAGCAGGCAGATATGATCTCGGAAAGATATTTATGCAAGCTTAAGGTTCGAATCTCTTGCAAAAAGGTCGAGAGGGTCGCAGCGCTAATGGCAGTTCGAAGCCTTTTTATAAATGCAGTATTTTTCTTGAGAGACGAGTCAAGCGAGCCGCTGATATTGATAAGGCCTTTGATCAAAATATTAGCCAACGAACAACGAAGCATTAGAGTCGTTCGTTCACTGTACCCGTGTCGCCATCCCAGGCCTTTACATTAAGAGCTCGAAGCTCTCCTGATATTCACTGTTAGCTCATAGAGTGGTGGGGCGGCAAGGTCGCAAACACAGCACATACGCTTCCTCGTACGATCCATGGTAACCCGCTCGTTGAGTCTGGATTGCGACAGCCGATTCTATTCGAGGTACTACATTCGAGCGTGACGCCGGGCTGCTAAGGAATGTACTGCCCTAGAATATGGCACTGTTGTTGGGCAAGGCGATTCAGCAGCATCGGTGCGTCCGAGGAAACGGGTCGGACAAGAGGATATAGAGCACGAAGCAGTCGGCGACGTAGTCAGAACTCGTAACCTTTGGTCGTTCGCAGCCACAAAATGGACGCAAGGCTAAGCTATGCGAAAAGGCTAGAGAACTCTGATAACAGCGAAATTCCTATTTGGCCGATAATGCCATCATCAGTCAGAGCTCAATTCAACAGATGCAGGACTGAGTCAGCCACGCGCTAGCACTGGCGCGCCGGAACAATGTGGCTGCGGAATCTCGCTTAGCCCGATTCGCAGAGCATTGTTGCACGCTAAACCAAGGAGGGTTGACGGGCGTTCATTTCCAGATGTGCTGGTGATAGCAGGAGCATCCTAACTTCCACATGATACTAGGCACGCAGCTACAAAGTTGTCCGTTATGCAAAGCGATGAGGCGAGGGCCCAGCCCAGAAGATAAACATACTACCGCTATAAAAATGCCCATTGTTCCTACTCAATATGGAAGGCAAGTGCTCCATTTAAACATACGAAATCCTGCACTTTATAGGGTAGTCCAAGGCATCATCACATGCCTATTCTCGTAGTCAAAATCATTACTTTAGTACCACATTTCCACACGTGTAGCGGAACTAGAAGTTCATAATGCAATATATCTTGATCCCATGTCTTTCTTATCTCAAAATTGCTCAAACCGCTTATATAAACAGTAAGCAGGAAATCAGTGGACGCCCCTCGAGTGCAAGATCCAAACCCTTGTGTATGCTGTGCAACTATCTCATCCAACGCCATTGTGCTCTCATAAGTCTAAAAACATTCCCAAACTTCTCCTTCACAATGCTACAATCGCTGAGTACCCAGCAGCAAAAGAAAGTCTACTGTTCAGTGTTGCCATGCTTAACCACAGAAACATGTGGACCACATCAAAAAAGGCGGAATTTCTCGCCAGCTTCTACACCTTCTGGAGAGCCAGATCCTTCGGCTCCCTCGTGGCCTGGATTCGGATAGTACCAAGCAGAGACTGCGATAGCCACGTAAAGAACCACCAAGAGGAAGCCTTCGAGATAGTTGCTCTTCTGATCTTGCAAGAATCGACCAACAGTTAGAATGGCGAGAATAAGCATGACGAGGTCAAAGATGCCAAAGTCTAGATCCAGAGCTTTATCGCGGCCCCAAGCCACGATGACGACCAGTGGCGCATTCAATAGGGCCGTCTGAAGAGTGGCACCCAGGACATGCGACAGCGCAAAGTTCATCTGGTTGTCCCACGCCTCGTCAATAGCGGTGATGTGCTCGGCAAATTTCTCGACGAAAGGAACCAGAATAAGACCCATGAAAGCGTCAGACACCCTTGAGTGCTCGATGATGGGCTCGATTTGCAAGACAAGGGTGATTGCAATCAAAGTAACAAGTGCAACGGCAACACTCAGTGCAACGATACATTCTATCAGGGTGAGCTTGTCCTTGGCGGCGTCCTTGTGGCCGTCGCGGTCGCGCTCTTCGTCCATTTCGAAAATGTCATGGTAGAGACCGTGGTGCGTCCGGGCTTGGAAAAAGACAAAGACGCAGTATGCAATGATGAGCAGGACGGATACAATTCGCGAAATGCTTAGGGTCTTGTGGGCCATCTCTTCAGTTGTCAGGTTAGATTCTGGGAGACCTCGCTGAAAGACTGTGGGAATGCCTAATGCCACGCCGCTGGAATCATGGGTGAGCTAGGTTTCTCTATTCGAATGCAGGCGGGGACGACATACGCTGTGAGAAGTAAGCCACTACCAGCCTCACTAATAGTATCGCTGAAGCTCTGTTCCTCATGGTATAATCCTCCGACGAAAAAGCAGAGGCCCAAGCAGAGAAGCATAGTGGCTAAAATCGAACCGAGGATAGCGGCCTTTATGACAAGAAACTGATTCATGGATAGTAGAACCATGAAGAGGATGATCTCGACGATAGAACCAACCGTCGTCTCAATCAGCACGCCGAGAACATGGGGAAGTTTGCGAGCAAGCTCTTGGCCAGCGAATCCAATGAGGTTGGCGCAAGGGGCCATTGCAATGTAGGAGAGGATGAAAATGAGAACATGTTTTTCTGGCAAAGAATCTAAAACACCACGAGATTCGAAGTCAGTTGAATGCGTCGGAAACTCCATACAGATGAGGTAGGCAGAGCCTCCGCGCCACCGCAGCTCGCATCAACTTACACCGAACAGCCAAAGCAACGGGAACAATAGGCCAGAGGATATTGACGGCTGCGCTGGCTTTGCAAGAAGAGCGAAAGCAGATTCTCAGAAAGTGATAAGGATGAATTCCGTTACGGCCGCTTTCGCCGCCGCTCTTGATCCTAAAGAGCTTCATGTTCTGGCCTTCACCACTTTGCCGCCACTGGGTTCGTTTGTACTCGCCGCTGGTGGTGTTTGGAGGAGGAAGCGTCTCTTCAGCGCCGTAGGTCTTGTTATAAACAGGCCCAAGCTCGAGGCCATCGTTGTGGACGAGGCTTTGGCGCTGGCCATTAGAGCCAAAGCGGCGATGGCTGGGACTAGCCATTGAAACAGCCTGAATCAAAGCGCGGGCCGATGCCAAGTGGTGGGGCTAATGAAATATCTCTTTGTCTTGTCCCTGTTCAATTTGAGACCATGCACTCAAAGATGGTGGTGGTGGTAGTGGTGGTGGTGTTAGTGGACAGCCCAGACGGCTACTACTTTGTATGTAGGTAGCCAAGTCTGGAGATGCGTGAGCAGAAATATCAGACCTTCGGCTGACTCTCGCTCTGGGCAATGCACAATACTAAATACTTTCGGTATTCCGCTTCACGAGCGACGTAGCGTTGGCCGGGCCCGGGGGTCGACGACGTGGCAAGCCTCCGGTGGCTCCAGACACTTTGCAGAGGAGATTGGCGTTCAGGCCGCGCAGATACGGGGCAGTACAGGTTCTGCTGCTTCTAAGGCTCCGGCCCTCAGTGGAAAGCTGCCAGGTTTCTGAGAGTAAAATCCTGCTCAGGAGCCACCAATAGAAGAGCTGAGGGCATGGGCGAGTAAATATGCGTGAAACGAAAATGTCGGTGGCTGTGAAGGCGCCAGTCGACGGGGCAATTCTGACCCGGACGCATGGTCGGTAGAGCCCGCGATCTTAGGCCCCTCCCTCTTCCAAGAAAAAAAGGGAAAACGTGGAATAGCCCATGCTCGTATGGGTATAGGCGCTTAGTCTGTGGATAAATTACGAGTCTGCTGGTAAGCTGGGATGTGCAGATGTGCCCGCCATGCCGTGCTGTGGGGAAGAGAAACTGCCAAAGGATGATAGACGGAAACGACAATGGTGACGATTACGACGTGGAGGACGATCAATCAAAGGACAGTCTGTCTAGGATCCAAGATGGCACAAGCTCTCTGGTACAGCATGTATTTCTGGAAAGAAATCGATATTCTGGTAAAACGCTACATATTCCTTTTCTTTAGAGAGGTAAAGTAGCCATGTGTGTAATTGGAAAAAAAGGAACAAAGGCTACGGTGTGAACAGGTGCAAACTAAGTTTACTAGACTGAAGTTTTACAAGGTTATAAACAACGCTATGGGGATACTAGTATCTTCTTAATAGTATTAGTACTCATATCTTTCGAGTTGGCTCGATCGAGTGTCAAAGACCAGCGTCTCAGGAGGGGGTCCACAGCAACAAAAAAAAAAAACCATTTTTTTATTCACTCACCGTACGTCGTCTTTTGAACCAAAAAGCCAAAACAAAAGAAAAGCCTCGTCCCATACACCAGTGGTAGAGCAACCTGAGCAGAAGTGTCGTATTGGATAAATTATATGTCCAGGGTTTCAGATTCGCAGTCCACCCCCTGGACGAAATAGCTCAAAATTAGATAGATATGCTTGACTTTAGCGCCTTTTCTTGCCGGTTGGCTGCCTCCGCACTACTTCGTGCTTAATTCACGGCTCTAATTTCACCACCCTGCCACTTCATCAATCGTATTGGTATATGCAGTATTCCATACAAAACACAAATACAGCACTCAAAGCAGTAGTAGCTCTAGCAAAGCCCAAAGCCGTAATAAATAGTACATGAAGGAGCTCCATCGCAGTCTACTCGTACATGTCCATTGTACGGAGAAAGCCGATGGCACCGTTACCATGTTTACGAGGTAACTATGGCCAGCACTTTTTGCCACTGAACTATGGCTCGCTCTCATACCCTCGGGGCCATTTGGTGTCCTCCTCGCTCATAGGGGCCCATGTTAGGAGGGCGAAACTCGCACTGGCGTTGAAAGACAAAAGCGACTTGCTTTAAAACGCACAGAGAATGGATGACTCGTGATAATTAATCCACCATTTGACTAGATCCTCCCCAGGCCTTCACTGCGTCTGAGCCGGCTCAACAGCTTGGAATCCATCAAGAGAGACTGTTACTGCGCCAGCTTGAACAAGCTTAAAAACGAAATTAGTGGTTAGCAAAGGCACAAAATAGTAGGTAGCGAGCTCGAAAGGTAACTTACAGCGCGAGACAGGTCTTCTATCAAATCATCGACGTCTTCAATACCGACGCAAAGGCGAATGATGTCCTCAGGCATATGTCGCTCCCTTCGAGTCTTGGCATCGATGCTGGCATGGCTCATCTGGCAGGGCATGCTGATGAGACTGTTTACACATCCAAAGCTGACGCTAATGGTCCACAGACGGGCTGCCTCCACGATACGCTGTGAGAGCACTGCGTCTCCTGTCTCAAAAGACAATACTGCGCCGGCTCCCCTGGCAGTTGCCCAATGCAACTCATATTGTGGGTGAGACTTGAGGCCGGGGTACCGTACCTTGAACCCGTGTGATTCCAGGAACTCGGCAATGGCCTGTGCATTGGATTGCTGCTTTTCCATGCGGATAGCCAGCGTCTTGACTCCTCTCATAAGAAGGAACGAGTCATTGGGAGACAGTCCACATCCGGTCGAGTTGATGGTGAAGTAGAGTTTATCGGCAATCGCCGCCTCATTGCATGCAATCACGCCGGCCATAATGTCGTGGTGACCGGAGAGATATTTGGTTCCCGACTCATACACAATGTCTGCGCCAACGTCCAAGGGATTGAACAGCATGGGAGACAGCATAGTGTTATCAACCACCACGAGAGCCTTTTCATTGAGTTCGTGCGCTAAACGCGCAATAGAGGGTACATCAACGATTTTAATCAAAGGATTTGTAGGAGTCTCGAGGAGCACCATTGTCGTCTTTTCCGACAGCCGCTCTTTAACGGCATTGACGTCTGTTGTATCGACATGGTGTACGACGATTTGCTGGTTGGCTGCAAGATATGTGAGCAAACGGTGTGTGCCACCGTACAGATCGTCGCCAGTGATGACTTCGTCGCCAGGACGCAGAATTCGCGAGATCACATCGAGAGCTCCCATTCCAGAGCTGACAGCCAAGGCACGGTTTGCGTTCATAATCTTGGCCAGGTGGCGCTCGAGGTGAGTGCGTGTAGGGTTACCGGATCTTGTGTAGTCATATTCCTGCTGGCCACCGCTGGCAGAGCTCTGCTTAAAGGTCGCAGACTGATAAATTGGAGTGCTTGAAGCGCCATACTGATCTTTTCCCTCGGTATAGACCAACTCGGTCGCTAGAGCATAACGGCGGCGTCCGTTTCGGGGGCTCGATGGTGCGGGTGAAGGTGGGAGATCGTGGCCATCGAGGTCGACACGTTTGAGAGGGTTGGCAGATTTGTCGTCGGCTGCCATTTTGAAAGTATAGAGAAGGAGGATCTCTCAAAAGCGAGATTGTAGTTGACGGCGAGAGCGGTTTCGTCTTTACAACTAGGTAAGCGGAAACATATACTGTATTGCTCCCGCACAATCCGACAATGATGCGACGGAAGCAATTAATCGGCGAAGGAAACCAACAAAGGTGCCGGGGAAGTGATGATAATGGCGAGGTATATGCAATTGATGTCTTAGGATGCTTCTTGTTCGTCTTGTTCTTGAAACAGACAAAAAACCATCAGGCTGCTGCTAGAAACGATTCAGAGTCACAGTGCGTTGGCTTAGTGGGTAGATAATTGGCTGATGAAGTCGCAATTCTCTGGAGAATGACAGTAGAGGGGCTGCGTTACTCAATAGGGCGTAGTGCTGCGATACCGGCAGCACGGTCTGTCGGCGCGGGGAACTTATGGGGTACACAACTGTACCTGTAGCTACTTCTCTACCAGTATTATAGTTTGGAGTTAGATAGTAACTGATAGGTACCGGAACTCGGCCTGGGATGACGAAATAGGAGATTTTTTACCACGATTGTCTTCAGCAGGGATAACTCTTCGTCTTGTCCCATCATTTGAAATAATCTTGTGAAAATTGCTATATTCAATTCTATCTCTATCTGAATATAGTGCCGTATATATTGTCTCCTATATACCATATGTCTCTCTCCATCCATCGCGAGGTATGTGTCTATCCTGCGTGGGCCACGATTTCGCTCACCATCTCGCCCTTTTCTTCACTGTAATAGTGGCAGATTTGAGAAGGCAGCGGCACCTCCTTGTAGTCCTCATCCGCCCCAGCCAGGATGTTCACATTAATTCCATCACTCTTGCTTGTGAACAGTTTGGTAGTGGAGCTCTCCTTGCTGAGATAAATCTGCGCGCTATCGATCTGGTCCAGCATGACGGTGGGCACGATTCCAAGTACTTGGAGCGCAAAGTTATTCGCCTTTACCACATCTACGGTGGAGACTAGCGAATCAACAACGAGGGATAGCCGAGTAGAGTTTTCAACCGTGACCTGGTTTGCCTTGCCCTTGATAATGACAGTGGTGTTGTTGCACCGGCTGATCAGTACGGAGTGGGTAATGGAAGCATCAATCTCTACTGGCGCGGGCTCCTTATCGTAGTTTTCCTATGGGAGGGTTAGTACATAAGACTTCGACTGTTGATGATCTGAGAAACGTACAATGGTCCACTTGTTGGCCTCAAGAACTTTGCTCGCTGGCTTCTTAACCCTCATGCTTTCAGGCTTGGGCTTCTTGCCTGGGACAGGACTCTTAGCCCGGGGAGCCTCTGAGACCGTGGATCCTGTCCGCAAAGCAGGGTTCTTGTGTGTCATCTCTGACTTGTCCACCTTACGTAGGCCCTTGGTCACGGATTCGCCCTTGTTCAGTTCTGAGAACACTGCTCCAAAGCCCCCGGCGGGGGCCGCGTTGGCCGGCTTTGCAGATTCGACTGGTATATCCAAGATCGGGGCTGGTCCGGGCGGCGGCGGCGGAGGAGGTGGTGGTGGCGCGCCAGCTGATGGAGTGCTGCTCTGCGGAGGCTGTTGCGACGCTTTGCCAGCAGTCAATGTCTTTGCGACTTCCTCGGCTGGTTCTCCTCTCGGGTTCCAAGCGACACCAGAGGCATGGTGCTGTTTGATGTAATCGCCGAGGTCATGGAAGATCTGGTAGAAAGATTGCACCCACTCAACTTGTTTAGGGTCACTAAGTTTTGAGAAAAGAAAAAAAAAATCAGCAATTTGGTCACAACGTTTCATCTAGATGTTAAACGTACTTGTCCTTTTGCTCCTTCAGAACCCTGTTGCCGAAGAACTGCGCGGCGCCCAAAGATTCTTCGACGAAGCTGTATGGGCGGCGATCAACAGTAACCCAGCCCATCACCATGATTCCATCCGCAACAGCGCTCAAGTTGCTGTACATTGGGTCGGGTCGGTTTGATTCCTTGAGTTCGGTCGCGGCCATGACAGCATCGTTGATAGGTTTAAGCAAGTTCTGGTAAACAGTCAAGCTAGATCCTGAGGTGCTCGGCTTTGCCGCCTTGGTAGCAATGAGCAGGAATTTTCGTTGTTCTTGGAAGCCCCTGAGAACCTCCGATGCCTACATCGCAGCGCAATAGTTAGTTCTCCTGACTAGTGCAGTGAGATATTTGGGAGCAGGTAAGCACGAACCTGCTGAGCAACAACTCCGCCCAGCTGACTGCTGAGTTTGATATATTTATCAAGGCTCGTGTTTAAGAAAACATCGAAGTCTTCGATAGACTCGGGCAGCGCCTCCTGAGGCTCTTTCGGGGCGGGTGGCAGCGGGGTTGCAGCAGTTTCCGACTGAGGGGTTGCGGGCTGGGCAAGACCGGGGACATCTTTGGGGAGTTCTGTAGAGGAAGCGATGTCCTCTAGGCGTGAGGTTGCGGCTTCAAGTCTGCTACGCAGTCAGCATCGTGGGAGCCAGATAGCACATGGGAATATCTAAATACCGTTTGATGAGCGTTGTCAAATTATGCATTTGATTTTGGGCCGCCATTGCGCTGAAATAGTATGCAATCGCTTTGTAAGAGCAATAAGGAAGGTGTAACCTGTTTCCGGTTGTCGATACTGGGAAGAAGTATCAAAGCGCATGAGCAGCGCAAGAAAATATAGCTCTTCGTGGCCAGAAGTGACAGTGACGAACTCCTAGGCTAGCACGAAGTTGGAACGCGATAGCTTGCCCATTTCCTTGTGGAGGGGCTCACAGGCAGCTAACCTGGAGCCTGCAAAATCCACACATAGTGCTACCACTCCGTACTAGCCTGGTTTATCTATTCTCCGAGTCATGTCTGAGTTGGTAAATAAAACAGGCAGTAGAATTTACAGTACTGCGATTCGATGATGTATGTTGACGGAATCAATGGCTTTAGGCATCTTGGAATTATATGCATCCGTTCAATATATCTTGTGACTACGCTGAAGTATTGAGATGGCATCTTGTATGTTATTAGATATTATTTTAATCTTTTCCCCCTTGATAGATGCTGCATCCAGCAAGCTATGCTATAAATAGATATATTTTGCCGGTGGTGCTTATCTGGTGGGCTTTGCGAAAAAGTACTCTGTACGAACCAGGCTAACAATTTTTGTGGAATGGCCGCAACAGGATCAAGGGGTCTTTGGATACGAGGCACTCCTCCATACACGTTACGTTTAGGCCTTGCCTCCTGTCCCGTCACAAATCACCGGCCTTGATCACTCAAATTCAATCACGCAGGTGGTAGAAGCCGCCCGCGTGCAGTACGCGATTACTAGAGGGCCATTGATGTTTTCATAAGTCTTCCAACGCCTTCAAAATGATGCCACGGCATCACTCCAGCGGGTTTTCCAATGGATATCCGCGCGCCGACACCTTCGAGATTTCCCCCCATAGGTGATGATCACCCACTCTTCACACGCGATTCAACATCAACTGATGTACTGACCGAATCCCTTGCAGATTCCAACCGAGAGCTACCGTCCCTCTTCACAAAAAGCGCAAGAGGACTGCAATTCGTATTGGTATAGTGGTGGCCATCATTGTCCTTCTCATATTCTGGTTTGGACAGCCCAAATCCGTCGCTTCCCTGATCTCGCTCGGCATTTTGTCCGGATATGAGGACTTGAAACTGGAAACGGTGCGATACTACGACCTCACCAACGTGCAAGGATCTGCGCGCGGCTGGGAGCGCGAAGAGCGTATCCTGCTATGCGTACCGCTTCGGGATGCCGAGCAACATCTGCCAATGTTCTTCTCCCACCTGAAGAACTTTACATATCCCCATAGCCTGATTGATCTCGCCTTTCTCGTTTCCGATTCGAAGGACCGAACACTGCAAGTCCTCTCCGACAACTTGGAGGCTATTCAGGCGGATGCGGACCCAAAGCAGCCATATGGAGAGATCTCCATCATCGAAAAGGACTTTGGTCAAAAGGTGAACCAGGATGTTGAAAGTCGACACGGGTTTGCCGCTCAGGCGAGCCGTAGAAAGCTTATGGCCCAAGCGCGCAACTGGCTTCTGAGTGCTGCTCTACGACCATATCATTCTTGGGTTTACTGGCGTGATGTGGACGTTGAGACTGCGCCGTTTACAATTCTGGAGGACCTGATGCGACACAATAAAGACGTCATTGTCCCAAGTATGTTGATCACGATTTTGTGTTATTTCGTTTTGTACTAACAGTATTCAGATGTGTGGCGTCCTCTTCCCGACTGGCTTGGTGGTGAACAGCCCTACGATTTGAACTCCTGGCAAGAATCCGAAACCGCTCTTGCGCTGGCCGACACACTGGACGAAGATGCCGTCATTGTAGAGGGCTATGCCGAATATGCCACATGGCGACCCCATCTTGCCTATCTGCGAGACCCCTACGGCGACCCAGACATGGAGATGGAGATTGATGGAGTTGGAGGCGTCAGTATTCTGGCGAAAGCCAAGGTATTTCGCAGCGGCGTCCATTTCCCTGCTTTTAGTTTTGAGAAGCATGCCGAGACGGAGGGATTTGGCAAGGTGAGTCTAATCCTGGCTAGACGCTCGGGGTTTCTTCAATAATTAACAAACTCAACAGATGGCGAAACGAATGCGATTCTCCGTCGTTGGTTTGCCTCACTATACCATTTGGCACTTGTACGAGCCTAGCGTCGATGATATCAAACACATGGAAGTGCGTATTTTTCTCCACGTTCTTCTTTTTCTTCTTCTTACTCAATTTCACTTGGAGGGACCTACCTATACTAACTCAACTCTCTACAGGAAATGGAAAGAGAACGAATCGCTCGGGAGAAGGAGGAAGAAGACAGAAAGCTCAAGGAGCAACAGATTAAGGAGGAATTTGGTGACGCCAACTCTCAATGGGAACAGGACAAACAACAGATGCAGGATCTAAAATTGCAGGATCAGGGAAGCAATAAAGAGGCTGGATTAAATCAGGGCGCGGCCGCAAAGGCAGCAGGGGCTATAGATGGACAAAAGGCGAATTAAGGACGGGCTACATCATTTAGAGTAATTATTTCGTATCGCACTGATAATGGCTTCCATATACAGAAACGCGAACTACATCTTCTACGATCTTATTATTTGGTTGGATGGCAGAGAAACGGATTGTAATAAAGTAAATGTAATGAATTGATCGAAACTGCAAACTCCTTCACCTTTACCTAATGAAATATTCTAATTATGCCATTTATACAAGAGACCAAAAAGCATTGTCAAAGAAGCTGCATATGCTTCCCAAGCAGATCGGCCACTGATAAAGGCCGATTCATAGTGATATATCGTAGCAAACTGATAGTACAGCTCATCGGCCAGACAATTTTGGAGGGGTATCGGGTTCTCAGCTCTTTAGACAAATGGGTACTGTCGCCCAAAATACCCCTTTGTAAATGAGGGATGTACACTCAGTAGAATATTTTCGGGTTCAGCCGAGAAAATTGAAGAAAGACGTGTATGTGCTACCGAATTTAAGAAAAGCGTTCAGGGAAGTAGATAGGCGCAATGAGTGTCCAAATGTACATGCCGTGGCAAATCCAGGCACTTACAATCTTAACCCAGCTGGCCCCGTAGGTACGGCCAACTGTAGCAAAGTTACCATCTCGAGTTGACTCCTCGAAATTGAGAGTGAGAAGTGTCGATACCCATGCCGTAGCTAGGAAGAAGATGATGTGAAACATTGAATAGTTGTACTGGGTGTTGGATCTCTCATCATCATGTGCGTGATCTCCGCCAGCGTCGCTCTCGTCATCTGACAGTAGAGCATCAGCTGGCAGACTGCCTTCTTCCACAGCACGGCGCAGAGCTTCCGCTCGCATTTCACGGCGGTGCATAGGCTGCTGTGTGACCAAGTCATGCTCATCATCTTCCGGGAGTCGGATTCCGTCAGCGTTGCCTCCTAGGCCAAGGCTTTGAGTGGCCGCGCGGGTGGTCGTATAAGCAACTGTGAGCATTGTGACAATGGCTCCGATAACAACGGACGTAGTTCTCGTTCCTTGAGCGCGGACCAAAGGGTTGCAGTTCTTATCATCGGGTTCCATGGACACAGCTGACATTGTCAGATAAGTGCAGTATACTGCCACCATTGCGGCTTGGGCTAATCCAGCTTTAGGGTTGTATTCTTGAACCGTAGGATTAACGGACACAACAGAAATGATAAGCCATAGAATTAGATTGACGGTGATGGCAGTCTGGTTCATGGCGCACTGGCCTTGGGCAAAGAAAATGTACTGGATGATGGTCATCGCGATGGATGCCAGGTACATGCCCAAGGTCGAGCCTATGAGAACGATTCGCCAGAACCTAGAGTCAGTGTCTTCGATTTGTGCCAAGCAATACTCAGCCCAAGTGTGCGCCAAGTCCACAAGCAAAATGAGACCGAGAACAAGAAATAGCATCGCCGCAGCAAACGAGACATAATTCCCCCAGAACATGAAGAACTTGTCGGGAATGAGGAAAGACATGACAATGAGTGCTAGCCAAGCAATGATCTTGGGTCCCCAGTAACCATTCTGTATAGCAGCTCGAGGGCTTTTCGAGGATTGAACGCCGAATAGAAGGCCAGCGAAGATGAGGTGCAAAAGTCCGAGCGCAAAATTGATTCGATGAGCAGCTAGCCATCCATAGCACTGCCCCGTGGGACAGTTGATCTTGACATAATCAAGCGCGAGATGCTGAAGCTTTTCTATAGCCCAATCGGTGAGCATAATCCATGCTAATATCGAGTTGACGAGGAGAAGGAGAGCGTAGGCAATGCGCGTAGCGATACTGCGGGACTGTCAGCCAAATCTTCAACAAATCCGATGCGAGCTGGACATTATTTATCGTACCTGTTTCCACATTTGCCGCATGCGCTACAAACCATGGAGCAAGTAGCTGCACCGCAGCAGCTGGCCAAGCAAGACGTTGCCTACATGATACATATTAGCAAGTTAGTCGCATCATAGCCGCTTTGCGCAGAAGACGATGAAACACTGGGTCTGGACAGAGACTCAGGCGTCCTCGAGGTATAAGGCTCGATCTCAGTGGGACGTACTGCGCTTAAGCTGGGTACCGCGAGCAGCGGCAGAGAGAGAAGGGCGCCCATTTTGTCAAGAATGAGACATGCGTTGGATGCGTCAGATCGCAGGTTGCGCGACGACAGCGATTCGTACCTAGGTAGTGTTGTCGGGCTTGGAAAAGGATGATGCGTCTGGCCCACGACAAAGGTGCCCGTGACCGAGACGAGATGACATAACTGGACGTAAGCGGCTAGACGCTATTCTATGCTTGTATCCATAAGCGAAGACCGCGAAATCGCTTAGATGCATAAACCACCTGCGCCAGTGACAGACATCCAAAATGGCTGCTGGAACGCTATGCCATCGTAATAACAGATTGTTACAGTTTAGGGGGGAAAGGGACAAATTTGAAAAGATGTACATATTGTAGAATAACAAACGCTGGTAAAAACAGTTGCAGCTGTGCCCCTATATCAAAGTACCCTGCATGTATGCGAATACATCAGTCTTCTTCATCTAGCTTGTCTTTCGCCTTTAGATACTGGGTCCTCTGATAGTGGATGATGTATAGCGTAATAAATAGGCCCAAGGCACATGCAGTCGCGGTCACCGCATAAGCAGGGCGGTAGCAAGCGATGCCGTCGTCGCAAGATCGCGTGCCGTCAGGTTCAACGACGCTGTGGTGATCATAGATCCTTCCGTACAGCAGATTGAACACATTCCCCGAGGCCACAGGGGCAAGAGTCATGAAACCCCAATTCTGGCTCAGCCCGCCGATGCCGAAGGTCTCCGCTACAATAGAAGGAAAGACGCCAAAAAGGAAGCCGTAAGCCAAGCCAGAAAGACCTGAGACGAATACAAGTTTGTGTGGCATCTCGATTTGCAAGGCACATATTTGCGCCAGGAGAAATATGAGACAAGCCACGGCTAGACACCAAATGCGGCTGGCCCGAAGAGTTTTGACGAGATAATCAGAACCGATGCCTGTATCAAAGTTAATTCAATGCTTAGACAGAGTATTGAGAGTGGATTCAGATAGCTTTACCACTTAGTAGCCTGCCTACAAAGTTGAAGACAGAAAGGATAGATACGTGTATTTGCTGGTGGCTAACAAGAAACGGTTCATCGACTGTGGGATCATAATGCTTCCAGAGGGCGTTTGCATCATTTCCGATATTACTTTTTCAAACGTTAGTTTCGTCGGTAACAGGTTGGCAAGAGAGATGAGTAAAACATACTTGATAGTCATGAGGCCGGTTCCAGCGAGGATAGCCATGATGGAAAACAGCTGCCAGAAATCCAGGCAAAACAGGAGCTTCACTCCTCGTACATCTAGTCGATATGACACATCTTGATCAATACTACTGCGCCCAACAATCTCGGCGCCTGCAGCACCGACAATCAAAGATGAAGTCTCGGTACTCGGGGCATCACCAGCTTCGGTGTCATTGAAAATATCGGCGCGACTGGCGTCTAATCCTGGAGGAGCCTGTGGTGGCACGGCTAGGTCTGGGTGAAAGGCATCGGGGTCGGTTAACATACCAGGTTCGGTTACACTACGCGATCTTCCTCGACCAGATGACGATGGTTCAGATGATTGGGTGGGCACTTCCTGATAGGATACCTGAGGATAGACCTTTAAGAAGAAGTAGCCAATAGAAGTAAGGCCAAACGTGCCCCATGCCAATAGCAATAAGAAGGAGCTCGTGCTGCCAGGGAAAAGGATTGCCCCGACAAAAGAGAAGAAAAATGCACTGAGTCCAAATCCAGCAAGCGGAAACGCTGTAGCCGTGCCGCGGTGGCTTGGCCAGTTGAGCGCAGATGTCTTGACAGCACCCGCAAAAGCCATGCATCCACCCAGGCCAGTCAGATAGGAGAAGAAGCAGAGCACGGGCACAGAGCCCGCGGCTTTCTCGAATGAGATGCATAGGGGGACATAGCCGATAGCTAGGAGGAAAGCTCCGGCAAGAACAGCAGGCCTCGACCCGCGATCGTCCACAAACATGCCAATGGGGACACCCATTGTATACATGCCTAGGTTGCCGAATAGGCCGATCAGGTTGCTCTCCGTGGTGGAAAGCCTTAGCTTTTCGGCGAACTGTGGCGCCCATGCGGAATAGACATACTGTTTGATTGAGTCAAATTAGCTGAGGACATTCATCTTGCCATTCTTTTTCAGCTCAGGGTAGTGGGAAGTGTGCGGATCAGTTGTACGAGGATGCAAAATCATGAAAAAGGTTGCTCACGTTTGTGCCGCAGGCAAGGGAGATGACAGTTGCAGCGACTGAGGCGACAAGTCGCCCACGGTGAGCCTCTTGGTCTTGATGCATCTTTTCAGGCTTCTTTGCAAGTAGTACGAAGCGAGTTGCTTTGAGGCAGACCAATGAATGATGGTCTTGGAAAATGAGTTTTGTATCGGGATTACGAGATGTCGTATCTTCAGGTAGGTGTATCCGTAATTGTAGGCGCGATAAGGGCGACGAAGCTCAACGTGAGACAGATTCGGGACGCCCCTGAGCCGGAATTTAGACGAGGCCGGTATATCAAATCAATACATGAGATAGCAGTGGTATCAAGGAAATTAGATCATGGTTAAGCCAAGCGGGATCTGGAAATACCCCAGAAAAAGCCGGTGCACTATCTGGCTGCTCTACACAGATGTCGGTAGCCAGTCTGATAATGATAGGTGGAAGGTGTTGATTGCGATGAGCTATCTAATAGTGCGCGGCAGCCAGCGGATCAACTCCATATCTGACTTTACACTGCTCCGGATTACGGAGTTTGGTGCTGGCGCGTGTGACTTGCTTGTAACAGAAATACTGATGTAGCCCATACAGATTGCTGGTCCTAGCAGCAAGGATGCGCCGAATCAGCTTCCGTGTTTGAGGGCTTCCTATTGAAGTAGGCGGTCAGCCGATGCGCTGTGGCAGTATGTCTTTCTTGAAGCTGCCTTGTAGAGTTGAAACTGCACAGGTATTGCTTGAAAGAGGTATGCATCTGCGGAGAGGATGGCCGCCTGAGCCTAGGTACTGCTGCCAGATCTAGATGCTAACGAGCAGCGCTTGATCCCGGTGGCACCGCGCATGGATCTGATGCCAAATCAGGATTCCTTCCTCAGCTGCAGATGATAGGTTAGGCCCAGCACTTATGTACAGTCATCTGTGCCTGAGCATCTCCGTACATCAGCCACCTATCCCTTGCCCCGTAGCGTTATCGATAGCGCATTCCTGCTGCCCGTGGCCGTGCTCGACGCAACATTCGGTAACCCAGAAATTTACCTCGGCTTGTGGCATCCGGGGTCCAGTGGAGTTCAAGTCCCGATAGCGGTAAGCGGCGGCCCAATAGGCCACCGTCATTTCCTGCATGTGGCATGTGGCCGCTGTATAGACATCGCTCTAGAGGTCTTGGTCGCATTTCACGAGACGGTATTTTATATGATTCCCGCGGCTCCATTGCCTGTCTCCTGCAATTCCCCTCGATTCGTAATTATCTCTGCTGTTTCTGAGTTTAGCAAGCTAGGTCAGCCACTCGAGAACATCCGACGCTTGTTTGGGCCTTGAACGCATACTCGGTCCGTAACGGTTACGGCCAATCCCACCTTGCGCTATCCTGCGGCAACGAGGTCCAAGAGCCGCGGTATCTGAGCGGATCTTTCGCAGCCGATATAAACGCTCTGCCAACCTCAACCACGCCGGCTCCCCCCTTTGTCTCCCACATTTGCCATGTTGTCAGCCATACGTTCGTCCAGGCCGACAAGCACCTTTCGACGCGTTGCGCTTTCTTCTGTAAGATGCTCGTCTCGCTCCGATTCGTTGCGCTTTGAGCCGGTTGCTAATCTACATACCCGCTCACAGCAGTCCCATCGCATCGCCATGGCACCTAAACGCAACAGCAGCTCGCTCCCCGCCGGTATGTCCCGCCGCGTACAAAGCGATTCGGCTTTTTGCTTTGTGGCTTCATCTGAACAGACGAGTCTTTTGCCGCACACCAAGTATTTGCCTCGGCTAACAACACTATTCTGTGACAGGCTATGTCGAAGACAAGTCAAAGGGTGCTATGCTGAGATTCCAAGACTCTCTGCCTCGCCTTCCAGTCCCAACCCTCGAAGAGACTGCCAAGAGATACCTCAAGAGCTTAAATCCTATCATCTCCAAGACCGAGCTTGAGCAAAGCAAAGCCGCGGTTGCTGAGTTCATTAAGCCGGGCGGAGTTGGAAGCAAGCTTCAGCAGAAGCTTGTTGAAAAGGCTCAAGATCCCAAGACAAAGAACTGGATTTACGAGTGGTGGAACGATGCCGCCTATCTGAGCTACCGAGATCCGGTGGTGCCATATGTCAGCTATTTCTATTCACACAGAGACGACCCCAAGCGACGCAACCCTGCCAAGAGAGCTGCGGCGATCACCAGCAGTGTGCTGGAGTTCAAGAAGCTTGTGGACAGCGGCAGCCTAGAGCCTGAGTATATGAAGAAGCTGCCCATTTGCATGGATAGTTACAAGTGGATGTTCAACGCGAGCCGCGTCGCTGCCCGCCCTGCCGACTATCCTGTCAAGTTCTCCCACACCGAAAACAAGCACATTGTGGTCATCCGCAAGAACCAATTCTTCAAGGTCGAGCACGAAGTTGCCGGCAAGCAACTTAACACATCAGAGCTCGAGCACCAGTTCAACCGCATTTACCAGATCGCGCAGCGGGTATCACCCGTGGGCGCGCTGACCTCAGAAAACCGAGACGTCTGGGCAGATGCTCGTGAAGTGCTGATCCAAGAAAGCCCCAAGAATAAGGCGGCCTTGGAGGCCATCGAGTCTGCCTCATTCGTGGTATGTTTAGACGATGCGTCCCCTGTCACACTGGAAGAGCGTGCTCGCCAGTACTGGCACGGCGATGGCGCCAACCGTTGGTATGACAAACCTCTTCAGTTCATCGTCAATGATAACGGTACATCGGGCTTTATGGGAGAGCACTCAATGATGGACGGCACACCGACGCACCGCCTAAACGACTACATCAACGATCTTATCTTTGGAAACAAGATTGATTTCTCAGACCCCAATGTTCGATCCGACTTGCCTGAGCCCCAGCCTATCAAGTTCGAGATCACGCCCAAGGTCCAGAGCGAGATCGACCGCGCTGTCACCGACTTTAGCAACGTCATTGGCCAACACCAACTTGCTGTCCAAGCATACCAAGCCTACGGGAAGGGTCTCATCAAGCAGTTCAAGTGCTCACCAGACGCATACGTGCAGATGATCATCCAGCTTGCCTACTACAAGATGTACGGCAAGAACCGACCAACATATGAATCAGCCGCTACCCGACGCTTCCAGCTGGGACGTACTGAGACTTGCCGCAGCGTTTCTGATGAATCTGCTGCTTGGTGCACATCCATGGCGGATCCCACAGCTGAGGACAAGACCCGAGTTGACCTTTTCCGCAAAGCCATTGCAGCTCACATTGAGTACATTTCGGCTGCTTCCGACGGCAAGGGTGTTGACAGACATTTGTTCGGACTCAAGAAGCTCCTTGGGCCTGGTGAAGAGCTCCCGGCCATCTACAAGGACCCCGCGTACGGCTACTCTTCGTCCTGGTACCTGTCTACTTCACAGCTGAGCTCAGAGTTCTTCAACGGCTATGGCTGGAGCCAGGTGATTGACGGCGGATTTGGCATTGCGTACATGATCAACGAGAACAGGTAAGGGACACTGACATTCATTCCGTGCTATTGATTTTCATCATGAACCACGCTGACAGCCATCACAGCATCAACTTCAACGTAGTATCAAAGGGACTGGGCAGCGAGCGAATGAGCTACTACCTTAACGAGGCTGCGGGCGAGATGCGAGACCTGCTGGTTCCGACTCTGGAGCCGCCCAAGGCCAAGCTGTAGGTTTGCTGTTATGTATACACATATATGTGTCGGCGATGCTTCTTCATAGACTTCTTTATAATGCGCCACATATAATAGGTATATAGAGATAGAGCAAAATAAAGTGATGCTCTCGGCAAAGGGTATTTTTCTTCTTCTTTATTGACTACCATGTTCGAAGACTGCGGATAGAGCGTCTCGTGCAGGGGAGCACTGCACCTGTTGCTATGGCTGAAACACCACGACTGACGTGTTATCAATGTGCCGTTCTTTGGAGCAGCAATTGACCAATTGAGACTACTTGAAGCTTTAAGGAGGAAAAAAAAAAAGAGCGTGCTCAATATCTTCCTTTTTAAACAAGTGCCCTTTTCTTTCATCAGTTCTACTAGTAAACCCCATAGCTGCAGTGACTATTTTCTCACAATGCATTGAGACCTGGTCAGCTTCCTCTGAGCTCGGCCATTTAAACGCTAATCTCCCTTATCGCATAGCATGCATGAAAGCCCGTTAGTTTCATTAGCGGCTACCAAAAGCTACATGTAAGGTAAAGAGCGGCTATTTCCCCGTCTAGGCGTACTCTGTACTTTTCCACCTTCCCTTAGTGCTTGCAGGTCAATCAGGTCACTGCCGCCCGATAAACATGACAGCCCGTGTGCCAGACGCGGCCGGGCAACTCTGATCCTCGACTCTGCAAGAAGAAAAAAAGGCACAAATCCCACTCTGTGCCAATGGGCTCTCATACGTGTGCAGATGCAGATCCCAAGGCGGAATCCGAGCAGGAATCCGAGCATCATGCCGGCATCGACTTTGTCACTTTTGGCATGCTCATAATCGGTGAGGCGTTCCCGCTACGGCCCTGTTAGCCTCTATGGAAGCTTGGGGCTGACCGACCGCCGTGTCCATGCGATTCGTTTGTCAAGATGATATCGATTTCCCTGATCCAAAGCCTCCCCAGAAAGACATCCTTGGAGGCGGCGGCTCCTATGCTGCCCTTGGCGCTCGCCTGTTCTCGCCGCCGCCACTGTCCTCCACGGTAGGATGGATCGTCGACCAGGGCTCCGACTTTCCACCTTCAGTCACCACGCTGATTGACAGCTGGGAGACGTCTGCCCTCATGCGCCATGATCCGGGGCGGCTCACCACTCGAGGCTGGAATGGCTACGGCGGCACCGATGACAAGCGCGAGTTCAAGTATCTGACTCCCAAGAAGCGCCTCACGAGCGACGACCTGTCACCGGAGCAGCTCCAGTCGAAGTCGTTCCATCTCATCTGCTCTCCGACTCGCTGCCAGGAGCTGGTGACTACCATAATCTCTCGCCGCAAGGAAGCTGCTACCTCGGAGTCTTATACTAAACCAATCTTCGTGTGGGAGCCAGTGCCCGATCTATGCAACCCGGACCAGCTGCTCAATCTTACAAACACTCTGCCGCTTGTAGATGTCTGCAGCCCAAACCACAGCGAGCTTGCTGGCTTCATGGGTGACGATGGCCTGGACCCAGTGACGGGAGACATCTCCGTTCGAGCTGTTGAGCGCGCTTGCGAGCAGCTTCTTGATAGCATGCCTCTCCAATCCTTCGCAATCGTCGTGCGAGCCGCTCACAAGGGCTGCTACGTTGTCAAGAATGGCGGTAGGAAACGTCGTCCCGGACAGAACTCTAAATCGACACGAAAAAAGAATTATACTAGAGGTGGCCTACGACCCGATATCGACATGACGGCCCTGTTGGCTGATCTCATCTGTGATGAAGATGGTTCAATCGCCCGCGAAGAGACTGAATTTGAAGTCGATCCTGGAGTTGAGCGATGGATCCCGGCTTACCATACGGATAAAGATAGTGTTGTTGACCCTACAGGCGGTGGCAACACATTTCTCGGGGGTCTATCCGTGGCTTTGGCTCGAGGTAAGAGCTACGAGGAAGCCGCTGTTTGGGGATCTGTAGCGGCCAGTTTTGCCGTTGAACAGGTTGGCATGCCAACACTTGATCGACAGGATGACAGCACTGAGACTTGGAATGGATGCAATGTACTAGACCGACTGCGCAAGTTTGAGGAAAGACTTTAACTCATAGAGCATATACCATTATTACTTTGTTTTATTCTCATCAACTTGTGAATCATGATTGCTCTAGACTTCTACCTAGGGCTTTTTTTCCTTGTAATTTTCCTGACATGTCATCACCATATATTCGTTCCCTCCAGTCCGATTACCTAGCTCCCAAATCCATCCTGAACACCATGAAATCTTCGTCAGTAGATCTCAAATTTTGTAAATAACATCACCGTCACCAAACCTAATTGCCTTGGTTAGCTAGGAATCCTCATTTAAAGTAACTGACTTATGTTAAACTCACATGATGTGATTTGCTTCTTCCAATTTCTTCAGCGCCAAAATTGCTTCTGGTCTGCTAAAGGCACCTCCTTCGCGGTTACCAATTCTACCGTTGATGGCATTGATTACCGCAGCGAGGGGAGCTGAGTCATCCTCGAAAATATCAGTGTTGAGCAACTGGCCAAGGTTGGTCCTGAAAGTTGACAGTCGCTGAGGGGCGAGGCTGGCTTCATCAATCTCCAAATTGCTGGCAGCACTAGCCAGGTTCTCATCTTCAGCCTCTCCCTGAGTCGGGGACAGGACCTGAGACGCAGGCAGTGTTGAGGCAAAGGAGCTTTGCGTATCCACCATTCCGTGTGGTTGAGAGCTATTGCCTGGGATCGTGGTCGCTCCCGATGCTTGGGATAAGCCATTTGAGTTTTGGCTTGTAGATCCATTCGTGCCATTAAGCCTTGAAGAAGTTCTGGTCTGCATACGCGCAGTAGAACTTCGAGAATTGCTTCCGTTCGGCTGGCTGGTCTGTTGGCTTTGCCCGTCATCCCCGTCGTCGCTATCATCCTCATCGCTGTCATCACTGGATGAGACCACGCCAGTGGCTTGTGTACGCCTGCGCTTTCTCCGCGAGTTATCCTCTACGATTTCTTTGAAGAGGGCAAATCGCAAGATACCCTCCGCAGCGACTGCATCTCGTTCCTCCACTCGACTTGAGAGTCGTGACTTGGCGTGGGCAGTGGCCAGTCGTATGATTGTCTCCAGACTACGGACGGTGAGCGGACTCGTTCGCCTCTGGTTTCCCTCCATCTCGTCATTTCGAAGACCAACGTATATGTCGGCAATTCGATCCGATGCTTCCTGAGTGAGAACAGGCTTAATCCGCTTAGCATATTGGATATACTTCTTCATAAAGGGTATGCTAAGAATCTCGATTTTTTTGTTGGACCCTCGGCCCAATGTCCTAGTTACGCCTGAGTGCAGCATCGCGTCATATTTCTCATAAACATCTGTTGACTGTTGGGATCCAGCCTGAGTGTTGGCAGAGACGCCCAGCGACTGAGAGACTTGTTCACGGACAGGGGCGCCCTCTTCGCTGCCCGCCTGGCGGTATCTATGCATGCGTAATACGTGCTCAGAAACTTGCCTGTCTCTAGCGTCTTCAATGTCATCAGTGACGACAAAGAGCAAATCGAAACGTGACAATAGGGAGTCTGGGAGTGCAATATTCCTGTGGGGGTCCTTGTGAGGATCATACTGCCCAAAGATGGGATTGGCAGCTGCGATAACAGAGCATCGAGCATTCAACGAAGTATGAATACCCGCCTTGGCGATGGTAACTGTCTGCTGCTCCATGACTTCATGGATAGCCACTCGATCAATGTCTGACATTTTGTCAAATTCATCAATGCAGACAACTCCTCTGTCAGCCATGACCATTGCACCAGCCTCCAATTTCCGCTCTCCGGTCTCCTTATCAGTAGTAACGGCTGCCGTCAAACCAACTCCGGAAGAGCCACGACCTGTGGTAGCGATAGCTAGTGGTGCTGTGTTCAGAACGAATCGCAAGAGTTGAGATTTGGCAGTAGAGGGATCGCCGACCATTAGGATATTGATATCTCCTCTCAAATGCGTGCCATTCTCGAGGTTTTTTTCTACTCCTCCTAGTAGCATGAGCAAAATGGCCTTTTTAACATAATCATGGCCGTAAATACTCGGAGCAAGAGACTGCGACAGAAGCCCGAGAAGGTCCTTCTTTTTGGCAACTTTGTTAATATTTCGGATGTCTGTATCAGTAATAGACGCAGTGGCCAGCCCACCACTGGATTTGGACGATAAAAGGACTACGTTATTAGCAAGAACAACTGTCTTGAATAACGCGCTGTTGTGGTTGACGTTTCTGTTTCCCAGGGTACGAAAGATGCCGACAAGTTGGATTCGGTCACCAGGCTTTACCTGGTCAACCAAATCATCATCCAAAATAACGTCAACGCCTCGAGGAAGCTGACCGGCGGGCGCTCTTTCAGGCATCTCCTGAATCGAAACTGTCTGATGATCACGATATGTGCAGAATCCATACTCCGTAGTGAGAGGGTTTCCTTCATCATCCTCTTGCGGATAGACGCTGGATGTAGTCACACCGTTGGTCATAGTCTGGTCCTGGTATTCGCGAAAATGGAACTTGTCTTTGGCTTCGTTGTAGTGAACGCTTCGTACGACTTTGGGCCGAATGAGAGAGCATCTCGTCACAATACCCTCAACAGAAACCATGTGGTTCAAGTGCTGAGATGACAGCGTGCGAGGGTTACAGGCATTGAGACCAAAGTTTCCAGCCCACGCGCAGTAGTAAACGGTATCCCTCGCCGTTTGGTCAGGCCGGGCTTGAGGCAGCGTTTGCACGATCTCCTTGAGGGCATGGTTGAAAGCAAGAGTGCAATCGAAGGGCTTCTGAAGTATCTCTTGCGCTAATTCTGGGTTGTGATCTCGGACGTGGTCTAGGTTGACGGTAAGGCGGCGCTGGTTCTTGCGTAACATCAAGATGATGTCCGCTCTATAACTTCGAGCATGGGGGTCGTCTTGAGCAAGATTAGCGAAAGTGCAGACATTTCAAGAGATGCCTGTTATTCGTACTAGGAACCAGAAACTCCTCTGCTTGACGAATACGGTCACGCACGCCGTCATCTTGAAGCATGAAGGAATCCATCGTGGGCTGCTTTGTTTAAACGAGCGAACGAATGAAGGTATACATGCAGCTAGAGGGAGGCTTTCACGAGCTGCGTCGCGTTGAATGGATCTCTAGATTTCGCTGCCCTGCAATATCCGCTTTCTGGGGGGGCAGGTACTTGCAAAGTAGGTACCTGTTGGTGGCTTCCGGCCATTTAGCACGGGCGCTCAGGTACCTTCCAGCGCACATGTGCTATTCCACAACCTATAGTAGTGCGGCGCCACTACCAGACAGCGAATCTCACCGGGCTTGATACTCCAGCAGTTGTCGCTGCAGCGCACTAGCGCGCAGCATGGGGCAGCCATGCTTGGATGTACACGGTACCTGCCTGGAACGTATGCTGTCTCATCAGATGGTGGGGGGAGGATGCCAGTTCTAGTATAACGTGTTCGTGGCCAAGTGCTGCGACAGAAGGAGACCGTCTCTCATTGCTCTGTAGAGATGTATACACGGAATCTTAGCCTAGCAACTCTCTTTTCCCCTATTCCCTATGACGGAAAAGAGGCCAGAGGCTCCGAGATAGAGATCTTCGCGAGGTTTTTGGGGTTTAATTAACCAGAGACTGCCGGGTCCGCTGGCGACCCATGCCCTCCGCTACGACGAAGGACCGAGTCTTGCCACTGTAGCCAGACACTGATGAGCCGCCTTTGTCCAACTCGAGAGCTACCCTCGACCATTGGTGGTCACTATGGCCAACCGCAGTGTTCCTGGAATATCGTCGCCGCATCAGTCCTCGTCCTCTCCAGGGCCCTTGGCTGTAACCACGGGTTCTGGGTCGGTTCGGCCGCGCAATCGCCGTCCTCCTAACAATGGCAGCAGTCGTACCAACTCCGAAAGTCTGCTAGGGAATCATGACGAAATCACACATCGGCCGGCTCAGGATGCCAAAGGCAAACAGAGCTCGCCCAGCCTGGGACAGGTCTTTGGCGGCTCCTGGGCGCAGAGCTGGTCATCGGTCCAAGGGCTTGCTGCCTCTCTTCTCTCTGGCGCAGACAGTCCGGGTGACATGCCCCAGCCGCGATCGCATCCTCAACCGGAGGACAACTTTGCCTCGTCTCTTTGGAATCGAATCCCGTCAAGCGTCGGCGGCAACGCCAGCACGAGTTTCAAAGCAATGAGCTCCTCTATTTTACCCAGCCAAAGGGCAGCCAACAGAGTTGCGACCGGATCATCAGACCAACGAGAGACCGCGCTGAAAACTGCCAAGAGAGCAAGCGTTCTGGAAAATAATCAAGGATTTGGTGGAGGAATAGACATCACAGGAAGGTATAAGCGCCGAACCTCGGACGAAATTACCTCAGAGAACTCGCAACCGGAAGAATATCTTGTATACATTCACAAAATCCTGCCAACCGATACATATGCCGGGATCATCCTCCGATACAAGTGCTTGGAAGATGCATTTAGGAAGGCGAATGGGCTCTGGTCTAGGGACAGCATACAAATCCGAAAATGGGTCATTATACCCGTCGACGCCTGCGAGGTACGGGGACGTCCTTGTGATCCGCCGCTCAACAGTCAACAACGCAATGCTACAGAAGTCCCTTCAGCGACGTCATCGGCGATAGTCGGATCAGTCACACCGGAAAATACGTCTTTTAGCAATCTCAAACCATTCAGCGAAAGAGCCAGGCCGGAAGATGAGAGTCCAGAAAAGGAGGCCGTGCCCTGGTCGCACGTCAAATGGGTCAAGATAGACTCGCTGTCTGAGCCAGTGGAAATTGGGCGCATCGCACGCCAGAAAATGGGATACTTCCCACCGCGAAGGAAAAAGACTGGCAGGACCGTTTCTTTTTCATCATCGCCGCGGCAGAGCCTCGAGACTTCGGCTTATAGTGCAGACCAAGTGGATCGGCCATTGTCTAGACGGCAGAGCTCGATAGGCGACCGGCCACCACTACTCGAAAGACGTCAATCCACCCACAGCCATGGAGATGATGATGTGCTAGGTGCGAGGCCAGCTTGGATGCGCCGCCCTGGCGGCGTCGGCTCCATGAGTCGAAGTATTCGAGCTCCCGGCCCAGACAAAGACTACTTTAATTCGTGGGCCAAGAAACATCTCCCGGGCCTTCACATGGACGACATACCGTCCATGTCGGTAATGGGATCAGAAATGGCGCGGATTGGATTTGACCGCGATCTTGCAGGGATCGTAGAGGGCTCTTTCGAAGAGGAGGGAGATACAACGTCGCCTCTCCATCAGAACAATGGCCTTGACAAAGCGGCGGCAGCAGTTGAGACCTGGCTTCGAACTGCCTGGTCCAAACGCCACATGGGCAACTCATCATCACGACCGGAACACTCAAGCGGACAGGATATTGGGGATTTGATAGAGTTGATGAACACTCCAGGTGCTGAGGACACTCCGCGCCCCAACATATTTGATTCACAGGTACCACCGTCATCACTTGGAAGTAAGACAGATGACGATTCTAGCATAAAGCGATAATGATAGAATTTAAGCAAGCAAGTTACCAGTCTATATCTGGTTACAGAGTACTTTGCATGTATGCATATTTAAAGGATTACAATTGTTTCATTTACAGGCATGTTCAATCATGTCTAGGTAACTTTGGGGGAACACGCTGTTAGATAGGTTAGGCATTGATATTCAAGTTATTTGTTACATGATATTGAAGAACTAGTAATACGACTTCTGACCTTCCACAGCCCGGTGTGGTATCTCCCTAGCTACTTAGTAGTAGGTAGGTATGTAGGTGGTAGGGAGGAGATATGGATCCGACGCTCAAGGAAATACCAGAAATGCCAACTTAGGAGATTCAGTATTCCTTGCGAGGGGAAAAAAAAAAGGGCAATGGAAATGTACAACGCTGTGAAATATACTGTCAATAAAATATTACAATGATTTAATTAGCCAGCTATTCAATTTCTTTTATGTTGTTTCTATCAATATTCATGAAGCTCCAGCTGTTATTGAGTCCCCTGCTCTGCCAATACGTCACCGAACATGGCGTAGCCACAGGCTCTAATAGGCAGTTGTACTAAATACGGAATTCCACCCTAGCTGGGTGCAGCAACTTGCATCACTTAACATCGCCTACCAACGGCTCCTTGGCGCATCTAAGAAACACCACATTCTGAAAAAGAAAAAGAAAACCAGTTTCAACATTCTATAACTTGAATTGAGCGACTCCCGTTTATAAATCAAGACAAAAACAATGCGCGATCGGCCGGCGGCGGCGGCAAACAGAGTGACGAAGCGGTCGCGAAATGGACCCCGTCGAGCGAACGCGAAAACGAAATCCGTCGCGTCGACGTCCGCGAAACGATCTCGAAATGATAATAATGAACCAGATATCACCATATCTCCAGATGGCAGCATTGCATTAGGATTAGACGACGCCACCAAAAATTCGGCCCAGACTGACTCGTCCAAGCCATCACGGCGGCGGTACAGAGTGTCACGAGATCGCAATAATACAAATAGCTCCTCAGCATCTACCTCTGGAGGTACCAACGGCAAAAAATCTTCAAAGTTTCAAGACTCAGACGACGACGATGGTGATATCCAGCAGGAACTTGCCGAAGCTCATCAGAAATACTCAATCCTGGAAAAGAGGTTCCATGATCTTCACGAGATAGCTGCAAAAAAGGCCGAGGAGAATTTCGAGCTCCTGAAGGCCAAGACCAGCGAGAATACGAGAGGTGAGGCGCTATGTTACCACTAGCACAGACACTCATAGTTTTATATTGATCACTAATATGATGTGGCTATTAGTGGCCGATGAATTCATAGCAGAGCTCAAGGAAGAGATAGCTGAGCTCACCAAGCAAAGTCTGCAAATGGAGCAGTTACAGGCAGATGTAAGCGCCAAAATGGCCAACATAGAGGCTATACAGACCGAGCTAGCAGAGGCGGATCAACGTCTAGCCCAAGCAAAAGCCGAAAACAAGGCTCTCTACTTAAAACTAGCAGCGAATCGGACAGGTCCCGGAGAGAACAAACCAGTTGCACAAACCAAGGAGGAGCTGTATGCTGATTTGACAGGCCTTATCGTCAGGAATGTGCGCCGCGTTGATAAAGAAGACGTTTTTGACTGCATCCAAACTGGCCGGAACGGGAGTAAGTCAAGAGCATTGGAGAACTAGGATTCAATTCGATGCTAACCATCCAATAGCTCTCCATTTCAAGCTTGCCCTGGAAGATCTGGAGGCCGCCGACAGCTATGAAGATGTACAATTTGCCTATCGACCGCAGCTGGACGAGTCCCGCGATGGAGATTTGATAGACGTACTGCCTGACTATCTAACAGAAGAGATCACATTCCCTCGACACCAAGCGTCCAAGTTTTATGCTAGAGTAATAAAATCACTAATGGAGCGTGTAGACTAAAATTGTATAGCGGAAATAGAAATGCTAGCAATAAACTCACCTCTATCATGGCAATTAGTATTTCTCGGCAGAACCCATAATATGCGCCGGAGCTTTAACAGAAGCACAGTATAGAGTAGCAACTAACGAGCTACTAACTACTAAGCTGTCTGAGGGCCATGCAGCTTGTACTTCTACCTCCGACTAGAGGCAAAGGCATCGGAGGTACTCAGAAACAGAGTCGCTGCAGCCAAGATTGCGCTAAAGGCTGGGTACCTGAAACCGACTGATAGGCTAGAAACCCGTACTTTCAAGTACTGCTACTCCGGATTACTAGGAGCAAATGCTTGGTAAAAGCCGAGGCAGGGCGCGCTTCATGTTTTACTAAGATCAAGTGTCGCTCACCAGCTTCCAGATCCCACGTTTGATGAGAGCGTAGCGGACTTGTCGATACGTACTCCTTGCCGATTCGCCCTGTGCTCTAGCTACCTAGGTAGGTAGGCGTAATATTTCAAGCATCGCATCAGCCACGAGCAGTAACGCAACAAACCGGATCCGGCCTCCGCCCAGGCGCCGACTACTCAACCAAGGCCACACAGAACATGCCCGCGCTCGTCTTGCTTGTTTGATCCCGCTGTCTAAGCATAACGCAAGCGTAGTCCTTTCTGCGGCCTCATATCGGTAACACGGCTCTGTTCTGGCGACGGATGAGCTTCGATGCTCAGTTCCCATCTATTTGTGTAGCTGAAGCTTGATATCGACATCGTACCGGGGAGGAGGTTGTTCGCCTCCTCCTTCCATCGCCCCTCTCTGATTCTTGTGCCGAGCGCCAACTCCCGAATCCTTGCCTTCTCGAATCCTGTTGTGTCAACGACCATCGCCAATCAACCCGCACCATGGACGTCGAAATATCTGCCGGCGACGAGGCGGCGCCAGCGAGTCCGCAGCAATCGCAACCGCAACCGCCATCCAGGTCATCTCCGATGTCTGGTGGTGCCATGAACGCGGCGGCCGCCGGAGCAGCAGCCGGAGCAGCAGCCGCAGCAGCAGCAGCCGCCGGCGGCATGAGCTTCAGGAGGTATGGAGACCGCCATGCGATGATACCACTGCTGGAGCGCAGATGTCTAATGCACCTGATTCTTATAGGCAACGAGCGTCACGAGCATGCGAGGTATGTGGTGTCTTGCAGGGCGCATAATCTAATAATCCTCACGCCTCGACTTGCCGAGGCATTCAGCGGCGGGTCCGCTGACTGACCACTCGCACTCGTTGATTCCAATCTACATCCAATGTAATGTAATCGTGCTAACCACTAGTGTATCGTCTTTTGACTTGATAGACATGTCACGCCCGAAAGGTATGTGCTCGACGTCTGCCGCAGAGCATGCGCTCTTCTTCGCCGGTTCCCTGGCGGGCTAACCTGGTCGCCGTGTTCAGGTTCGATGCGACGCAGCCAGTCTTGGTGTGCCCTGCACCAACTGCGTTGCTTTTCAGATCGAATGTCGGATTCCCCAGCCGAAGCGCAAGAAGACCCAGACCGCTGGGGGCCAAGCAAGCAAAGATTCCGACAGGTGAGCGTTGCTGTCGTCAAGCTTCCCTTGGACTTATCCATATCTCATCATGCTAACCATCATGCGTCTGTTTTCTCAGTGACCGTGGCGAGAATACCGATGAGCAGGCACGACAGACGCCTCTCAGCAGCACTGCCACGTCTTATTCCCCAAGGCCTTCAGCTCCTACCGTATCGCATACTGCGGATGGAACACCGCCTACGTCTCTCACAGAAGCTCAAGCCCGTAAAGAAGAGGTCGATAATGGCACATATTTGAACATAGTCATGAAACCCAAGTTCACACGAGCTCCCATCACCGACGCAGGCCGTGTCGCATACCTCGGCGAATCATCAAATCTCACTCTCCTTGTGCACGACCGCCAGGGTTCTGCGGACGTGGTTCACTATCCGCTACCTGAGAATGTCAGAGGCTCGCGAGCCAGGCTGACAGAGCTCGATAATGTCGAGATTGACATTCTTCACCAGCGCGGGGCCTTTCTACTACCTCCGCGGTCGTTGTGTGATGAGCTGATTGACGCTTATTTTCAATGGGTTCACCCTATTGTCCCCGTCATCAACCGTACTCGTTTTATGAGGCAATATCGAGACCCCAAAAACCCGCCTTCACTTCTCCTCCTGCAGGCCGTTCTCCTAGCTGGTTCTCGAGTTTGCCAAAACGCACAGCTCATGGACGCAAATGGCTCGACAACCCCGGCTGCCCTGACTTTCTATAAACGCGCCAAGGCCCTTTATGACGCCAATTACGAAGACGATCGCGTCACTATCGTCCAGTCCCTCCTTCTCATGGGGTGGTACTGGGAGGGGCCTGAGGATGTCACCAAAAACGTCTTTTACTGGAGCCGCGTTGCCACCATTGTTGCTCAAGGGTCGGGCATGCATCGATCTGTTGAGCGGTCTCAGCTGAGCAAATCTGATAAGCGGCTCTGGAAGCGCATTTGGTGGACGCTTTTCACTCGCGATCGATCCGTCGCTGTTGCTCTTGGCCGTCCTGTCCACATCAATCTTGACGATTCTGACGTTGAGATGTTGACTGAGGATGACTTCATTGAGGATGAGTCTGACCGGGGTAGCGAGTTCCCACCAGATCCGATCCATGTGCAGTTCTTCCTGCAGTACGTCAAACTCTGCGAGATTATGGGGCTTGTCTTATCACAGCAGTATTCGGTGGCCTCCAAAGGAAGGCAGCGAAATGCTATCGACCTGACTCACAGCGATATGGCCCTGGCCGATTGGCTTCAGAATTGCCCCAAGATCGTCTATTGGGAAATGCCTCGCCATCATTTCTGGTCTGCCCTTCTTCACTCCAACTACTATACAACTTTGTGTCTCTTGCACCGAGCACATATGCCACCAAGCGGCTCACCTCGATTTCCCAATGATACCCCATATCCATCAAGAAATATTGCTTTCCAGGCCGCAGCCATGATTACCTCGATAGTTGAGAATTTGGCGGCACATAATCAGCTTCGCTACTGTCCTGCCTTCATTGTGTATAGCCTATTCTCTGCCCTCATCATGCACGTTTATCAAATGCGCTCTCCTGTACCATCTATACAACAGGTGACTCAGGATAGGATGCGCAGCTGTATGCAGGCTATGAAGGAAGTTTCGCGTGTCTGGCTTGTGGGAAAGATGGTATATACTCTTTTTGAATCCATCATTGGTAATAAGAATCTGGAAGAGCGGTTACAAAAAGCAGGAGGCAAGCGGCATCGGAAGATACAGCAAAGCATGGCCCAGCTTGAGCAGATGAACAGGCAAGACGCATCTAAGCGAAAATACGATGATATGGCCATCGACTTCATGAGCAATACGCCAACGCCACAAGAGTCGTACGAAAGATCTAGGCCGCAAACCCCTAGTGCGGCCAAGGCTGAGAACACCGGCAACGTCAATCAACGATCCTCCGCAGCATCTCCAAATGTTCGTCAAACTGGGGCAGACACATTCATGGGCGGCACAAATTCGCGGCCCCAGACAAGGCCCGCGACACCATTCAACCCTTCGTTTTCTGTCCCAGCAACTCCCCCAGACTTATACTTGGTCACCCGCAACTCACCAAATCTATCACAATCTCTATGGGAGAACTTCCAGCCTGACCAACTATTCCCCGAAAGTTCAAGTATGCCAGCATTCCCCAACCTCTCGCCTCCTCAAACACACCAAGGTCTGGATCAGAGTGCGATGAATCAAGTGCCGGGGGCTGGCATGGGGGTGGGCATACAGGCCAATCAGTATAGAGGCTCTGCCCCAGCGGGCAGTATCATGCAGATGTCTGGATTCCAGGGACAGTCTAATTTGTGGCAAGCTGGCTTCGATGGTGGACTTCAAGATGGCCAGAGTCCTGATAGCTGGGGCACAAGCTCTGCGCAAGGACAGCCCGCGCCAGCAACTCTAAACGTTGAAGATTGGTAAGCTCACGTAGCCAGAATGCCCAAGTATCAGTTATTTTGCTTGCTAATCAATGCATTATAGGTTCCAATTCTTTGGTATTAATGGAGATATGAGCAACGTCAATTTAGACATGTCATTGGGCTGAGAGAAGCGACCCACAGAGGGGGTGACTCTGGCCGTCAAAAGTGTTTTGCTTTTGGACGTAATGGTAGGAAAGCCACGGTCTCATATCGATGCCAGTGGGTAGAGCATACGTTGAATTCTTCATCGATGTTAAGAGAATGTCTGATTTATGAAGTGGGGTTTTTGAGGGGGGTTTTGGCGTGAAACCAAAGCCTGGCTATTAGCATGTATTTGTTCCTCAAGCGCTATATGTATGTAATAACAACAAGACTTAGCTTAGCTGATGCGTTCTCTTACGATGTGCCTCGGACTATATTGGTGAAGTCCTGATAGGCACTTGTATTAATAACAAACGTGTTCTGTCATATACATATATATATCCTGAACGTACCGCCAGGGCGCTATTTCACTGTCTATTTAACATCAGAAGTACTGTAAGGGTTACTTTGAGCAAACGAAGGGTTATTTCGTGACGTATACGCTCGCCGGCGTAAAAACATTACGCCAACAACTAAAAGCAAAATATAACGAGCAAGTAAAAAGGAAGTATTACTTCTTGCAATGTAATATAAGGCGCTGCTGCTTGCATGGGCCTCGTGCGAGGCTCAGTCTTGGGGCTCAACAAATGTCTCGTCAATCTCTGCGAGCACATCATTTGCTAGAATGTTGTTAGGCCCACCCTGTCGTTGCTGAAGCACTTCTATCATGTATTGATCAGTTGAGTGTTTCAGAAAGTCATCAGTCCTGATTCCCCGGAAATGAGCTGGGTCAACCGGTCTTTTAGAGCCATCACGGCCATGCTGTCGCATATATTCTCGCACAGGAGCCATAGCAGCATCGCGGCATGCCTCTTTGATATCACTTCCCGACATGCCGGCGGTGAGTTTAGACACATGATCCAACTCGAAATGCTCGGCATCCACCTTGGCATCTTTCAGGATAAGCTGTAGGATTCGGCGTCTTTGCTCCAATGCAGGTAACGTAATGGGAAATTTTTTGGGCATTCGTCGGAGAATTGCTTCATCAATGTCGTGTATGCGGTTGGTGGCGCCAAGCACAACTATCTGCGCTGGTATACCAGAGGAGTTGCTTGATGTCAGTCCATCCCACAACGTCATGAATCTTTGAGTTTGTCAATATGCCTTCTGGTTATTCTCAACGCATCAACGCAACGCCATCGCAAAGCTGGGTAAGCACTTACTCGGCTTTCACCATGCCGCTGGCCTCATGTTCGCCACTTCTCCGTGTGCCCAAAACGGCATCAATCTCATCAATGAATACGATGGCTGGTTGCATTTTGCGAGCCAAGGAGAAAACGGCTCTGACTATTTTGTTGGAATCGCCATACCACTTCTCCGTGAGTGTTGATATATGCAGGTTGATAAATGATGCGCCGCTCTCCTTGGCAAGAGCTTTGGCCAGCATCGTCTTGCCGCAGCCAGGCGGTCCATATAGCAAAACACCAGACGGTGCAGACAGTAACGAAGCGGCATGCTGGTAGAGATGGGGCATTGTCAATGGATAGATGACAGATTCTTTCAGTTCCTCAATGATCATATCCAGACCGCCAATATCTATTTGAGTTGTCACACGTACAATTAGCGGGGTTTATTTTTTCAGCATCTCGCGTATCCGGTCCTCACCATCAAAGCCGACATGAATATCGTCCGGCGCCACCATTTCCAGTGCTATTAGATTTTCGTATTCGTTGAGGACTAGTTCTTCAACTCGCGCGCTTCCACGAGCGCCATCAGCCCCATTGTCTCCGATGCCATCGATATGTCGCCTTCGACTTAAGCGATCAAGATGAGCTTTGGCCTGGCGCTTCGCCTGCTCGTGCTTTTCTTTATCAGGATCGACTAGGTTGCTCAAGATGGGATTCAGAAACGTGCGAGCAACGTAGAGACCAGCTGTCATCTGGAGCATTTTGTCAGCGCAGTGGCAACAAACAGAAAAAATGATTCTTACCATGCCAGCGAAAAGGACAATGTCTAGGGCGACATCCCCTAATTTTCGACGCTCACCCATTCCGAATATCCAGCGCAGCCACGAGGCCGTGCGGTTGTTGGGCATTGAGAAAGGCTGATGGATAGAGTATGGAAGTTCAAAAGGGAAGTACCTCGGACCGACTACACCTAAGTCGCGTTCATATGATGTAATTGGCCTGGCGTCCAGAACAGGCTTAGGCTTAGTCAACAGCGAGTTTCTCAGTGCCGCCGGTGGTGGCAAGTGCTACTGGACGTATTACAGCACGGAATATAACTGAAGCTTGACAATCCAGGTATGGCTTTTCATTTGAGTTTAATTTGTATGGTTCATCCATGTAGAAAAGATTAAGTATTGGTTTATATATATTGATATTTTACAGTTATCTATATAATGGATATTAAACTATATGGCATAAAAGCAGTAGGGGCTGAAACAACGCCTTTTTAAAAACACACAAATGACACTATTCAGTCAATGTGAACCACTGATATGTTTCGGCCCATCTGGATCTCCTTCGAATAGAGTGCCGAAACTCATCAAAGACCATGGCTCTGAAGAAGAGTGAAGAATGACCAGCCAAGCAGCCACCACGTTGACCAAGTAATGGAGCATGTACGCATGGGAAACGCCATAGATTGCAGCACAAAGCGCCGTACCAAAAAGGAGCCCGCTGGTAATATGGCGTAGACCACTTGTGATTTGGGGAACCATTTTCCCCGTTGTCAAGTTCTCTACCAATAATATGAAAGGCATTATTGACAGCACATTGTGATGCGAAGAGAATGGCGTGAGCCAGTGGACGGCGAGGTTGCGAACCCAGACCGCTAGAATAGGCAAATTGATCGGGAGAACCCACATCATTAGCAGAAGAATAGAGTGAGAATAGTGGTAATAGTTGGAGTTGGCGGTTGAAGGTGTGACGACATATATGCGAAGAGCGCGAACAACGGTGAGAATCTGTACAAGACAAGCGACCAAGTATGCAAATTGATACGGTATGAAAGTCGAAACTAAGAATAATAGAATTACGGTCGATATTACCCGTCGCCGTGGGGTTGATGGCGCAAACACTGGTGATGGGCTTGGGGCCTGGCTGCTGTTGATTGCCGGCAGCACTGAAAACACAGCGTACGCGACGCCAAGGATTCTCGTCAATGCCAGAAGAATATAATGGAGAACAGTACAGACCCCGATGCATACGACGCCAATGAGTGGTACAAGGTATATGAAGAAGGGGTCGTCTGTACCAACAAGGAGGTCGTGTCCGTGGAAGCCGATGTTCGAAGAGAAGTTTGAATTGGCCTGATTGCTATCCACAAGCGTGGCGAGAAAAGCTGTCACTCCTCTGGGGGAAATAGAAAGCAAAGTTAGAGAAGAAAGCAAAAGCGGAATCGACTGCCGCATAGACAGGTCCAGGCTTTCAGAAAAGGAAATAAACGTGCCACACGTATTATAAACACTGAATTGCTTCCGAAGCACCAGCGTGACGATGAGCAACGGAAAGGCCGCAAAGACAGTACGATATCTCATATATAGCTTTCCGAGGCTACCCAGCACATCCACATAGAGATCAATCTCTAAAGGACCACCACAAATGGGGTCAGACCAGATGTCAAAAGCAAGGCCGTCGCCACTCGATAAAGTTAACGAAGGGGGCATGTAAGGAGCCACCCCATGGAAGCTGATTCCAGTTACTTGAGCGTTGACGAAATATTTTGACTCATAAGGTTTTTGAATATGTTGGCGGATTAGCGGCGCAAACAACTGCTGCTTTCCGCTACATTGTTGGCTGATTTTCATATTAAAGGCCATTAAACTTGACTTGAGAGCTGGTATATCAATGGCCGTGACAACAGGGCGAATAGGTGAGAGCCGAAAAGAGAGACCAAATGTGAGAAGACGGATAAGGCTTATATCCTCCCTCTTCTGAAAAGATGAGAGGTCACTGAACTCCGCAGTGACAAAGCCATTGCTAACTTCTGTAGCCCTGTCGATAACAACGACAAACTGGTGATCAGAGAGGTATTCAGCATCGTATTGTAGATATGAAAAGGGATATATCGGGGTTTGTTCGTCCAGGTAGAAGGGTGCCTCTATATCCGTTGCTGAAGCCGGAAGAAGGACCGTGTCAGATGCAGCATCCTTACATGCTAGCTTTGTTGGCGTTGTACCATTTCTCGATACATCTATGGTGGACGAGAATATTGAGTTAACACCCGTAGACTGAAAAGGGTAAACGCTGCACAAGAGGACCTGCAGCTGACTATTGTCTGCAGGTGTATTCAGTTGGACATCTGTCAGTAACGTAAAGCGCTTGGGTTCGAGTGATCCGTGAGGCGGTACCGGAAGAAGGTAAGCCATCGGTCTGGTCTCAGAACCCAGTTGCGAAAGAACCAATCGATCACCTGTTGGCACTACTGTACTAGACGAGCCATCCAAGGTGAGGAGCGTTGTGGGTTCCTTTAAAGACAGAGTCTTCTCGGCAATCGTCTCCAAACCAGTTAAGAGCTTCTTTTTAAAGACTCTCATCCTTTGCGCTCGGGGTTTCGTTTGAGAGGCTCGATGCACGTCAATGACACCATATAAAGTCTGGGCCAGGACTTTTCGGAATTGGTCACACCAGAGAATGGCTTGATGATCCATACTTGTCCACACCGTCGGAATGCCTGACGTAAAAACAGTAAATCCATGGGTTTCAGGCACAAGTGACTCAATGCTAGCATAATCAGACGGCACAACAGTATCCAAATTCCCACCAGCAATAGATACCAGCGTTACGTGCCATAGCGGATTATTGCTGGCCCATTTTTGTGTATATGCACGCCGCCAATAGTCGTTTATTTCGTCGTAAATCTGAACAATTCGACCGTCGAAGGTAACTGGGGGGCGTGCATGCGGCGCTGACATTGTAATTATAGTATTGATCGAATTCTCCTGATAATTTGGTTGAACCAGCATTGCTCTTGCAACAACGCCTCCCATTGAATGTCCCAGGATAAGTACGGACGTAGGATCCGGGAGATGCGAATCGCGAGAAGCTCTCTGCGGCTCAGAATATAGTGACAGTATATATCGAACAGCCTCATTGAGATATTCAGCTTGATCAAGAAGAGTTTGGCCGTGGAATGCTGTTATATCCTCGTTGAAATCAACGGTGAAAAAATCGAGGCTCCGTATGCCGGATTCCAACTGGCTGTGATCATGCTGGAGATAGTCATGGAAATAATTGGCAGCCTCTGCGGCAATTGGTCGGACTTGCTTGTAACTTCCAGCATTGCCTGGGATGAAGAGGACGGGAATTCCGCGCAGCTTTTACGCACAATGTCAGCCTGGACACGTCCATTTCTCGAGTAGGGGGTATGGAACCAACTTGACCGCTATCGATTCCCTGTTCGCGATAGAGATATAGAGAGTATTTGCTTGCGAACCGGGTGTGTTCGGTATCGAACTCGGAAAAGTGAATGTAGGAAGGCCGCATGTATGACATTCGGCATCCTTTCGGCTCAATTTGGCGAGTAGTGAGGGACCGAAAGATGGCGACCAAGAGACCAACGCCAGCTGTAGCAACAAAAAAGGACAGGACAGACATGAACCAGAGGCTGCGATTGCGCGCCCCCAAGCTCGCCAGGGGAGGCTTCTTGGACGTGGTCATACTGTGCGACGAGGTAGGGAGCGATAGTGGTGAAAAGGATGCGACTGCTGCATGGCTGGAAGGGTGCTGGTGGCCATTCGCCTTGGTCGAATAGAGGCCGTTCGGTTGCCTGTCCTGGGTCGAGGATTGACGGGGTATTAAGCCATTGAGGCGGTGTTCTAGCTCGGCATCTGGATTTTGCAGCTCGAGGGAGGATTTACCACCGACATCAATCGACGGTGAGCGCCTCTTCATGGGAAAGAGCGAAGAGGGACCTTTGACGAGGCCGAAGCTATGGGAGGCTGTATTTTGCTGCGCCGGAACAAGGTGATAAATACTTCGGGAAATTGTAGACGAAATTAAAACAGTAAGTCACGGCCGAATGCGACCCATTCCGTCATCATCTGGTCCAATTAGAGCGAGCAGTGTGCAGCGCAGAGCACCAAGTGGATAAAATCGCGGGAAAAGCAGCTAGGCTTGGAGAGAGTTTCGCGTCATTTAGAAAAGATAACTGCTGCACTAGCAATTTAGAGCCTACCTAGTCAGCCTTTGCTTATGTCTGGCCGTCTATGTACTTCATTCTCCTCAATCTCCTCGCGATCAGGGTAAGTATTGTCCATCATCATTATAGAGACTTTAATAAGGAATTTTTTTTCTCGCTGTAATTTGTTCCAGCAACCCTATGCTGACATTAAATGATACTAATATGCATAATTGTTTATTTTAACCAAACTTGAGTTGACGTTTCAATTAGGTTTAACTAATTGCTATGGCATAGCTCTGCACCCAAGTCCTGACCCGGTGCTTAAGCTGCGGAGCGCTCCCTCAAATTAAACCACCAGACCGTCAAGAAAAAACACCGGATAGCCAGCACCTACCTTCAACTCCAACTCGCGCATGATACCGAGTACTACGATAAAGTCGCCGCACACGAAATATATATGACGAACTAGCGTGAGTTTCCACTGCGCCAATGCCTATTTGTATAGAGTGCCGATATCCTGTCAAAACTCTATGGACTCAGTATTCCGGGGCCGATGACAAGTCGAATGGGCACTTGATTCGTCTTACAGTCTGTCGAAAATGTGGCAATTTCTGCGATAAATACGTGGAGCATGACTTTGTCGTGCTCTTCATTGATCTAGTTCTCATCAAACCTCAGGTACTATAACTTCAGCCAATGATGATGGCGGCACATCTCACATTTGGCCTAGGTATATCGCCATCTACTACACAATACTCTAATGCGAGATGGCGATCGCTTCGACGTACGTCAGCTATGCACCCTTCTTAATCGCCGCTTCACCGCTAATATTTCGAGCAGCCTTCTATCATTCGCCTAGGAGTTCTACTGCTCCTATTCGATGTCTACTTGACATGGGCGCGTATAGAGAAACAAACCATCCCTTCGCCAACTCCTGGAGAGAGTAAATTAGGGCCACTCGCTGAACAGCCGATTGTGATTCAGTACATGTTCTTTCGTAGGCACTTCCCCTCCCTGTTACTTCTTCGTTGCCTAACCTTTGCAATATAGTGATCCTCTGTGCTTTGTCGACTTTCGCTTTCCATCTAAGCATTCGCTTCCTCACTTCATCCGTCTTCTCGCCGCTTAACATGACGAAGCTAATGCCACGATATTCTCGACCGAATTCGGTTTCAACAGCCTTACTCGTTTCTTCCTCGACCAAATTGTTTCCAATCTTAATGGTCATCTGGGAATACGACGTGCCCGCTGCTGCCAGATCCCTTGGCTGGGCTGTCGTGGCAAATAACGTTGAAGCTCTCCGCATTCTCCTTGATTGCAAATACTATGTTGCCTGCTTCTTAGCGATTGCCGGCGCATCTGTACGATGGGCTGTGGGCCAATTAATACTAATCTCGGCTGGACTTGGTGATGTAGATTCCATCGGTGATAGCAGCGTGGCTGCAGATGGCAAAGCTCTTTGGGCCCTTGTAAAGTACGTCAGGGACTGGGCCGGGCGTTTAGTCGTAGGATAGTGCGATTTTGACAACCAAAGTTTCCAATATGCATTAACAGCGCCGTTATTGCCTATACCATGTTATTATTACACTGCGATGCCGTAAACATATCAACCCCTTCACAAAATCTAACATACACATGACCCAGGCCAGTCTGAAGCCATGCCGATATCTCTATACCCTATCGATCACTGATGGCTTGAAGGCAAGAAGACGAACACCCAGAAAGAAGCCTGGTACAATATAAGATGCCACGAATGAAATAGAACCCCTAACGCCAGTCTGTCGCACATTTCTAAGGTCGCGCTCGCCCGAACTGGAAATCAGCTTCTAAATAGTATGCCCTAGAAATTCCTCTCGTAGGTCGCTTCGTTTCGGTGCAATCAGCGGGTGAAGTTGCGCGAGGAAGGTGATAAGCCACATGAGATAGCAGCTGACGATAGCGAGAATGAGAGATGATCGCCACAAGCTATTAACAAGAAGCCATCAGAATTGTTCGTTATTCGATAAGGAGTGAAGAACTGACACTTGATTCTCGCCTTTGGGGGACATAAACCAAGCCGCTGCGCTTAACGCAGCGATGACCACGAGGCCGATGAAGATAGAATACCTGTAGATGGATAGGAAATGATTGCATTAGCTCAAGGGACTCTTCAGCGGTGCTGGTCGTTCATACCCTTGCGCCATGTTGATTTGCTGCCCTGGGGTGTGATGGTAGGTCCAGAAATGGCGGTTTGTTTTAGCAAAGAATGACTGATGCCGCAACTGAATGATGAAGCTGTACCCCCGGACCTCTACTAAGCCGCCATTAGCATGGTTGACGCACCATACTTCTAGGGACCGATCGGTTGTACCACATGGTTAATTTTTTTAGCTTAAATTATCTAGCTAAGAGAAAAATTATTTACTAAATTATTATAATAATAGTCATGTTATATTAATCTACTATTAATAGTAAAGTTTATTAACAATACATTTTTAAATGATTTTATTAAATAAAAAATCTAATTAATAATTAATAATTCAAAAATTCCTAAAGCTTATATAGTAAGTTATAATTACTTATTCAAATGTTAATAAATATACAATAATTCAGTTTAGGTATTCAATTAATGATTGATTATACATGTTTAAAATGCTGTTGACTAGGCATGCTGTATAGAGCCGGCGTAGTGCAGCAGTCGAATATTGTGGGTACTGCAGATGAGCTACTGACTATACACTCAAACTTCTCCCCGCGAACCAGTGGCCATACTGAACCTCAACTGCGCTTTGCTGCACATAGGTTGACCATTGACTCTCGCAAAATGCGGCCGACCCTACGAGCCCTTGCCAACTACCTGGAGCCTGGAACTCCCACCGGACTCACAGGACTATGGACTCACAAGACCCCCCGGTCGACCTTGTTGTATCTGTATAGCACGACGCTGAACAGGCTGCAATCCATACCCGAAACATCCCTCTATCGTCAATCTGTCGAAGCGACGACCAAGCATCGTATGAGCCTAGTGGAAAAGTTCACTCCTCCCGGATACGAACAGTGGGCTGTCAAGGCGAAGGAGCTCATGCGAAAGAACCCCCATCAATTCGAGGCTGCGAGTGATCGAGTTGACGGCAGTGGAGCCAGGACTTTCAAGTTTGGCAACCGCATCTTCGTGGTTGGACGGGAACACGAGGCTGGAGACATCCGACTGGAAGAGTGGAATGGCGAAAACGAATTGGGCAGAAATGGCGAAGTCATCGAGCCCGCTGCAGAGCACTTCAATGACGAAAAGCTGGTGTGGGAGGATGAACCCCAGCTTACGGCTGACCAGTAAGGCCAGAAACATATTTGAACATACTCGTCAGATGGCTAATAGATGAGATAGGGTCAAGGAGCTTGAGCAACAGCTGGGAGCCGGTCTTATTGAAGAAGTCATTGAGGTCGCGGAGGGCGAATTACAGTTGATTGAAACCATGGAAAAAGCCCAGGTGTAAGCTTATCCCATTCTATGACATTCTACTATTAGATTCACTATCGTTCATTATTGCTAATACGGTCTACAGCTGGGACAGCTTGGAGGAACAGCCGGCGCAAGGGCAGTGGACATATTTTGAACGAAACTCATCATGAGACTAGAAGCTACAGCACACTATAGTCTAATTAAATTAAATTTGTAATGCTATAAAATTTCCATCTATGTATTAAAAGTAAAAAGGGATTTTTAAGTATAAGTGCGTTATATATTAAATAATATATTTATATATATTAAAAATAGATATTATATATAAATAATATACTAAAAGTAAAATTAAAAGTTTATTTAATTATATATTTTAAATTATATATTATGTATTATTTTTTTTAAATTATATATTTAAAATTATATACTTTAAAAAAAATTACTTATTTAAATCAAATTATTATTAATTTATTATTAATACCTTAATACTAGTAGTTTAGCTTGAACTAGGAAAGTGTACTAAATATGCATGTTAATGCCTAGGTTGCTTCGCGTTTACAGGCTCTAAGCCGTCTCAACACAGCTTAATAGCTGCTGCACAACCCGCGTCTGCTGGAAGTTATGGCCACCATCAAACAGATCGATGGCCGTAGTGTAGGCTACCTCGTGCCGAATCGGAAGAGCATCTGCTAAACCCTTTCTAGGTCCATCAAATCCAGTCGGGGCAGGTAATTGTCGACCTGTGCTCTGTGGTCAAGGAACTTGTTGAGAATAGTATTGACTCTGGAGCAACAATCCTAGGTCGGTGTGAAGTACAGCTACGGCAAATAAAGCCTTGTGATTGACCTGTGCTGCTCTGCAGATGTTCGTTTTAAAAACCAAGGCCTTGATTCCATCGAAGTTCAAGATAATGGATCTGGAATCGCACCCGCCAACTACAGTTCCGTTGCTCTTAAGCACCACACGTCGAAGCTTTCGTCATATACTGATATAGCGTCGCTGCAAACATTTGGCTTTCGCGGCGAAGCTTTGGCATCGTTATGCGCCTTATCTATCCTTACTGTGACAACATGCGTCGAACAAGATGCCCCTAAAGGCTCCAAATTAACATTCCTGCAATCTGGAAAGTTGGAAAACACCAGCGTTGTTGCAGCTCAGAGAGGAACCACAGTCAGCGTGGAAAATTTGTTTCACAATCTGCCTGTCCGACGCCGAGAGCTTGACCGTAATATCAAAAGGGAGTGGCACAAAGTTATTGCTCTACTTAACCAGTACGCATGCATTCTAACGAACGTGAAATTCTCCGTATCCCAGCAGCCTACGAAAGGGAAACGAATATTACTCTTTTCTACCAAGGGCAACCCGAGCACTCGTGATAACATTATCAACATTTTTGGCGCAAAAACGTTAGCCGCCTTGATCCCTCTTGAGCTGGACCTAGAGATCAAGCCTTCAGGAACTCGCCGTGACGTGCGATCTGACGAAAATTCAGCGGCAAACAGTCATGATGTTCGTATTGTTGGTCATGTCTCAAAGCCCGTTCACGGGGAAGGCAGACAAACTCCGGACCGCCAAATGTTTTTCGTAAATGGCCGACCCTGCTCGTTGCCTCAGCTGGCCAAAGTATTCAACGAAGTCTATCGATCATACAATAACTCACAATCACCCTTCATTTTCGCTGACGTCCAGTTAGACACTATGCTGTACGATGTGAACGTGAGTCCCGATAAACGATCTATTCTATTACATGATCAAAACAGCTTGCTAGATACTCTTCGTATCTCCCTATCACAACTGTTCGATTCTCACGAAGACAGTATATCAATTACTACGTCAGCTGAGAACGTAAAACTGCTTTCTTCTCATGCCAAGGTCGCCAAAACAGAACAGCCTCGTCAAATTCCCAGGAAAATGATCCTTAAAGCTTACACTGCTACTACATCGGACCCCAATTCCGGCGATGAGAGCAGCAAGTCCAATCCCGCCAGTGATAGCGAAGAGTCTGAGCAGGATGATATGACCGTCCCAGCGTTAGGCGCAAGATCAGTTAACGCAAGACTTGGAGGCAATAGAGTGGGAAAACAACGTCTAGATGATGGCCCCGAGACATCGATCAGTACAAACAGTATTCAGCCTCCAGACCCAGAATCTTTCCGCCAAGAAATTGCTACGTTAGTAGGCCGTTCACCACCAGATAAAGGCTCATCAACCGCATCCAGCACCCAAAGCAGTCCATGTCATAATAAGACTCCACACGACGATCCCATCCCCATCATCCATACGCAAATTTCTACCTCTTCGAGCATCAAGTCACCTGATATGTCTGCAGTGGACATCGGCGGCCATAGCTTGGATAACACGACAAGTCCGTCACAGGAGTCGAATATATTCACGAGAACAGCAGATTTGGAGGATGAGCCTCTCGAAAGCGAAAGACTACGTTCTAATTTTTCCAATTTTAATCAAACAAAAAAATCAATGGTTCAATCTGGCCCATCTCAGCTAGATCTTGAAGCAATCATCCAGCCATCTCCACACGGGGCACAAAATATCAAAGATACACCCAATGATGATCTTACGGATAGTTCCGCGCATGATTTACAGAATTCTGCAGAGGAGGGAGTAAAATCTAATGCTACGCCAATAGATGATGGCTCTCCAACCAATATAATTAGTGCGGGCGATATCACTACGGAATCCAAGGCCCAATCCTCCAGACCAGCAAGGCGAAAGGAAGCTACAGTGAATCTCGTACAGCATTTGCGCGTGCAGAGAGACAAAGTTCAGCGAATGAGCACTGCGTATCTTCCTCGCCGTAACTTTTCGTCTCCATATACAACGCAGAGTGCTTCCTCTGTAGAACGAATCGACGCCAGCGATGCGGAGTCGAAACTCCCTCTTATCATTGCAAAGGGGGATTTTTCAAGAATGAAAATCATTGGTCAGTTTAACCTTGGTTTTATTATTGCCGTTAAACCTGCCAGACGCACGAGTACGGACAATGACGGAAAACATGACGAACTTTTTATTATCGACCAACATGCTTCTGATGAGAAGTACAATTATGAGAAGCTGCAGAATACTACCGAGATTCAGTCTCAACGTCTTGTTCATCCTATGAGGCTTAGACTAACAGCCCTTGAGGAGGAAATCATACTGGAGAACTCTTCAGCGTTGAACGCAAACGGCTTTAAAGTGACTATCGATACGACGGGAAACTTGCCTGTGGGTTCGCGGTGTCACTTGATGGCATTGCCTCTGAGTCGAGAAGTCACGTTCAAACTGGAAGATTTGGAAGAGTTAATATCTCTTCTCGGTGATAATTCAGCCGAGTCTTTGTACATTCCCCGTCCTTCGAAGGTGCAAAAGATGCTCGCTATGAGAGCATGTCGCAGTAGCATTATGATTGGCAAGGCCATGACAAGAAGTCAGATGCATGCTCTTGTTAACCACATGGGCGAGCTGGATAAGCCCTGGAATTGTCCTCATGGGCGACCCACGATTCGACATTTAAGTCGCCTGCAGACGTGGAGTGCAGTAGGGTGGAAGCATGATCTGCATACCGACTCGATTGCAACTTGGCAAGACTATCTAGGAGAAGCTAACTAGGTAAATACCATCTATATTGTAGGTTTACAGGGTGCAGGATGGATATACTAAGTGTCTTGTCACGTCTACTACGTCTTCATATACTTATTACTTACCTGATGCGTGTAAGATGTCTGTTGATTGGCAACCAAGGCGATGATAGATATACATCTAAGATACTATGTATACATTGGTAATATCAATATATGCAACCATTTCATACTTCCATCCAAGTTCGCACCTGGGACATGTTTATGTCTTTTACAGAATATCCACCGAGCTAAACCAGGCCTCAAACGCGATTGGTTCTCTCAGCCGAGGGGCTGCTTTTGGCTAATCTATAATGGCGAGCTTAAATGTTATTCGCAGGCACAGCGTAGGATTGGCTAGATGCTACGCGGTTAGATATTGGCTGCCCGTAGAATACGCTTCTAAACGCCGATTTCTATGCCACCTCACTGAATTATATCAACCAAATAAGCTGTGCTAAAACATTTCCCCCAGACAGTGTGTCGCGTTGCTGACAAAGTTGATGTGGGGCAAACGGCGTTCTTGCGCATTCACAAGCTTGAGTGCTACTAGGCCTAGTACCTGGTTGTATATGCAACTGTTGAGACTACAGACTTCACCTTTTGTATTGACTTCACTTCGCCTTCTTTTTTTCTTTACCTTGTTTTTTTACGGCAACGTTGTGGAAACTCACCGCTCAGGATGGCTAGCACTGACGATGTAAATTTCGAGCTTCCCAAACTGCGCACTTCCTTCTCTCTAGAGGTGAGCACCCATTGCATGACTCTCGCGTTTTAAGAGGCTAACACTACATACTTTTTCGCAGAATGACACCAGGTTTCTCGGCAGTGATGATAACATTGCAGGTAGGCATCACAGCCCACCTAAGCAGCTATACTGTGATACAAGCAGTGAATTATTAATCTCAGTAAACAACATATAGAGTTCTTTGACGTCAAATTCTGTCCCTACCAGCCACTGGACCATGAGCCCGTCTTTGCTGCGATCAGTAAAAAACATGTAAGTTGAACGAACAGCGGTCAATGTACTTTCTGGCGCTTCTATCTTGTATGATAATACCAGCTTCCTGACACGCTCAATTAGGTGATCATCTGTCGACTCACCAAGGACCCAAATGAATCTAATCCATGTCAAGTTATCAATGTCATACGAGACGACGATGTAAGCCTCTTCCACGCTGCCACATGTTTGCCTTGACTGAGCTGTTTCTAGGATGAAGCCGCTAGTTGTTGCTGCACTTGGACGATGGATACTCTGCATGGTAAGCCGTATATCTGCATTGGCGGCGTGGATGCCAAAGTCAAGATATACGACGTGATTGATGGACAGTTGGTCGAGGTGCGCATCACATTTCTCTAAACACCAGAAATTGGATCTGAGCTGAATGGTCCCATGTGTTTAGTGCTTTGTCGGCCATGGCGGGGTGCGTCTTCTACCAGCAACTCGCCTTTGGAGCCAGTTAACTCATTGAAGCAAAGGACGTGAACGACCTAGCAACTTCTCCGATTAATCCTCATATCATCGCCTCAGCCTCTGATGATACAAGTATACGGATATGGAGCTTTGAAGAAAAGCACAGGAGCCAGCCCTGTTTATGTATCCTTGCTGGAGAGGGTCATTCGTGGAATCTCCTCAGCGTAGTAAGATAGATGCCTTCGCCACCGAGAACGATCTATCACTACCTCAGAGTTTCCGCTAACTTTTCGTAGGCTTTTCACGAAACCGGCCGATATCTTTTATCGGGTGGTCACGACCAGATCATTAATCTAGTATGAGATCAAAAGCCACCTTCTCATCACGAATCGCTAACCGTCCTCATCTACAGTGGACTATTCCCGATCTCCCCAATGAATCAATAGCTACGCCTCTGCAGGTTCATTATCCTCACTTTTCAACTTCTGCAGTCCACAGCGGCATTGTTGACTGGTAAGATTTCATCGAGGCGGCATATGATAGTATTAACGGTAGTCTAGTGTCTCGTTTTATGGGGATCTCATCCTGTCTAGAGCATGCCACGACGATGTTATCGTGTTATGGAAGATCGAGGGATTCTCCTCGGACGATCCTCTGCCAGCCCAAAGCACTGCCCCTACGCCACAAAACGTACTCCCGACAAACTATGAGGATCCCGGGCGACTAACGCGATCTGCCTTTGTCCCTTTAACATCTCCTCAGTGCCCAGTCCAATATACACGACTGTTAGCGTTCCACACTCCGAATTGTGGACCTCAGTTCTTCATGCGCTTCAAGCTACACCATGTTCCTAATCAGAACCCGGTGCTTGCGTTTTGTAATGCCGCAGGTAACATATTCTTCTGGGATTTAAAACGCCTGACGACTCACCGCGATGTCATGTCGGCGCTGGCGAATTCCACTGACAAAAACAAACCACTACAACTACCAAGCTGGCAGAAACCCGTAATTCCTCGTGCAAAGGCAGATACTTCAAGTAAGCCTCGAGCAACAGACAGTGACCAAGATCCTTCGACTCCGGTATATATCAATCAGATAGACTCTTATGAATTCAGCCCAGAGACACTAGAATCATGGGCAACGAAATATAGCATGGAGGATGCTCATGAGCCGTTGCGACACCATAAGATAGAGTCGTCATCGGCCAACTTTGTGGGCAGACAGGCGTCATGGAGTCCTGGAGGAGAATGGTGTGTTGTAGTTGGAAGCTCCAATACTGCCTTGCTGCTGCAGCGTTGGGCTTCGAAATAGTACCGCGAAATAATGGAAGAAAGAATCACGATTTTCTTGGTGGCGAGATCGTCGGATATGACCATTACAATGAAACTAAGGTCCCAGATTTGTATGAGCTGTGTTGTACTGAGAGACTCTTTGGTGCTCTCATATTACAGTCGGAGACGATGCAAGGTCAGCTGAAAGGAGCGATGACATCTCTTTCAGTTGCAAGAAATGGGCGTTCCTTGAATATGGTAGCTGGTCCATAAGTTTCTCCATCCTCAGGTTAATGTCTTGCAGCCCCCTGAGAGTGCGTCGGCAGATTGCTTCTTTTTGTCTTTTGGCCCAGTGCTCTTGTAATCTATACTGCGGCTCAAAATCACCGCTTTCAAAATCTGATTGTTCCTGGTCGCTCGTACTGGGTGATGCCGGCATTAAAGGGTCTGGATACGCAGGTTCTGTATGTTGGAGCCTGATCTCCTTCTCCAAGCGAGCGATGCCTCCTAAATGCTCTGTGTAGATGTTACCCAGTTCGCAGCTCAGTAAGGCCAACCAAAAGTCAAGCGCCGAGAGTTTGTGTGGCATTTTATGGTCGTATGCGTACTGGCGAATCAAGATTTCAAAATACGATTTTATCTCGCTCATGCTGCTAGAATTAAATCTCCATCGAGTTTCAGCCGTTGGAAAAGCATGGCTGCCTTGACCAGGGAGTGAATGCTCTGGTAAATGCTGATTTAAGTTTTCCAGCTTCTCCCTCTGCCGCATGAGAATCTCTGCTCCGATGGACCACAGATTATGAAGCCGGATATCGATGGATTGCGTCCTTGGCTTGAGCTGAAGAATAATGCCGAAAGCTTTGGCGGCTTTTGGGACATCTCCTTGAGCGAGAAATTGCTCAGTCGCACGCAGTATTACATCTAAGTGTCCTTTCCGGTCGTCATCCCGTAATCTTGATCTCTGCCATCCGCCCTTGGGACCTGGCTTTCTTCTCTCATCTTCCTCCAAGTCTCGCATTTGATGTGGAAAATGTTTCGCTGATAGTCTCGAGTCCTCATATTCCGAAAGCCCTGCTAGAGCAAATGGAGTTTTGCCGCTAGGCTGTTTGAAAGCTTGGAAGGGTTGACCACGAGAATGGCTCTGGCTCTCGTGCAAAAGGTTTTTGGGAGTCATGGAGGAATAAGAATATTAATGTCCGATTGACTCCTGCGTGCCCCCCCCCCCTTCTGCGGTTGTTTCTGGTAAATGCTTAGGTAGCCTTAAATTTCGATCTCAAGTCTAGCATAGTATTTACACTAGTACTGAGAGCTACACATTATTTACATGTATGCACCAGCCATATTGCCAGCCCTTACAGCTACCGCACCTAGTAAAACAACAACAACAACAAAAGGGGGAAGTTATCCAACACCCCGATTTCATTATCCAACATCCCAGCTGTAAAAAGCAGCCAGTTCACAAATTAAAGTACACAACTGGCAAATACATTTACCGATAGCACTGATATTATTAGGGAGACGTTATCCAGCACCCCAATTCTATTATCCAACCCTCCAGCTTAGGCGTAGGCTGCTGCTATTATTACTGCTAACTGCTATTATTACTGCTACTGCTGCTACTGCTGCTACTGCTGCTACTGCTGCTACTGCTGCTACTGCTGCTACTGCTGCTTTTACTATTAATTATATATATATAATATTTAACAGTTATGCACATTATCTTAATATATAGAATAGCTGCCTTATTACGCTGCAGCTGGGGTATTGGATAATAAGATTAGGGTGCTGAATAACGTTTCCCTATTATTAATAACAGTAGCAGCCGCTATAGCTGGAATGCTGGACAACACAGTTGGGGTGCTGGATAACTTATCTAAAAAAAAAGGGCATTCAATATTAAGATATCTTATTTTTTTTAACAACATTATTCTGTATTTCACTAAAACTGAAAGTCGTCTCTCCATCATACAATAGCCTAAAAAGCGTCAGACATTCCTCAAGCCATATCGCGATTTCTTCGGTAGCTGGCCTATAAACGCCCTCATGTCAGCTCCCCGTTATAGTGCTGAGAATTTGGAAGTGCTGCCTACTTCTTGCTCCGTCTGCAGAGTCTCCAAAACTGGCGCGAGTTCACTTAAAACTTCATATGCCTTCTTATGATACTCCATTTGTGCTGCAACTAGTTCAGCAAGATTGCGGAGCGGCTCGGGCGTATCCAAAACCTAGGCGTATGATTCATTAGTCGCGACTTCTCTCCATATAGGGCATGGCAGATGAGCCTACATTCTTCATAACACCAACTGCCTCCTCCGTCTGCGTCACAAATTCGTCTTCTGCTTTCTCAATCTCCTCCTGGGCGTCGGAGCTCAACTCAGTGTCGTCCGGATGATCAGTCCGAGCTTGGCCACCAAGCTTGAAGGTTGTTCCCTTTACACGAGCTTTAACAGCATCGAGTGTCAATCTCGAGTTTTCCACATTTTTCCTGGCGCGTGCTGCAAATGTAAGGTTTGTGTTGAGGGTCGTGTTCCATCCTGCGAGGAAACGGCTTTGAATCTGCGAATCCTGGGCAAGACGAGCATCGCCCACTCGCTCCATAGCAAGCGCATATCTTTCCAGAGCGGTCGCTAGAGGATCTTCGCCTGCACCTGTATGATGTTGGTGCAGAAGCTGACTGCTAGACAAACTCGCACGAGAGATGGCATGGCTAAAGGTTTTTGGCTGCGGCTTCGCAGAGGCCGGAGCCACGAGAGCTGCCTGTGCTTCCGCTGTTGATGTAGCTGAAGAAAGGAGGCTGACCTTCTCGCTCACGGTTCGACCCAGATCCTGGAAAGTCTCTTTGATATTGGGAGGATAATCGTATGCTTCAGTGGTGTATTGAGAGCTGTCAAATTATACACATTAGCATCGCCTTGGCATTCAACTTGGCCGAGTAACAGACGTCACTGCAAGCATTCTCTGGTGTGCCTGTTTCAACGCATCCACCTTCTTCTCGAGGTCAATATAATCCGCAGGAAGCTGGGTCTGTAACATTAGCAAGTTAGTGGTGCATTATAGCTTACAGACAGCTTCACATCGCCATTCGCTTACTCTGTCTTCAGCCTGTCCCAGTTGTTCTTTGGTAAACTGGAAAGTGCGCGATGCAAATGGAGTTATTTGCGCGCTGAAATCTCTACCATAATTCGCAATTAGAGTACGACCATTAGACAACTAAAGCAAACTACTATAAACTCACGAGAGATTCTTGCTAAACCTGGAGAAATCCATTGTGAATGATGCTACTAGATGTCTTATTGTTCAAGGTCGTAAGGTGTATTATGGCCGCACTTATTAAGCCACTGGAGGTAGCTTATATAAAATGCTATATGGGAGAGGGGAAAGGAAGGTGGGGGTTAGGAAAAAAAGGGAGGTAAGGATAAAAACCAGGTATAGTACCTATAGTATATAAAGGTATATACTATTATATAGTGTTATATTATAATATATATTTTAATTTATTTTAATTTAAAAAAATATAATATTAATAAAAATTATTTTTATAAATATAAAAGAAATTAATTATTATTTTTTAATTAATAATTAAATATAAGTTATATAAATATAATTTTATTTTAATTAAATAAAAGTAATTAATTAAATAAAAAAATTATATATAAATAAAAATTAAAAATATTAAAAATATTAAAAATTAAACTTTTAAATTTATTAAAATATTTTAAATTATAAGTAAATATTTTTTATTAAAATAAACTTTTATATATTATAATAATAATAAAAGTAAATTAAATTTATAAAATTAATAAGTAATATTATAATTAAATAAATATAATTTTTATAATTTTATTATATATTTATAATAATTTAATTTTAAATTTTAAATTATTATTATTAAATAAAAAAGTTTTTAAAAAATAAATATATATATTTATATTAATAAATAAAATAAAATTAAATATTATTAAATATATTATATAATTATATAATTAATAAATAAATATACTTTATATTTAATATTATTATATTATTAATAATTAATTATTTAAGTTATTTAATAAATATATTTTATATACTTTATATAATTATTTATATATATTAATTTAATATATAAAACTATTAATTTATTATTAATTTTTATATTAAAATTATTTTAAAATATATATTATATTATATTTTTTAAAAAATTAAATTATAATAATATTATACTATTATATTTAATTTTATTTTATTTTTATTATTTTATTAAAAATATTTATTATTAAAAATAATAATATTATAATATTATTAATTAAAAAAATACTTTTTTATTTTTTAAATAAAAAAAAACTATTATTATTATAATTTATTATTAAACTTTTTTTAATTTTTATTATTATTATTATAATTAGTTTTTTTTTATATTTTTAATATAATAATATTATTAATAAAATTATATTTTTTATTTAAGAAAATTAAATTAAATTTATAAGTAATAGTTTTATTTAATAGCTTTTTAATTTCTTTATATAATTAAAATACTTTAATATTACTTTTTTTATTATTTTATTTATTATATTATTACTTTTTTTAAAAAAAAATTATTAATTTTAATTTAATTATTAATTTTTATTATTATTTTATTATTTTCTTTAATTATTATAATTTAAAAATTATAATTAATTATAAAGTTATTTTAAGTTATTAATAAAGTTTAAATATATAAAAATTATATATTTCTTTTAAATTCTAAGAAAATTAATTAAATTTTTAAATATATTAATTATATAAAAATAAATTATATATATTATAAATTTATACTATAGTATTTTATTAAGTTTTATTTTAAAAAAAAAGATTTAATTTATTTTAAATTAATTTATATTTTTTATTTATTTATTTAATTAACTTTTATTTATTAAATTAATATATTTATTTTTTACTTTTATATTTATTATTATAATAAAAGCTTAATTAATTACTTTATAATTTATTTTTTATTAATTAAATAATTAAATAATTATATTTTAATTATTTAATATTTTAATTTATAAATTACTTTAATTTCTTTAACTTATATTTTATTATAATATTTTATTTTATTATTTTATTACTTTTAATATTTTACTTTTATTAAATTAAATTTTTTATTTAAATTTTTTAATATTATATTTATTTATTATTATTTTTAAATTATTTTACTTTTTAATTTATTAATTATAATTTAATATATAATAAAGCTTTTATTTATATTCTTTTAATTAATTTATATTTTTAATTTATTTTTATTAATTCTTTTAATTATTAATATTAATAATTATATAATTTAATTATTTAATTAAATATAATTTTTATTTATTTAAATACTTTAATTTATTATTTTTATAAAATATATATATATATTTAAATACTTTAATTATTTATATTTTAATTTTTAATTTTATTTATTAGTTTATTTATTTTTATTTAATTATTTATTAATTTATTTATTTATTTTAATATATTATTATTTAATTTTATTAATTTATTTTATTTATAATTTAATTATAAATTTTTTAAAAAAAAATTATATATTTAAATTAATTTTAATTTAAGTATTTATAAAATAAATAATTTTATATTTTATATAAAAATACTTAAGTTATTAATAAAAAGTTTAATATTTAAAAATATTTTTTATATAAAAGTAATATATATTAATATTTTATAATTTATAAAAAGTAATAATTATAATACTTTTATAAAATAATTTATTATATAAATTAAATAAAATATATTTATTAAATAACTTAAGTAAATTAAATAATTAATTATTAATAATATAATAATATTAAATATAAATTATATTTTATTTATTTATTATATAATTATATAATATATTTAATAAATAAATATATTTATTTTTTAAAAATTTTATTTTATAATAATAATTTAAATTTAAAAATTAAATTATTATATATTAATAACTTTTATTTTAATAAATATTATATTTAATAATTAAATAATAATAAAAATAATTAATAATAAAAAATATTAAATATTATTTAAAATTAATTTAATATAATTAAAAAATTTTAATAATTTTAAATTTTTAAAATTAAAAATAATATATTTAAAAAAGATTTTTATATATTTTAAATTAAAATAAAGCTTAAGTAATTTAAATTTTTTATAAATAAATTAAAAATATTTAAATTATTATTTTTAAAGCTTTAAATTTATTATTAATTTATTATTATAAAATTTTAAAATATTAATATTAAAATTTTATATATAATAATTTATTTTAAAAATATATTATAAAAATAAATTAAATTTAAAATTTAAAATTATTTTAAAAATTTAATTATTAAATATAATATTAAATAATAAATTTTTAAAAATTATAAAAGCTTTAAAATTACTTTTAAATTTATTTATAAATATATTAATAAAAAATAAAAAGTATTTTAATAAAAAATATATTATTATAACTTAACTTTTTAAAAATTTAATAATTAATATATACTTTAAAATAATTATAAAAAAAAGAATATTTAAAAGTATTTTTTTTATAAAAGTAATATATATTAATATTTTATAATTTATAAAAAATAATAAATAATATTTCTTTTAATAAAATAATTTATTATATAAATTAAATAAAATATATTTATTAAGTAATTTAAATAATTAATTATTAATAATATAATAATAATAAATATAAATTATATTATATTTATTAATTATAAAATTTTATATAATATATTTTATAATAAATATTTTATTTTATTTATTATAATAAATATATATATTTATTTTTTAAAAATCCTTTACTTTATAATAATAATTTAAAAATTAAAAATTAAAATATTATATATTAATAACTTTTATTTAAATAAATATTATATTTAATAATTAATAATAATAGATATAATAATTAATATATTAAAAACTTTAAATATTATTTAAAAATAATTTAATATAATAATAATTTTTTAATAATTTAATATATTTAAAATAAAAAATAAAATCTTTAAAAATTATTTTTATATATTTAAAATTTAAATTAAGCTTAAATAATTTAAATTTTTTATAAAGCTTTAAATATATTATTAATTTAATATTACTAAATTTTAAAATTATAATATTAATATTTTATATATAATAATTTATTTTAAAATATATTATAAAAATAAATTATATTAAAAATTTAAAATTATATTAAAAAATTTATTATTATTAATAATATAAAATATTAAATTATTAAAAATTATAAAAGCCTTAAAAGCCTTAAAATTACTTTTAAATTTATTTATAAATACATTAATAAAAAATAAAATATAATTTAATAAATAATATATTTTAAATAAATTAAATTAACTTTAATATATAGCTTAATATTTATATAAATTTTATTAATATTTAATTAAAACTTATAATTTTTTATAAAAGATTTTAATTAAAAACTTAAGAAAATAATAAAAAATAAATTTTATAAAATTAATTAATTAAATATATTAATTAAATTTATTAAAAAGCTATTAAAATTAATAAATATTTTATTAAAAATATTAAAAATAAAAATAAAAAAAATTATAAATTTAATTTTTATAAAAGTATAATAATTTAATCCCTAGGTCTTAGGTTATTATTATAAGGTAAAAATATTCCTAAGGGATAAATATATATATTTATATTAATAAATAAAATAAAATATTTAGCTATTAAATATATTATATAAGTTATATAGTTAGTAAATAAAATATAACTTATATTTAATATTATTAAGTTATTAATAATTAATTATTTAAGCTATTTAATAAGTATATTTTATTTAACTTATATAATAAATTATTTTATTAAGGTTAACTAAAATTAATAATTAACTTATATTAAGTTATATAAAGT